CGCGGAAGTATGTCCTCCTGGGCCTTGGAGAGTATAAGTAACAAACTCAAGGGTACTAGTAACGTGGATAATGTCGCCTATGTTAAATCGAAAGACTTTGATTTCTTGGGCTCGTCCGCGAAGGAATACCACGTCGAGATTCTCAGCTATTGTAACAAAATCTCAGGAAACCTACACATCTTATTTCACCACTTTGATGGAAGGATAGAAGTGTTCGAGAGCAGCATTGCTGATTTCCTGGACCCGACTTCCAAGGCCAAAACCCGACTAATCCCTCGTGCAACTTGGTCTGGGCATTCTGCTTCGGTCAAGAAGATTGTACGAAATTTTAGTGGTCGTGCCATTGTATCGAGGACAGAGCAGGGCGAAAGTATCGTCTGGCGACATACTCCTGGTCCACTGGGAACAAAGCTATTACGACATAATGTCATCCCCGAGAAGCGACATATACATCGAATATGTTTAATTAGAGGAGGTCGTTTTGTCGTATTTCTGCATCATGAGAGTATTTCTGTTTGGGATTGCACTTCGTCAACGCATACGCTGCTTGCCGATCTTAAATATCACGTCCGTGGCAAGCCCCTTTGTATCATTGTGCTTCCCCGCGAGCGGGTAGATGACTATTCGGTTGCACATATTGCGACTGTCACCTCGGAGCAGGAGGGCATAGTTTGGGAGCTCCATCTGCCCATGGAGAAGAATAATTCTGCTAAAACGCACATTAATAGCCACAAAAAAGGCCTTCGAGAGTTTTGTACGTTCAAATTAGAAGACGCTGGTGACCTGGCCTATGTCTTACCGGTTGATCCCGCTGGTATATCACATGCTATATCTGGTTTCTTAGACGTTTTTGCCCGGGATGTTGCCGTATCGTACACTCACGGCGGCCGCGTTGAATTTTGGACTGCCAGAATTTCCAAAGAACGAAGCCAAGTTGAATGGCTTTCAACATCTTCAATGGAGACTGGCATCCCAGAACCCGTATTGGTCAGTGGCAGCACGATGAAAAAAGCTGCTCTCGCGAATGCACAGCGCTCAGAACTGACGATTTGGGATATTCGAGGGGCCCGGTTAGAATATAAGCAGGATTTTGAGAATCATAACCCAGTGCAAGATCTTGACTGGACGTCTACACCAGATTCGCAGTCGATTCTGGCCGTTGGCTTCCCATATCGCATCCTCCTCCTCTCACAGATGCGCTTCGACTACTTAAACAAAGGCCCTGCTTGGGCGCCGGTCCGCGAGATTAATATCCGAGATTTCACACCTCATCCCATTGGGGACTCAACTTGGCTCAGCGATGGCAATCTAGTTATCGGTGCTGGCAACCAACTATTTTCGTATGATAGGACTTTTGAGATAACTGACCGATTGATCTCGAGCGCACGCGTACCACACCGTAAAAATGGGACTAGAGATCTGTTTAACGTTATTCAAAGATTAAATGGACCATTGCCAGTCTTCCATCCTCAATTTCTTAGCCAGTGTATACTCGCAGGGAAACATGGTGTGGTTCGGCGCGTGCTCCTGGCTTTAAACAACACGCTGAAGTATCATATAGAGGGCGAGTCGATCGACGATTATCTAGGCTTAGATCTAGCGGATTTCTACATACGCAAAGTGAGTAAGACGAATTTCATTTAAGAGTTAATTTGCTAAGTTTTTAGGGGTCAATGTCCATTGGCAGCAACGGGTCGTCCTATCTCATGTCCCAGATGTCGTTCGATGATACTGATGAAATATTCACGGAAGACATCGCCTTAGCTGTCTGCGAGAAGCTGCAACAGGTTACTATACCCCAACTTTCGGGCCATGAGCAGATCCAATTGGTCGATATCGTTGAATGTGTTGGGGTTGTAGAAAAGCAGCGTCGATCGATGGATGAGAATGGTGCCAGGTTCATTTTATTCTTCCGGCAGCACGCGCTAAGAAAGGGTAGAACCAACGAGATTCACATGTCGTGGAGGGAAATTAACTGGGCTTATCATTCTACTAGTCAGGATATTCTGACAGACTTCGTATCCCGCCAATATCACGGCACTATGTTGTGGGAGAATGCCAGAGAAAGCGGCATGTTTATGTGGCTTGCAGATGAGGCCGCCGTCGTAAGCTTGACCACTAATAGTGTTGTTGATTACCATCTAATCTATTTAATAAACAGAAGGTACAATTCGAAATTGTGGCTCGTAACGAGTACACGAAAAGCGAGATGAAGAATCCCGTGGATTGCAGTCTCTTCTATCTCGCCTTGAAGAAGAAGACTGTTCTTCAAGGTCTCTGGCGCATGGCGACTTGGAATCGCGAACAAGGAGCAACGCAACGGCTCTTGGCGAATAACTTCGAGGACCCTAAGTGGAAGACGACGGCTTTGAAGAATGCATACGCTCTCCTTAGTAAGCGTCGTTTTGGTAAACACCCCCTTCATATTCATGAAGCACGCAAGTACTAACATGAGATGTAGGATACGCGGCTGCCTTCTTCCTCCTCGCAGGCCACTTACAAGATGCGGTAAATGTGTGCATCAACCAAATCAAAGATATCCAACTCGCTATCGCTATTGCGAGGGTATATGAAGGCGATAATGGACCCGTATTAAGGAAGCTACTGGAAAACGAGGTCCTAGCCCTTGCGGCTCAAGAAGGTAATCGCTGGCTAGCGTCGTGGGCTTTCTGGATGTTAAAGCGGAGAGACATGGCGGTCCGCGCTCTTATTGTGAGTTTGTATCAAAATTTATTTTGCTACATAAAAGCTAACCCCTTGAAGACGCCCGTCTACACACTATTAGAAACACCAGTCTCATCAGACAACTTGAAGGCAAAACTCTTCCTGACAGATGACCCGGCCCTTGTTGTATTGTACTCCCAGCTTCGACAGAAGACGCTGCAAACGCTCCGCGGGGCATCCAAGGTAATGCCAAGGACAGAATGGGAGTTTGTCTTACACAATGCCAGACTCTACGACCGCATGGGCTGCGACCTCCTCGGCCTAGACCTAGGTAAATCACCAAACTTAAGATTTATCTCATATTTCGCACAGACGGTCTCGTTAACTGCTATATAGTTCGCAACTGGGAATTCCTCCGGCATGCTACGCCGACGGCTCCAGATCTTGGCGGTGAGATCGATCCTAGTAAACTCCTACGACGCCGCAGCTCGCTAGTTGTCCAGGACATGCCTATGTCGCACGTAGCCCGGACCGATATGAAAACCGGTGGCCACGGCGTCAAGCCACCGCCCAGCGTCTTCGAGGAGCCCGATACGAATTCGCTTCTGGATAGTTTTGGGTTCTGATGGACTCTCAGGAGGCTAGTTTGCGTGGAATCTTGGGAATTGCTCTGTTCTAATAGATGTATTGCACCAGCTCTTGAGAGCTAGGATTTGTTCGTGCTTATAATAATTAAGCGAGTAAGACGTTAGTAGGGCGAGGCAGCGGGCGTTTTAGAAGTGTAAAAGTGTATCTAATATAGATCACATCCTTATAGCTGTGTTCTTTCCAGAGCTCCGTACGTAGACGAGTTCCCGGGAGTTAATGAAGGGCTGGTAAGAAAGGAGTGTATTTGAAAGTGAAGTCGATAGGAGTCGGAGAGATCAGTTCGAAGCGAAGTCTGTATCATAATATGATGCTCTAGTTAGTATTGATTAGCAGCCAAAACGTCAATATGGGTTATTAGTTGGTGTTCGTTGAAGTCTAGGACTGGTTCAAGATGTCTAATTCCGATACCTAACTCACATAACTTGTATTTCGTCAAGTTTCTTTTCTGGAACTAATCGTGGTCCCAGTCCAGACATCCACCTATCTCACTTCTGTTGCACCTTCAGCTAGCATCATAGCCGAGGAACATAGACAGTACCTAGTAGACATAACCCAAGTGGCAAAAGGACAAAGCAGTCGTCTACCGTAGAGATCCCTTACCATCCGGGGCTTCATTAACTCTCTACACCGCCTATGAGGCTTTTGATAGTTTCGCGATGAGAAGCCGAGGCATCATAGTGATAGGTTGGTCCCGCCGTTCCATCTTCGTTACGAGGAAAAGGGGTATCATGAGGTGGACCTAGAAGACATAGCAACTTCGTTGTTATGCAAGGAACCATGAAACTAAACTATGGGCACTCATGGATGTTTATACATATGCCGAAAGTATCCTTTTTTCTAGACGTCTCATCCATAATCCTAATATGGTTAAGGTTCGGAAGACATTTACATACATCCCAATCTGGTGTTGCTTACTTTGAGTAGGTAGATAATATAATAGGTGTAAGCGTAGCTAAATGAACATGTGTGTGTACATGTACTCAGTGGCATATAAGTATCTAGTTATAAGGGTTAGGCATTCAAAAGTTCTGTATAGCTTCAAATATTGCAAATAGCGGTTCATCGCTGAGTACCTAGTAAGTTCATCCCTACCATCCAATATTCCGAGCGCACCTCAAGGCAGACACGGAAGTGACCTCGTCGTTTTGATATCAGTAGACATCATCGTAATGGGAGGCCTTAGACAAGCCCAAGCCCATCCCATTGTATGTTGAGCACCTGGTTTAGAAGCGATATGGAGAAATCTCACCACGGTACCGAATATCGCCACGGCATAGCCACGTCGGCGGACCATAGCCAGGCTCGCATTGGGGAGTAAATTACTACGAATGCATAATGACTTCATGCGTTATCTTTCTACTCGACAGTGACATGGCTACCTTAGTTACTAATGATCACTGTCTAATATACCCTTCGACAAACCACCATAGTATGTAAGACTTAATTATAGTATATCCAATATATTCTACTATTAACTTGTAATAATTAACTTTGAATTTATATAACATCGTAGACAACAAATTGGGATTTCACCTGTGTTGTAGTATCTTTGGATCTGTTGAGCACAAGGCAGAAAATAATGGTGGATTCCTTGGCTACACTGCGGGTTGCGGCCGGAGACCCGAGTTTCGCCCAAACAGTGTACACCATGTAACGGCGACCCGAAGATGCTAAGCAGCCGAGCTCAAGTCTACAGAGATCTTGGCTACTCGGTAAAGTAGGTAAACCTTTCACATGCCCGGGGGTGGAGGGGCCTGTCCTGAAGTCAATTTCAGGGTTGTTTCGTCGATGCGAGTTCTTATAAGAAGGGTCGTCTATGTAAAATATTCCAAGGTAGTTTCTACATCCCTCACTACAGTCGTGTAGGATAATGAGAGATAGCCTCTTCTCCCTTTAAAGATTCCTAAACTGGTTCGGTTCACAGATTCTTCGCGATACTTGTCAAAATGCGATACGGATTACTGCTTTCCTCCCTTCTAGGGCTCAATGGGGTCCTAGCGGCTGGCAAGGTCCCCGTTGGTATGGAGGACGCCTTGACAACAGCAAATATGCCTGCTGAGTTCCTCGAGGATGTATATTTCGTCAATCATGTCCCCCTAATGGCTCTACAGGCCGACCCGCGTATCTCTTACGCCCTATACATCCCCAAAGACCATTATAACCCGGACCCGAGCAAAAGCGCCACTCCCAAGAAACTCCCCTTGCTTGTTTACGTCCACGGGACCGGTCGGAGCACAGTTGCTATCTACGATGAGCTTGTACCCTTTGCCGATTCGACTCCCTGTGCCATCCTTGCTCCTCTTTTCCCCGCCGGCATGGACGGCCCTAACGACCTCGATTCGTATAAGGAGCTTAAATCGGATACACTCCGTTCGGACCAAGCTCTATTGCAGGTTCTCGACCAAGTTGCCTACCGCTGGCCTGGCCTCAAGATGGAAAAGGTGTTTATGATGGCATTCTCTGGTGGTGGCCAATTTGCCCACCGTTTCATGTATCTTTACCCGGAAAAGCTCGCCGCAATCAGTATTGGTGCCCCTGGACGTCCTACATTCATCGACGATACCCAGAACTGGCCCGTTGGAACCAAGGACGTGAAGACCGTATTTGACAAGACTATCCAACCGGCCGTCATCGGAAAGCTCCCTATTCAGCTTGTCGTTGGCGGCAATGACACTGTGATCCACGGAGACGAGGCTTTCTGGGAGTGGGAGAAGGAGACTTTCGGTGGCGGAGGACTTCCTCCTATGAACAAGACCCGTCTCGAATCGATCAAGGAGCTCCGCGCGTCTTGGGAGGAGCTGGGTATTGAGACTCAATTCGATGTTGTCGACGGTGTGGCCCACAATGAGAAGGGTGTCCGATCGGCTGTCTTGGGATTCCTCGGCCCTCAGATCAAGAAAAGCTATTAGGGTGTTGCGGAACGACTAATGACAACTAAGTTGAGTTATTCTAACAGCATAAGGAGGACATGAGGGGGGGTTTTGAAGGGGATACGAGAAGGAAACAGAGGATATAGATTTTATAAAAGGGGCGGTTACACTGAAATATTCGCTGGAGTCATGGTTCTAAATTAATCACATAGCCTAGCTCTAAACACTCGTAGCGCTTGATATTCGTCCTGTACATATAGAGTTTCATGACTTCTCTTTTTAATAAATCGCGAGACATACCTTTTTAATCTATTCATGGTTCTACTGTTGATCGCGTTCAAGATATGATATAATAATCCAGTCGGAGTAACAGCCAGCTTTAGAGTAACACTAAATAAGCCTCATGTTGTAAATCACATTTGAAGGATGGAATTGGATATGCTATGCATTTTTGTTTACATGGATGTCGAGGCCGTCAGTAAAAGTTAGAATAGGGGGAAGGTATTACTTCGATATAACTTGACCATATATGTGAAAATAGCTGCATAGGAGAGGTAGTAGAGGTAGGTTGATTGACTACTTACTTAAACTAAGCTTCTTTACGAGCGAAGGGGAAAGCCTAACGTAAAGTAGGTACTTTACTAGGTTATATATACTTCTTACTAAGATGCCTCCTCGGACTGTACCTGATAGCAGTCCCTCGGCATCTACCTCAACAATAAAGTACGTACCAGAGTAGTTATCCGAGCACGGGATTCGTTTTCCTTCATACTAACGTGTATTATATAGATAGGATGAAAAATCTTTCATGACTACATTAATACAAGCAACTTTAGTGACTTACGGCTGCACACGTAATAAGTGATGTCGGCCTTTTTGACCAGCGTCCTCTAGGAAAACTTAACTTATCGAGTAGTTTCCACTGTGCCACCTATATATAGCCCCAAGCCTTTTTCTTTTTCTTTCCTTCTTTTTTTCTTTTTTTTCTTTTCTAACTTCACGGGCCTTCCCCATTTATCAACGCCCTCATGAAGATACATTTTCATTGAAACTAGGGATGGGTTGAGAGACTTTCGATAGTGACTCGTGTTTCAGCGTAGTGAAATACTGTTGGGCAACCGGACCAAGTAAATTACATAGCAGGGCGGCTCTATCTAACGTGACATGGAAAGGAGTAGTGGATAAGCGGCGTAGAAGTGTGATGATTTTTCGAGCATTGGGCCAAGCCTACGATGATTCATTCAAGACTTAGTTCAAGCCATTCGTCTTCGATATGTGCCTATGTGCTCTCGCTAGGCTGGTGTACCAATGAATACGAGGTCCCAGGGGAGTTTAGAAACTCTGGGATTATACCTTATTAGCTAAGGGTGAGCGTATTTTAATACCACATGCTGATTCCTAGATGTATCTACTTAGATATCCTTAGGTACCTAATATAGTTAACCATGTCTGTATCAACGACATCAGCACCATCGAAACTCCGTTCACATACGTCGTAATTGCATTGATTGCGTGGCTGTCGGCGGTCAAAAGGCCAGTCCGAGACGTGCCCAGGAACCAGCCGAAGTGGCCAAGACACCCGCTAAACGGCGGCGGTAAGACCAAGCACTTAAAATAGGTACCGGCACGGCTACGCTCCGGACCGTCTAAGGACTTACAAAAGTTAATTCAGACTACGGCGATACGGCCGTTAAATTTCATCGGACCCGAAGATTTATATATGGTAATAATATTATAATACCTAAACCACATATTAACCCATAATGTTCAAACGTCCAGACGGTTGATTTATTTCTAATGAAAGTGTGAAAGGTTCGGGCCAAATAATTTGCTTCCAAATACTAGTACGTAACTCAAATTTATCTCAGATTCTTGGTTGTTCTACTCTACTACATAACTGCGACTGAAACGGAGCTGTCGGATTGCTAGGCGTCTGGGTTATCTAGTAGTTGAATTCTCCCAAGAATACTCCTCATATATTTCAGAGCACGTCATTAGTTCTGTTAGTAATGCAAGAAGGGCCGGTGAGATACAGCCGTCTCTTTGCTAGGGGCTAAGGGATGTTTGACGAGGAGATTGGTCAAGTTTGACCCGTTGTTATACAGAGGTAGCTTATGGAGAGCTCATGGAGAGGATGATATGGCCCCTTGGCCAAGAAATTAGTTGAGAGGGGGTAATGGATATCTTGCGGAAGGGTCAAGATATATTAGATGGCCCTTTCCGGTGTTTTTGCCATGAAAAACCTGTTCTCCCAACTAGATAGTCAGCTTATACTAAGGTATTCTTGTTTTACAGATAAATATGGGTTTCAAAATCTGCCTCTTGTATTTCATGCTCCTTTCGGTCCGGGCTCGAGACATCCCTATTAATATAAGGAACTTCTACGACTCGGTGATGGCGCAGGGGTCATGTAGGGAGCCGCTGCAGTCGGGCTTCTATGATATGGCACATAGTAATGATAATAGTAAGTATGGATATCAAAGTGTCCAAAACGTCTACATACTTAGACCCTTTACTTAGGCTTTGCCTATTGTGGCGATCATATAAGTGATTACGGCATCATCTACCTGCAGGGTAGAAACGGAAAGCTAGCAAACATGGACATCGACTGTGATGGACTCATTGACAAAAACGACGACGGCCGTTGCGATAATGCCAATTCGACTCAGAGTATGACTGCTATGAAGCGATACGTTTCTGCTTACAAGAATGGCGTCCCAGATCTCAACCCGTTTGTTCACGTACGTATGCTCGAGGTTTCCGCTCCCCCCTTTTGGCCGTCTTAGGTCTTAGGTCTTAAGTCTTGGGAATCCGGGACCCCGAGCCGGAGAAAACCTCTATTGTTCTCTGGGGAATTTATAGTAGCCCTCAGTATTACGTCTGGGCAAGTAATTGCTGACTTTAGTGGTTGTAGGACTATGTAGTGTTCGGCAACACCGGTTTTAAGCCTGGCTGGGTAACGTTCGACCCTCGGGTCTACGGCATGGAGCCCCTGAGCGTGATGGCTATCGTGTGTAATAATAAGTTGGTATGTATATTGAGTTACTCCAGTAAGCCTATGTGTCTTCTTAAAGTTGACCGAGGAATAGATTTATGGTATATGGGGAGACACGAACGGTGATGATGGTTTAAATCCTAGGGTCGGAGAAGCTTCCATCTCAGTTGCTACTCTCTGCTTCGGACACGATTTAGATGGTGTGATAGGTTTTGATGAAGAGGAAATTCTGTATATCGGGTTTACTGGCGCTGAAGCGGTTCCAGGTACAGATGCGAACTGGAGAGCAGCTGATGAAAATGAGTTTCAGTCGAGTATTAGGAGACTTGGTGACAGGCTCATTCAGCGGATCGGTTCGTATTGGTAGACCACGGAGCTTTCAACTCCTTGAAGACCTAATCTATGCTGGTGGTTAAAGAGACCGGCTCATAGCTCTTCAATCTGGCTGAAGGAGTTCGCATTAAGATGGACTGGTATTTAATCCCTTCTAAGATTTTATATTCTTGAAAAATTGTATAGGTGACTCGCAGCGCACTCTTCCCGATACAGGTTCTAGTATTGCCCATCGGGGTTAACGCAACTCGAGAAGTATTGGACTCGCTCTATAGTTTTAAACTAACGAAAGAAAGAAAAGTGTCCGTGGGTATTCATCCACACCAGCGAATATTTATATAATTTCATCACAATACGCTACCCGATATCTGGTTATCTCTTCTCGTACTAATGGGGGAAAATGAAGGTCTATTTAACAAGGCCTAGTTTAATTAATATATCAGGTACATTCTACATTACATAAAATAGCCAGAAGTAGCGTAAAATTAGTCTCTCATAAGCCAGATGTGGCATAACCCCTTTCCCGCGGCCAACCCCCTATTTGCTTGGTGACAACCAATTTACCATGTAATGCCCGTATTACTTAAACCTTCGTCCTGAGATTGGATATCTCTAACTATGAGAAAGAGTATTAATATAGAAAGAATCGGTGGCCTAAAGCCTAAGACTAAAGCGCCTGAGCCTCTGAAGATGTGGAAGGTCAACTACCACGGACAAGTTACTAATCGGATAAGAGCTATGATAATCTCCTATCTTCATTCCGCTTCTCATTTGTATAACACTAATTTAACGACTGAACTGTGCACGCATTTGATATTTTAACGTGTACAGATATACTTCAGATAGTGTGAGACCTCGACATACTAAGTTTATTCTGAAGAACAACTAGTAGATATTGATAAATATTAATAAGTACTGAAGCTAGGTATCTAGATAGGTAGGTAGTCACAATGAATTCCATGCCACGGAATGATGGTCCCCGAATTATTCGATCGACATCATCAGCGCGGGAAGAGTGAGGCAATGACTAGACATAGCCCGATCATAGACCCCGGATCCCGGCAAGGGAGAATAACGCCATACAGCAACTCATGGCGATTCCCCAGACTACCGTTCTCAAAGGAGTGATCCTTCGGTTTTCCTGTCCCCAAATGTAAATCCACGTGTAAATCACGCGAGCCGCCAAATAACCCAAGGTCAGATCATTTAGTGCTTCTACAGGGAGGCCGGCGGCATTGCCGGCCGTCACGGCTGCGGCGTAGACGCCGAGATTTTCAAAGGCATTGGCCCCTGCTGATTCGGCGCGTTGTAGCCGGCCTTTTAACTGATTCGTTGGGTCAGCGGCGCTGAAGCTGGTATATGCAGTAACCCCTGCGACTTACTTTCTTATCAAGTTCAGCGGCCTCAAGCTTCGACGTGAATGAGCGTGGATTGTTCGGGTCGAAGAACTTCTTACCCGGTCCCGTAAGACCTGAGTACACTCGCGGTAGTAGGGCCTATAATATCATGTGCAATTGAGATTAGCGAGGGGGCGGATGGCGTGCAAGACTCGAGAACACCTCCTACCAAAACGACTGCCGCCGGGATCTGCGTAAGGTGTTAGCCCAAATATCTATCTCAAATGTCTAGGATTTAGAACATGTGAACAACCCACAGTGAAGTAAGAGATATTTTTTTCGAAGCCGAGATACGAAGACATTGTTGGTTGCTTTTCGGATTACCTGGTGCAAGACTAACATGGGTTTCAATTTCAAATTCTACGGATTTCTTTAGAGTTGATTTTATACCTTTCATGTTACCGGGGGATTCGACACCAGCAATGCGATCTCCCAGTCTCATTACAAGTTAAAAATGGACTATTTTAGTGGAGCTTAAGCAAAGGATTTTAATCACTTAACCCGACTAGGAGGACCTTTTGTTGTGTTTAGGTAGTTGGCTAACATAGTAGCAGCCGGATTATCCCGTTACCCCGTTACCCCGTGCTCCACCTCGCCGAGATGATTCAAGTTGAGATGATGAATAATTTTAAACTGGATCAAAGGGTAGATTAACAGGTAGTTAGGTAGGTAGTTAACTAGTTAGAAGTCAAGATTCCTGCGGGATCTATACTTACTTACTAATTCTAATTGACCATGATACCCCCCTTGGAAGTCATTGATCCGCTTTACTTCGAGCTGAAAATTATTAATATCATACATATTGATATTGTACTGCCAAAACTAGAAGGTTGAACTGCTTGACCCCTCTGGCTTATAAACTCGCCCGAAATGGATTGCTAAGCTGAGATGTTGATTGATACGCTGTGCATCTCAACCCGGTTCATGGAGCAGTGATTACATGAGACAGGCGGTTTACGTCCAAATTGTCGAAGGATCAAGACTCTGTCAGCTATTAGGGGATATGCAGGCAGGAAGCAGTGCAGATAAATAGCGTCTCCATGCGGTTGGTAATAGCCCCACGCGATGAAAGATGAGAATAATGGCGATCCAATGAGGTGAGAAGCGATATGTCGACTACATATATCTTGTGAGCCGCATTGCATCTGACCTACCGAGCATGCCGTCAGTACGCGCGCTATATGTGGCTAGCTTATGGTAATATGATCTAGGCATGTGCATACACGTGTGGTGGACGGCGAAAGTCACCTGTGAAGATTAGCATGATCGAGTCCTCCTACTCGAAATCAATTCATTCTGGGTATCACAAGCTATCATTTTCTACCTCGATTTAGTATCAGAAAATTAAACCGTTGTTCGTTGCGAAGCCTCTAGCGCCCCACACACGAAAGATGATGCTAGCTTTAAGAAACAGGCCGCTAAGAAAACATCTTATACCAAGTCATTAGGACCTCCCCAATCTCCCCATAGATCATTCAAATCGGAACCGAGCATTTCGAAATTGAAATCGGGATTTGGGATAGGAAGTGTGTTAGAATCGGAGGTTGATGGTAGTAGCCACGGCATTGAGAGTGGTAAGCCATCCCGCTGCTGATATGACGTGCCCGGCATCTGAATAGTAGGTGTTGTATCCATGGGGAACGGTGTGATTGACTTGGGTATCTGTTAGTAATTACGCCGGGAAGAAGGGCTTATTACATACCTTTGCTCGGTTAATTGGGTCTTGGCCTGTCTGCGAGGAAGTCGAAAGAGGTTGTGGTGGTTGGGAGGAATAGGGTGGAATTTGAAATGCGAGCAGCTTGTAATGCAAACTGATAAACCGTTCTGCCGCAGACGCCTTGGCTGCCTCCGACGTCTTAATACCCATATGCGTCTCTAAAAGCCCATAAGCCGCGCACATTGACGAGTACCCCCACGGATCGTTATTGCCACATCTCAGCACGTGGTCTTCTTTCATAATAATGCACCTCTCAATTAGTCGGAGGGTCTCTTGTGAGTTATACATGACCAGGCTGGATGAATCTATTGGGATCATATTAGTGTCGCCGTAAGGTGAAAAAATAAGAAGAAGAAGAACATCGCATACCTTTCGGCTGATGTAATGTTACGTTGCAGAGGTTGATGACCGAATTCATTGTATCTTCACGGAGGAAATAAAGAGTCCGAATTCCTTTTTGGAACAGCCGATCATGCATTATAACCATGTCTCGAGCCGCAGTATAATAAATGAGTTCCGCGACCTGGTACTTTGAGTTGAATTTCCTAAGCTTTAGGTATGGTTGATGAAGTGGAATAAGATATTGTCTTAGTTGGAGATGTAGTAACGTATGTGCTAAGATTGGCTTTCGCGAGTGCTCCGGGTCTTTTCCATTGTCCGAATCCCACGATGGTAATCGGTCGAGCTCGTGAGTAATCATATCACTATATTGAAGGACCTGCTCCCATTCAAGTTCTGTTGGTGGTCCAGTCAAAATCTTGTTCAGTTCCGTCCGAAGAGCGAGACTCTGACGACTCAAATGTAGATACGACGTATATGTATAATCGTGAGCTGGGCGTGAAATAGGCAATTCCGGGGAATCTTCGTTAAAGCTGTCGTCATCTATATTTTTAGGCGGGTCGCAGTCATTCTGTACTGTACTCAAAAGCGTCGGAAGACCTTGGTCAAATGATGACTGGACGTCAAACTCGACTATAGTAGCCCATATTCTTCGTCGCATCTCCGCAATATATGGGGATACTTTCCCTACCACACGATCAGGGTCCTGATGAAGTCCTACTATGAGACTATCACGGATCATTGTACCAGATGTAGTCCAAAACCGCTTCCTCTTGATGAGATTCACTCGCTTAGCGAGATAAAGAAGGCAAGCGATTTGATAATGGACGAGTTTGCGGTGTTTCTGACTTTGCCGCGAGTACCACTCATCACATGCCTTGATCCATTTCTCAGCCATCTGAATCGAGCTAGATTTAATGCCTACAAATTTGTTGGACGCTTGCATATCCAAACAGCAGGATACAGAAATCATGGATAGTAAGAGGGCGGTAAACGAGGCGCTGTTTGTCTTGGATGGGTCCCAGAATGTCTCATACTCGGCTTTGAAGGTTGGTATGTGAACAATGCGATGAATTTGCTCGAACTGATCTAGATATACGGCGACAAGGGAATCTGTTTCTTCTTTAGAAGGAAGAAGTGACTCTAGACCAACGTCAGACTCGGTAAATTTCTTCTCGCGGTCCTGCTTTCGCTTTCTGCGATCCTTCTTTTGAATATTGAGGGGTTTGAGCCACTCCTCGGCTGTCTCTCTCATGAAATGAAATATACCGGTAAGTTCCTGGAGGGACGACCATGCGTTGTGCGGGCCAAAGTATTTAGTCTTGAAGTCATGCCCTCGTAAGTTCGCGTATTCACACACCTCGACATTTTGCGGGGTGCATGTGGGATTTGAAGGCGCAGACGGGCCATCTTTGGCAGAGTCCTTCGAGGTTGATGGCGAGGCCACCATTGTGCTACCATCAATTGATGCTTGCTTTGATAGAGCACTTCTCAGTTGGGCAACCTCGAGTTCAAGTCGCCGAATCCTGTCATGATCACGTACAGCATCTCTGAGCACAGACGGCTCAACCTCGCGACGGGTTGACGGAGGATTCGCCGAGTGACGGCGGGCGTCGGGACTAATTGATACGGGAAGAGCAGAATGAGCAAAGGTGGGTTTCTCGCCTGCAGGGACCGCTGTTACGCCGGGTCTCGACTCATAAGTACACCTCTCGGGTGTCCCGGACTTGATACAACGATCACAAGGCAACTCCCTAGAGCATGAAAGTTTTCGGCGGCGGCATTCTAAACATGAAAGCCTCACTCTTTGGCGCTTCCGTGCGGGACCTTGCTGATGATCATCTTGGTCTTGGTCTTGGTCTTGATCTTGGTCATGGTCATCATCCTCGGATGGCTGAGGCGCGTTACTGGCTTGAGCATCAGCCATTGTCCTGGAGGTGAATTCACGGTGATATGATATGGTGCGAAATCTGACTAGGCGGTCGGTCAAGCCAAATCTGCTAGATTGATAAGATTGACTGAGAATAGATTGAATTTTCTTTTTGTTACATTAGGTACTTAGACATTGGGAAAGTCGATGAATCAATCACAAACGCCTCTAAACTGGAAATGGCTCGGACTTCCGAGGCCCAACTCGGATATCGGATTTAAGTGGCTAGGGCTTCTATTAGTCAGATTAGCCAGATTAGTCAGGTGACTTGAGAATTACTATGTAAGAGTACCTAGTACAAAGTACGGAATAGGTATTCCGGCTGGCCGTACAATAGGTACAGCACCTATGTGGGGTAAAGTTTAAGCTAAAGCTTAGGATGATAGGTATGGTTTAAGATGTACGTAATGCTGGTTTCCATAAGCTCAAGCTGTTATATTTATACACAAAGTAAACAATTATATAGTTTTTTAAACTAAATTTTATTAAGCATTATATTTAAAAGACACAAGTATAATTGCATAAGCTATGCGTTATGGTTTTAATATAAGTTAGTTATTGAGATAACTTAAGATAACTTAAGATATGTTTGCTCGTGGAAGATCTATCCTTTATACTGTACCGCCGGTACCCAAATAACAACGAGACAAAGGCTTCTATGCTCGCTGTGGATATATATAACACCCCTTGGTAGCAAGTTCTCCTAATCGTGTACGGTGTAATACTGTATATAGTATTCGACTTACCAAATCATGGCGACGCAAGTCCGGCTCGTTGAGTTGACTATATCGTTCTCTTTCGTTGACTGGCTGATAACCAACCGCCGTCGTACGCCAATCAAACCCTTCCTTGAGATCTTGGCCGACCATTGATCGACGATGGTGGTTTTACCTTGCGTCGCCCCCTTACCTGTTTTCTTTTTTGATGTCTTTGCAAAATTATGCATGTCGTCTCGGGAATGGAGAGCTGCTCATTACTATAATGTGAGAGACGCGACAGTCCCTACGCTTTTACACGTGGGGCTGCTATTGTCGTTTTGAGGCCTTACCTTAGAGCAGCAGAATACATGTTACCCTCCTAGCTGTGGACGATTAGGTCTCGTTCTTCGAAACTCGAGAATTCCATGGGGAAAAAACGACGGAAGATAAAAGAATCCCAAGACGCGAATAGCGAACACTAGTTGGTAATCCCTCCAGCGCCGAGAAGCTGGTGAACGTCTGGAGAAATGAGAACCCTTTCGCAGGGGCTGACTCCTATTCTTAGGGTATATATCTACCTACTCAACGCACCATAGAAAATCCATCTAACTAGCAATTTAAGTACTAGAATTGAGAAGGAACAAATCAAAAATAAACCCGAATTTAAAATTCGTCCGAGAATTATTTGCCTGGTTGCATCGCGTAATGGTGTGTCGCATAGAAGCATGACTGTGGTCACCGAACGTGGGTGGCAAGTTTCCCCTTTCATGGAAGCATGGAAACATGGAAGCATGTAGGCAGCGGCTCAAATAGCGGGGGCGAAGAGCAATCCCTTCTAGGCGGAATGTTATCGACATGGGCATACCACATCGGTCACCACTCCGAACCCTAGTAAGGGTACAAAGAGTGGCGCGACGTAGCCGAGTGTGACATGCCGTAGCGAGCGTCATTGGTTAGGTAGGTACTGATTATTCGTATGTAGAACAACCCCCCTGCCCCTCCCATGTAGATCGAGCTCTCATGATTCAGTGTTGACGGGACTAACGGAATTGACAAAATTCCATCTTTAAAATCCGCAAATCAATCTCTTAACTCCTTAAGCTCCATAGCATTAGGGATACCGTGGCAATATGACGTTAGGATTGTCTTGTTCCATGGCTGCTTGCATGTGGTGTTCCCACCAGTGGATAAATTGGTTGAGCGTACGATCGGAATGTTCATCTGCCATGCTGAAAATTCCTACGGGCCACCTAGACCGAATTTCAAGGGCCATATAATTTGGCCGGCCATCGCCTTCTTCGACTTCGGTGATGTCCCTGAACAGCTGAGCATCGTCGGCATCCAATGACTGTCTAAACAGGCGGAAGACTACTTCCGCCACGTAGTAGTTTTGCCCCTGTTCCCATAATCCTTTGGCGCAGAGTAGAAGTGTTGACCGCATAGCCTCGTGGGCCGCCGAACCCTTCTCAACCAATGAGACATCTTTCAGAGTGCCGAATCCTAGCAGAGCTAGTAATTGAACGAGCGTGATATCAAGAGACTCGAATCCATGGCGCAAATAGTAGGCCCGCAAAAGTGTCTCGAAACAAGCTTTTGAATGCTTGACAATGATACTGGGGTTCGCTTCGGCATGTATATAACCCATCTGCATGAACGGTTCGAAGAGGCTGATGAGGAGTACATGGTAATGCATACTAAAAGCCGTCAGTAACGTGATTACGCTTGGAGAAACCGTTGCAACCAATAGACGACCTTACTGTATCTTGAGGTGTGAAGGTATAACAGCATCTTGTGCTTGGAGTGGCTTTGGTAGATTTTCATACCAAGTTGAGAGTCTCTCCCTGAACTCTATGGCAGCATTAAGAGACATTCGGTTGAAGTTCCTTAGATGGCTAAACGATAGTGCCGTAATCTCATTCATGATGACACGGAACTGAGAAATTGCCCTGAACACCAAGCCGTTAAATATAGGTATCGGGTCGCGGCTGAGGGGATATTTAACCCATATTTCTCCGTAAAATGACGAGGTATCATCGATGTCGGGGAGTGGACGATTCGGCGGGTCTTTAACCAGTGGCGGTTGGAACGTGTGGAAAGTGGCGAGTCTAGAGTAAGCCTCAGTATAAGTAGCACTATCTAGGCCTACGTGCCGGGTGGGTGAGGATAAGGGATCTTACGCTTGCCAATTGAACAAGCACCACGCTGTTGTTCCCGCGGCGACCTGCCATTCCTTACTTTCATCCGGGCTAGGGGAGAAAAGAGAGAGATCTCGAGCAATTTCGATGGATTTGTATGTATAGGCCCAGCTTATTTCGTCAATACCATTGAGATTGCACGTCAAATTGATAATGGCTGCCGCTTGAGCTGTGGTAATCGTGGGTTGTGCCTGTTCGAGTTCGAAGAGCCTGCGAGCTTCGGCAAGAAATCGATAACCTAGGTTATCGGGAATCCAATATTCAGCCCTATTCTTCATCCGACTATAGCCATGCTTCACGATATTAGTATAGGCAGTCTAAAATGCTGTTTATATAGAGGCTTTCTTTACCCATGCAGCACCGAGAACAGCATTCACTAGCAGGCGGGAACAAAAGCGCTTGTTGCCAACGAACATATCATCAATAAACAAATCTTTATGAAAATACGGATGGAAAGGATATATAAAAACGAAATATATCTGTAAAAGCATGCGTAGCATCGAGTTATCAGAGGAAACTGTTGTCCAGCTTGACACGCTCATAGACGATATTCGAGGATCAACGAGTTCGACGGCATGATACGGCACAAGATACATCTTCTGAGACTCTTCCGAGACGTCTCTTAGTGTTTCTATGTATGTTTGTGGCTGGTGCGACTGTGTACCCGCCTTCTCATATACGGTCGACTGGAGATATGGATTATGCCATTGATTCAGGAAAGGGGGCATCTCCCGGAGGTACGGAAATTCATACCGGAATCGGAACTCTGGCTTGAGCGAAAGTTGAAGCAGCAAATCACCGTCTTGGACAGCCTTGACGATGGTTTGCGCATCTTCGCCCATACGCAGTCGTTGCAAGACTTGGGCAGTTTCTTCGTCAGGTCGAGATCGCATGATCCCAAAGAGATCCTCGTACGCTTGGCATTTAATCTCGAGGTCCGTCAGCTTGCGTTTCTGCGCTCTTAGGTGTGTTTCTGTCGGGAGTGTCGTGTATTCGCAGGGTGTTTGTCGTTCAACGCAGACAGAACATCGCGGTCGTTCGGCAGTGCACTACGTTTCAATCAGCTTCGAAATAGGTATGTTGATGAAGCTAGGAATATTTCGACCTTGCTCTTCCTTTTTCGGCAGGACTCACAAGCCGCTGGAGCGGCTACTCGTTTTACACGATGTTGGGTTTGCGATAAAATGTCCACGCGAGGAGGGTTGGGGGAGTTGGGCAAGAGTGGCCGTAGAGGATGCGACATACAGAATACGCGCAATACAGGACACTATTTGTTGACTAGTAGAGGTATTATAATTGAAATTCCAAATATATTGGGGCGGTTATTTTGTATAACAAAATTCGAGAAGAAATTGCTGACCCCTACATATGTTCTTGATAGCGAAATGCTTTTGTTCCTTGTGTTTGACGTATACTTGATTATATTATTCGACTGTGCTAGAACCGGGTACATCTAACAGTCAGGGGGCGAGATCTGTGAGCCTAGGTGGTTTGAATGTGGCGTTTGCATGCAAAACAGAGAGAATGCAACCGGGACAGGCAGTTTTGAGACCCACATGATGTCCTGTTTCTTTGGCAATATTTGGTAGCGGAGATGGAAGATACGTCGTTGATGATTATGTTTTTAAAGCTTCGTTAGAACTGTACACAAAAACTCATCTAAGCAGACTAGGATGGCTAAGGGGCGATCCACAGGTAAGCGGTTCCTACATCTTAGATATCTAGCAGGGAGTCTTGGTATTATTCAGCCCGAAGCAGCCTACCCAAATAGCTACTATGGGAAATAAACGCTCTACTGATACAATAAGACGATTTAATGATACGGAAATTTAACCAAGCTATCTATTGGGTTTCCTGGTTTCTTCTAATTGGTGTGGTTGTGAATACTGTACAGATATTAGAGATCCATTATATCGTACTTGAAAAATGCCCCTTATATGGATGGCATAACGTTCCAACCAGGGTGTAGACTAACGAAAGCTTCTTACCAAAAATAAGTTTCTAGTATTCTGCCATTACAATGTGACTGCTACAAAGATTCGCGTAGACACCTACCCTTTAAACATCGTGCCAGAAGAGCCAGTCTCAAGCAAAATTAGGGGGTGATTAATGCAAAAATTCCATTTGAGGAAGCTTAAAAATAATTATTCTGACGTACACTGGAGAAAATGATGGTTGACTGTGTCCACTAGATACCTATTATTAGGCTATAATATAATGCGATAGCAATAGGTTGGACGGACTCACTGACGTATATATTGTATAAATCATGGTATAATACTTTTCTGGATCAGAAGTGAAGACGTATGCTAAGTGGAACAGAGAAAAGAAGATCTCCCTCTGCCTCTGCTGTTTTATTGCCTCAAGTTGTGTTCTCCGGTATCATAATCCCCGTATGGACCAGCCGCTCAACAGGAGCAAGCGCCGGAAGCATACAAGCGGCAGTGCCACAAGATCGAATACAGCTCCACCTAATTTCCCGTAGGGCTACTATGGTAGTGTCTTTTTCGCCTTTCGCGGCTGCATTTACGCGGATGGGCGAATACTATGTGTGTAAATGCTGTAACATTTGGCCACTTCCATCCTAGCTTACTCTGGCAATCTATTGAGTATCAAAGCGAGTACCGCCTCGAAATCCTTCCCATACCCGGAACCCTCACTACTTATAAAACGTCGCCCCAACGCTATTCCAATGTCCGAACCGATCAATCTTAGATCTAGGAGGTTAAGAAAGCAGAGAAAACCTTTCAATATCCCCAACTCCGTCCAACCTTAAGGCAATTTGCTTAGCGCTCTCTTCGGTTATGTATTTCGGTATAACCGCATAATCGCACATGCCGTCTCAACACCATCATGAGGTGGACTAAGAAGCATGGTACCAGCTTCGTTGTTCCGCGGGGAACCCCAAGCTAACCACATGGACCTATGGCTATACATACTGAAAGCATCCTTTGTTCTAGATGCCTCATTTAGAACCCCAACAAACAACTAGTTCTTAAGCCCGATAACTTCCTCTCGCAACGCATCTGCTATGGAACTCAACGCGTTTCTTTCGGTCGCAAGTTCCCTTTCGCTTTCCTAAAGACCCGCTGTCTGCCTCCTCTTCTTGCCGCCTCTGGTAGCCGCCACGCAGTTTTTCTCAAACCTTACCACCTTTTGAGTGCCTCTGACTCTGAAGTCATCATCACCGGTAGAAGATGAGTTGGGTTGGCTCTGCCTGCGTTTGCCCTGCTGTATAAAGTTCACGTCTGCGTTACCTTCTACGTCCTCAATGTTATACCCTGTTCGCTCAATTGGAAATTGTGGCAGCTGAGAGATTTATTGCCATCTTGGTGACCTAGTTGTCGGGCTATTATTCAAAAGGGTAAGACGGAGACCTTAAACGGACGGGGAAAGAAGTCATAGAACGTAACAATAACGCGGAAGAAAATATGATCATTTACAAGATGGCCATCAATACCGCTAGACTTCGCTGGAGCGTTCGCAGCAGGATCGAATTGGTTGGAGCCACTGTTCGTTCCGATGATTCCTCGTGTAGAGATTCCCCATCCCAAGATATGGAAGTTATCGAGGAAGTCAAATTCCCGAGAACCAAGTTCCATATATGATTTCTGGGGAGCAAGACCGTTGGTGCTATCACGGGGATTATACAGGTCTAAGGGGTTAATATGGCATTCTATCATTCCCGTTCTGATGCCTGTAAGTTGGTGCCAGGCAAGCAAATGGCTCTTCCACAGCCAGGTGTAATTGATCACCTATTCGAACGAGGTGTGGGCCGTAACGGCTAAATCTGCTTTTGGGGCCTGTGGATTGACACAAATATACCAATGTCATTAGCCAGGCTATTTAGCGAGGTTAGCTAGTCGGATAGAAAAAAGAATACGGGGGGTTTAACGACAGATAATGTTATACCACTTAAAAGTCGAAGATCATGCTTGGTTATTGGCTAGATATTATGCTAGAAGCAGCCTGTATGGTCAAATTTGAGAGTACAGACGTGTTTCCAAATCCTTTCTCGAAACTAGGAACTGTTGACTACGTCACGATGTGGCTAAAAGCCATCACAAATTCGAATATATAGCGATCCCGGGGCTAAAAGTAGCAAACGATGAAATTTGCTATATTCGTCAATAGTGGCATAGTTATACCAAAAGTTTCTGCCGACGAGTGACGCAAAGTAACAACAGCAATCATTTACAAATATTGAAGTAGTTACGTTGTACGTTACAATAAAACCATGTCTCAAATGACTAGGTGCGTCTCCACATTCGGAGGGCATTCCATCACGATATATTGGTCAAGAATATTGGAGCAACTGGCTATGAACGGATTATCCATATATCTTATTCTGGTACTACACTTGACACGAAATCCGTATCTGGTAGAGGATGCATGTAAGTGAGAGTAGGAATAACTTAAGATAAAAACAAACCACATATGTAGCAGGTCGATACTTCTATTTCTTGAGATACCGCCTAACTGGTTAAAAGCTACCTTACTAAAGTATTAACTAATAAATATTATCGATGTGGTAATAAGTTGGGTTTCCATCTGGTCGATCTGTTACGGATATCAATATCTCGAAATGGAAAACCCCGTTTGAGATGAAAAATTATTTACCCCTCTAAACAACTTCTTTTCTGCTTGGTTTCAACCTTGAGTTGTTATATCGTGGTCCTACATGTAATGAATGCTGTAGACGCGCCATTATCGGCCTAGTCATTAAAGGTAAGTATATAACAAAGTTAATCTACCCGCTTCATTGTTGTCCACTCTCTTCTTTGCCACATCACATGCTTACCTAAGCTACCTTTGGACTTTTATGTTATTATTTTATTATTTAAACGTATAAATAAATATGAATAAATATGAATAACTAGTATTAAACTAGGTTTAATATTACATCTTTATATATTTGTATAAAAAAAACCCCCCGGTTAAGCTAAGAGTTTATTTTCTTAATGTGACCAGCCTTTATCCACTTACTTTAAGTACCTACCTACCTCTTAGATAAATAAATAAGTACCTAAACTTAATGGCAATTCTTACTTGGCAAAGTGAAAAAAGCTCATTAGAAAGTAATAAGTTTCAGCAAATCCCTAGGATTTCTTTTTAGTAGCGGATTCTATATACATAACAATACCATACATTTCTCGTTGGCTATGTACCCTGTTGCAACGCCATGTACAATATGACCAAATCTATACATCTTTAGTAGTTTGTCTATTGAAGATTTTGGTCTCTCTTTATTGGCTATTCGGAGCCGGCTCCGGAAGGGTTTGCAATCTTCCTTGTTAAGCTCCACGTTTCTATCTATCTCCTTGGAAATGATCGAGTCACCTAAAATTCATGAAACCTACGATTGATTGGCAACCTTTACGTCTGATTGGTTCTGCTATTTTCAGCTGATCTCTGATTCTCTCGACTATTTCGATTAACTAAGCACCTGTATATCGGGCAGCAAAATCGCATATGCCGCGTTCTAGATATCGACCAAGTTGTGTCTTATGGAGCCGAGGAACTTCAAGAAGCTCGCACCAGCGCCGGCCTCACCTAGCAGTGGTGAAACACCTAGCCAGACATCTTTATCTATACCTGGTCCCCGCAGGAACTTAACAAGGAATGTAAGTGAGGTTCCCATACGCCAACTAGGAGGATGTCTTCCACCCATAACACCCTCCATCATAGGCATGCTCCCCGTGTAAACTAAAGAAAGCCAAGGTAAGAACACCGCTATGATCAGCATGTGTCATGATGCTCCCTAGAAACTCGAAGCTAAAGGTTTCGCAGTGTGATGGAAACCGACCCATGTGCGGGAGATGTCAGAAAACCGGCGATACGTGTCTATACGAAGCGAATAAAAGGGATATCGGAAGATTACAGCTACTAAGTGAGCACGACGCAGCTAGATTACAGAATTTTGAAATAGTGTTTGGGGTATTGCAAAATGGGACCGACTATGAAGCTGCCGAACTATTTTCTCAAATAAGGGTCGGGGAACCCATTGAAATGCTTGCGCCTAAAATAACTCCTTCTCTTTTCCAACCTTCAGCTTTAGCATCGTCCCAACAAGCAGCTTTTGTGTCCGGTTCGGCAACTGCACACGATGGGTCAGAAGGCCCTTCTTCAACAGTAGGATCGCAAAGTTTTATGGACCTCCTATTCGACCAAGATGGTTGGGCCCAGCCTGTTGATGGTATTAACGGCTATGATCCCCAACTAGTCCAGGAAGAATCGCACGACCATGCCCCCGACACCATCCAGAGCGATGGCCAGCAGTCCTATTAGTTCTAATCTACTACCTTATACGACTATCCGACACCTCTCGATTCGATCTCAACTTCTTCGAGATAAGTTAGCCCGAGAATCTCTAGCAATTTTCCATTGTCGACCCGTATGAAACAGAGCGACGGCTTACAAGGCTATCGACGCGTTTTCTATGAGGAATATATAGGGAATAACTTAGAACAAATTTGAGCGTTAGCTGCCGCCGTAACTCGAGCAAGCCAGATAGAAAGGCTTCGTGCTAAGATGGGACATAACACTTCATAGTAAGCCCCTTTCGGTTTGGAAGAATACTTAATGATTCGGCAAGCGGACAATTTTACTTCAAATGATAGCTGCTGACTTTTAAGTTCTACTTAGTTGCCAATATTCGCAAACCTGGTCTTACTCGGTTACATCGGTAGCTGACGCGAGGTTCTTCGTTCTTCTCGTCTTCTATTATCACATATATAGATCTAAGAATGATGGAGGAGGTAAAATATACCTAGATGGGGATTAAATATAGAAAACGATGTGACAATAGTCTGGATACATATCGGGGCTGGGTTGAAGATGGGCCGATGGTCACGCGAACATACCGCATTGCCACCCCGTGTAGGCATATTAGATGGCCAACCCGAACCTCGAGATCTACATACCCAGGAGAATGCCGTCCAAAAAAATGACCCACACTCTGGTGGCTAGTACATATGGGGTATCTTTTTGACGCTATTCTGCCTAGCAGGACGGCTGCTTTTATGCGAATATGTACGCAATGCACTTCTCAGGCGGCAACTTGAGCTGACCTGATCAGCTGGTAAAGAAGATTGTCAGATCCCCCCAGGTTGGACTCTAGAAATACGTAGTTGAAGCATTGAAGCAGCTCAAGAACAAACAGCAGCGACGCTATATTGACTTTGTTACCCTACAATTTTTTTCTTTAATACCTAGCCCTCCCAGATCTGCATGGGGTCTACCTTGTTGCCGGGAATATGCGGCTCGTTTTATTGCATGCTCATATCTGGATTGGTATAATTCGCCTAATAGAAGTGGAACCTGTCGACGAATACTAAGCAAGCGCTCAACGCGCTGACTGATGAAGACTAGCTAGAGTCTCGAGAAGCTGAACTTGCGTAGTTCTTGGCTATAATTACATACTTACCTACCTAGGAGGTACCTAGGAAGTACTCTGCTGTCTAAAAATAATCTCCAATGAGGGACTTCGCAGGACGCCAACAAGCTGTACCCCCACGCCTCATATTTGAACGTGCATACTAAACACTGTCTATGTATTTTATTGTAGATTTTTACCATGAAGAAGATTTTTTCGTTATATACTATACAGACCAAGGACTTCTGGGGACACGATGACTTGGGCCCCGCGTGCTATAACCAGAATAACCACAATTCTCAAAGTCGAAGTTAGAATTAGAACGACTGTGTTAGACGTAACGGCTATAAATATCTTACCTACAACAGTATAAAAATGTATAAAAAGGAGTCGATCAATATATGCCAGCATGATATACCTGCCAAAAAGCTGTAACTGCATAACTAAAATAATATATACTCCGAGTACGCTCCGAATAACTTACTAGAGAGAGCCGAAAATTTGCGGCTCAGCTTGGCGTTGTGGTCTCCTCGGTAAGCTAGGGGGAAGCATGTAGGAAACCAGAGTGTTACGTACCTAGGTATGAGCCCTTCAGTCCTAGACAACTGGGCGTCACGCACGTGACACCCATTAGACTCCTCATAACCGGACTGTCTCCGGGGCGCCTGATTGGCCGGAGATTGCTATTGGAGCTGGCCATGTGCTATGTACCTACCCAAGGAGTAAATTATATGGGATAGTCACGTGAGCCACAGTCGGAATGTACAAGGTACCTTAGGTACCTTTGAGTAAACCCCTTTTTTGCCCGGGAGCCTGATGTACCTAAAAGCCAATGACAACATAGGTAACATATTAATTATAGGTACTTATTTAATAAACCATTTACCTTTCGGGGCTTTATATTTTTCAGAGAAGTTGCTATTTTGAAATCGTACCTGTTTGATTTATTTTACATACCTAGGTACCTAGGTACCGAAGTCTTTAACCCGCCCCCGCGTATTATGGCTGAGCAGGTGGCTAAAGTACTAAGGTACGAGGTAGGTACGCGACTCAATTTTCTCCTTGTCATCTACATCACACGATAGCACCAACCGTGATGAGCCATAGCGCTAGTATTTTCGCGGCATTGATTCGGACTCATCACATAACTAGTCGCAAGAAACTTGCGCGTGTGAAGAAAGCGGCCCTCCTTCACAACTTGCATGTGCTTATCCGAAGTGGAGGATCGCCCGGTATTATGTACGCCGAAGGACCTGATGAAGCCTCCGTCAGTAGCTGGGTCAATATGATCCAGGCTCTACGATATAAGGACTTCCAATGCGCAAGAAAACCGGCCGCCCATCAGATCCGGAGTGCTGTCGAGCGGCTAAAAGACGGCGGGTTTGAAGAAGTTGCCTCCGTAACTGAATTCGGCGAGAGAATGGAGCAACGGGGTTTAGGAAGCTGGTGGAGAATTGGGAGTGAGTGTACTCCGGAGTTGGGTTCGGATTTGGTGATAGGTATTGCTAACTTTCAATGTTGTAGTGGGCTATGAAGCATCCGATCAGCGATAACTTCGCGACTTTACAAAAGCCGCACGCAAACCGTCTATGACAGGAATCGAATAATTAGACCTTTGATACTCGATTAATTTCATTATCTCATATATCTCATCTACTATACTTCGTAGTTTACGGCAATATATCGAGGCACAGCTATCAAGCGCGGAGTCAATCTTTCTTCCCCACATATACGGATTGTCAACGGGGAGGGACACAATTTGACATTGCCCTTGAAAGGCTATTCTATATAGAAAAGCCGACAAACCTCGAAAGGTCAATTATGAGATACATACTATTGCGGCTTGTGACTTATGCCGGCGAGGTTTCCAAGTTGAAAAATCCGTACCTTACCTAGCCTCCTGGAGGTAACAAGGTAAAGATAAAAATAGAATGGGAACATGCAGTTACTCATATTTCTAATACAGGCCATCATCACATTGCCGATAGACTTGTCTAGATGTGATGCGCGCATTGAGATCGTAGAGAAACCTGGAGAATTTATCCGCAACCTGAGATGTTCAACCGGTCCAATGACATCTACTGGATTTATTGAGGTTTAGCTTTTTCAAATGAAGAATCTGGCCGAATACAAATAGACGGAATGTACTTGTCCTTATATTAATAATCGTGGTGTGTTGGTTCTGCGATGACAGGTTTTACGAAGGGGCGGCCTGGAAACATAAAACCCCTGGCTACTCTCAGCTCGGATCGTCAGTCAAATTGCCTTTGCGAACCCAAACTACGAGGCTAACCTGAAACCGTATCATTTTGGGACGCTGTTTTACCGGCCTGGAAAAAAAATGAGGGTTTCGCTTTACGCAGCGCTTACTGCGGTGGCCGCCACTAAGGTGGCTGCGCACTCTTTATTCCAGGCTCTCTGGGTCGACGGAGTCGATATGATAAGTCTTGAGCTCTCTTTATCGGCTGGCATTAAACTAACCTAGTTAGCACGGCGCCCAATGTGTTCGTATGCCTGGGTCTAACAGTCCCGTCACCAACGTCAACAGCAACGATATTCGATGCAATGTGGGCGGCACCAAAGGTATCTCAGGCAAGTGTGCTGTAAAAGCCGGTTCCATTGTGACAGTTGAGATGCACGCGGTATGATATGCGATATGCTGTACCAGAAAACGTTAAGATGGAGTTGTTGACCATAATAAAGCAACCCGGTGACCGAAAGTGTGGCAGCGAGGCAATTGGCGGAGCCCATTATGGCCCAGTGAACGTATATCTCAGCCAGGTTCCCGACTCCTCATCGGCCGACGGATCGACCCCATGGTACAAGATCTTCGCAGACTCATGGTCGCCCAAGGGCTCAGTCGGCGACGCCGATAACTGGGGCACAAATGATCTCAACTCATGTTGTGGAAAGATGGATGTCCCGATCCCAGCTGATACCCCTGCTGGTGATTATTTACTTCGTGCTGAAGTCATAGCTCTACACACGGCGTCGTCAGCAGGTGGCGCACAATTTTATGGTATAAAAATTAATCTGAAATCCCCTTTAGAATGTACGCAATCGCTAACGCTCAGTAGTAAGTAGTGATAATGCTACCATTTCGACTCGCTCGAAAAAGAACGGTAAAGTTCCCAGAATTACAGGATCGTAAAGCTGACAAGATGTTTTCATATATTTAGATGTCGTGCTACCAGCTCAGCGTCACTGGTGGCTCGGCCAAGGCTGCTGCCCTGCCGGCCGGCGTCAAGCTTCCCGGAGCCTTCAAGAGCAGCGATCCTGGCATCCAAATCAACATCCACAGTAAGATAAGCAACTACGTGAACCCGGGTCCGGACGTCATCGCTAGCGGTACCACGAAGCAGGCCGGCTCGGGCTGCTCGGCTGGTTGCGCGAAGACTTGTGCTGTTGGCTCGGGGCCCGTCGGGACCGCTATCGGATCTGCCCCCAAGCCTACCTCGGGCGCTGGTGGGGGCCAATCCGGATGCGCGCAGGCTAGATACCAACAGTGTGGTGGTCAAGGATACACGGGATGCACGGCATGTGCTGAAGGCCTTACTTGCAAGGAGGTCTCCGCGCCTTATTACTCCCAGTGTGCTTAAACGCGGATGGATTTATGTCGTACTGAGATGAGTCTTGTACTTAGTTAGCTTCGCTCGTTTATTAATACAAGGATGCTTCATATAAGCTACCTATTCAGGCATGAGCATTATACAATTATTCTGAAAAGTATATTGTCTCTTTTGCTCTGATTTACAACGGCTTGTCCCGTCAATTGTTAATCTACCTAGGTACATACATGTAGCAAACGGTAGAGGCTATTTATAGCTCCCCGTTTAGCCCGTCCCTCTCCCTCGGGTGTTATAGGTACATATAGGTACATATGCATCTACGTATTGTACTAAGATCAACCCCTGTCACCTGCAGCTACTCGTCCTGGCCCATACAAGGGCTAGAGAAATTCCCCACAAAGACCGCCGAACGCTCCGACGATCGCTTTTATCAACTTAATTCAATCCCGCCTCTTCTACTTCACCCCCCTATTCATCAGGTATCTCCTAGCTTGGGCAAAAAGGAGTGGAAAAAGTAAAAAAGTCCAGCAGCAGCCATGGCCCCCCTCAACGAAGCCCACAAAACCCGCATCATCTCCCACATGAACGCTGACCACTACCGGGAGTTGGAACACTACCTGCGAGCCTTCAACGGATTATCCGCTTCCGCTTCTCGCGGGGCGCAATTAACGGACATGACAACGGACGCCATGACGATCCGCACCGCATCCGGCACCACCCACTCCGTCGCCATCAAGCCGCCCCTAGTCTCTGCCGCCGACGCGCGCGTGCGCCTTGTCGACATGGCTATGGAAGCATTGCAGAAGCTCGGCCTCAGCGACATCCGGATCACCAGCATTACGCGGCCGCAGGGTATAGGCGCCGCGACATTCCTAGGTGTCGCTCTGTACATAGTATGCGCGGCCACGTTACCTCTAGTACAGCCAGGTACTACAGCCTGGACGCTTCTGGACGCGTACTTTCCCTTCGGAGGCGTAGCGCGATACTTCTGGGTAGTGCGCGCGATCCTCGTGCCGACTGTGGTGCTGCACTTGTTCGAAGCGTGGTGGATGACGTGGTCGCGGCTAGAAAAGCACGGCGTCGAGATGTTTAGTACGTTGTGGCTCTTGTGGGTTGGGGACGTTCTGATGGAGGGGTATCCGGCCATGGTTCGTTTTGACGGGCTGGTGGAGGCGGAGCGAAAGAAGAAGGAGAGCGGGAAGCATTGAGAACTGCTAGGAGTGCTTCATTGTGGACGCAATGGCTATATAGAGGAAGGGACAGAATCTTCTAGAGTACGGTGTAGAGGATTAGAGAGATAGATATTGTTATATAAGGTACTAATTATTACTAGCTAAGTGGGCGGCAATGTGATTATAATAATCCTAACTGATAAAATCAACATCATGAAAGTGATAATGGGTTAGGTGATTAGTATTGGCCGTAAACCCCTCCTACAAGAATATCAAATAATGTGTACAGTAAGGGGATTAGGTGTTCACGATGTCGAGGTCAGCCCTCATATAGGGGCCACAACAAACTGAAGATTTTATCACAATCAAACGATAACTTATCAAAGCAGGAGGATAGTCCTGTTATATTCCTTGTCTAGTTGCTTAAAATGTAGTCCAATCCCCCTAACCCCTTTGTAGGGTGGAATTGTTCATCAACCCGCTAGACGAAGGGCGAAATGGATGAAATGTCTTGCCGCTACCCTCCAATGATCCTGACTCGACATGTCCTAATCCCCCCTATTCCAATTCGACCCAAACATATCCAAACCTACACCTTCATATAGGTCTCCTATGCCAAATTCGAATGCTGAATGCTCGATATACTCGCTACTATGGGTATTTTATTGGCCATGTGCCATCGTAGGAGAACAGGAGAAAGCGAATCCCCGACTCAAAAGAAATATCGCTAAATGTTAACAAAAAGACGGCTAGCAGCGCCGACGAGACTACCGAGTTACCTTTAGTAATTCTAACGACGGGGGACCTGGAGGTAGTTAATATCAGTGAGGTAAACCGAAGTGTCTCAGATCGTGGAGACTTTACTTACATAGGTACATATTCGTAAGTGTGCGGCCGTCGGATGTATCATGTTGGAATTCTAGATGGGACATCTAGAGCAAATGACACTGTCAATGTGTATAGCTGTAGGCTCTCGTAGTCATCTTAGAGTTTCTCGCGGAACAACGAAGTTGTTTCCTTGCTTCTTGCTCCACCTCGTTACATATCGCGAATTCAGCCCCAGCATCAGCCACCATCCTCAAGAACTGATGTGAAGAGGAAAAGTTGGTAAGTTCGACGTTGTCCTCGTTACTGAAGTTCCTGTATAATTCTTACCAATCGAGGAGCAATTCCAGAAATACTGTGTTGTCCCCCCTACTCACTAGTTCGTCGCTTCAGTAGCACAGAGAATAGCGTTGATACCCTGTCCAACCCTTGACGTAACTGAGAAATGCTGCGTATGGGGTACCATACTAATGTTGCAATGATGTCTTATGGATAACATTGCAGAGGGATAGTCATCGAAAGAGTTGGAGGGTTGCCGGGGCAGGCATGAATCCATCCCTATACAAACCCTTCAGAAATTTCTCCTTGAACGTATGGCGACCCTGGAGGTGGAACGCCCCTGACCGGGCTTCCTCTAAGGCTAACTTAACGCCGGGCGCGTCCATAGCTCTGCGCAAAGCCTCGTCGCAGGCGTTATGGAGAGAGCAGAGGACTCTCAATCCAGACTCCTTCACCTTGGTGATAGCAACCCTTATATCCTCTAGCTTTTCGTACCCCCGGTCGTATTGCCTGAGTTCCTTCACTTCCAGAATCAGGCTCCGTTTGGGAGTTCTTCGCAGACGGCTGAGGATTTCGGTGGGACTGAGCCCCTTTTCGTAAAGTTCGCGTGCCTCCTTGCCCTCGGGTTCTTTATTCTTATCGGGACTTAGCAGGCACAAGAGCTCTGAGAACTCAAGTACGAGGCCATGCTATGACGAAATCTATCAGTAACTACTTCTAAGACAGACTAAAGGAGTTGATAAGGAACATTGTTTTCACTCACATATATCTCAATGGCCCCGAGGAGTTCCTTATGTTTAGACTCATTGGTCCGTTTGTCGACGCCGGTGATGATGCAGTCCGTGTCTCTTAATCCGCATCGTGTACATTTTAGAGAGCCCTCTCGCAATTCGCACTTGACTTTCGCCTTTCTACAAGCACTACACGAGTTATTTCGGACGGTACGTTGCTTCTTTTGGCGTGGCCCGAGTCCGCTGTCGATCGGGCCCAAGTTTAGTTCTGAGGCCGCGCTGACCTTGCGCTTTGGCCCTAGTCCGGCCGACCCCCCTAACGGTCGCTTAGGTATCGACCGGATTTCATTGTGCAGCTGATCCGTTTTTGACCCGCCGGATATGCGTGGAGCTGGTACAACTGGAGTAGCCTGGACCGCATGCTGCTCTATTTGCAGCCTAGGTCCTGCGATAAACTCGCTTGGTTGGCCTATCTGGTTGAAATCCAGGTCCAGATCAGAGTGTAAGAAGGAATTACCGAGAAATACATTCTCAACACCCAACCGCATGCCCGGCACAAGAGGCTGGGTATCATCTGAGCTTCCTTGAGGAGACCAATCATCAGCAGGTGTGCCGACATGGATATTATTATTAGCACTATCAGCACCCGACCCCGAAAGTCCATGAAAATAGAATATGGGATCTTGTAGCCATGGGGATGGGGCCTGGGTGAGTTGCTGATCGATGGCTCCGTGTCCCTTGGGGTTTAGTCCCTGCTGCTGAGTTGGCATTAGGGGTAGCTGACTCGGGTCTAGCACTTGTCCCGGCACAAAGTTCATGGATGGGCCTCAATAATTGTTAGTTCTCTAAACTTGATGACTGTGTAAATAATCATGGCACTTACCAGCCATGCCCTCTATCTGCGAGAGTGTCAGGGTCAAATTTTCTCGTAGCGGGGCCAGACGTCCAATCCAATATTGATTCCTGTTCTCAGTAGCTGTGGGAGAGAAAGGGAGTTCGTTGATGATTTCAGAGTAACCTGACGTGTTACGAGAACTCATTTTGGCTGAGGTAGTAATGATTTTCGCTCTTTAGTGATTGTCGATGCTCTTGATTTAGGTATACGAATAGTAGTAGAAAGAGAAAGCCTATGTTGCTAAAGAATACCGGTGAATTTAAGTAATAACTGAACCACTGATTAATGGTAAGGGATCTGCCAACACAGTTGGGTTAAGTTGTAAGTTGTTTTGTTGTTGTTTTGTTTACTTGAGGACGCGAGTAGGGAGTCCTTTTTTGTTGAACTACAAGTTAAGTTTACGCCTTTAGACGGGCAGTTTTTTGCCTTTAGGACTTCAATGATGGTTTAAATAACTTCATAGCTTTAAGGGGTATATGCATTCTAATGTGGGTGAACTTAGGTCAGTATGCCCAGGAAAATAGCACCGTCCCTTGACTGGTTTAATACTGATATGATTATTTTTGTTGGGAAGTTAAAGAACAGGATCAGGTAAAAGATAGGATAGTTGTCCGGCGTCCACCTTGAAGGGGTGCTGGTAGCATGCTGACCTAGAAATAGAATGCGTTATGTTGGTAAGTAAATGTAATTTCTTCGAGTTAACTTTGTGTAAATATTGAAGACTCATTTTACCATTTGTATAGGTACCTAGTTATAAGTTATATGTAACTAGTCAAAGTTTAAGTTTTGTTCGATTAGTTCACTGGGCAGCTATCCCAAATAATCATCTATATCTAGGACTGTCATACTGACCCTACCTACCTAAGGTATATTGATATAACTCCCAACGTAACCTTCAACCATTAGTCTCAGTAATGAAACGTACATAAGGTATCTTTCCCTCCCGCAAGTACCTTCCTTCAGTAGCTGAGTACCTCCTATAATAACTCTTTCAAATCTAGTTTAGCTATGTACTTTGTAAGGCAAAGTAGGTACTCTTCGAGTTGCTCTTCCCCTAGGTTAGCAATTCTCATCAGTGCGAATGCAATGTAAGTATGAAGTGATCATAAACTAGGTAGGATTTAAAAAGATCGTCCTTATTACCCTAGTTACCTAGATACAGATGGAAGTTCAGGCCCATCACCCATCCAATAATGAAATAGGTGCAATACTAAAAGATTTAATCTATAAGGTTCGATTTCGTGTTAGTGAGGTTCAATCCGATGTTGACTCAATAAGCTAGTGGTTCGAGCGCCTCCGTTTCACGGTCCCGTATGGACTAAACTATCGGGCTGGGCCAAAAAGTCGAATAATTCAATGCATGTAAGCTGGGACGTTCGCATGTTAAATTTTAACGCTAACCTTAACGTTATTTATAACCCCTATATAGTGTTATTAGGGATCTTCCATGAGGCAATGAAACCATAGATTCCGTAGAGAGCTATAGGACTGGTTAACAGAACACAAGTAGCTAACACGTCCTGTTGTATTATATAGTAGAAATTGAATCTAGGCTTACAGGACTACTTAATAGCTTCATCATCCTCCCAAACCACATTATGGAAATCTTCCATTTTCTGCTCCAGAAATGAGCTAAATATTTTAACTGTAATCTTCCTATTGCCTTATTGCTTAGAAACAAATTCCTTATATGGGCTGGCAAATACAGCCGCCGGATGACGTAGAGGCACATTGGGTTCCCGGTTCACAGATGGAGGAGAGGACCCAATACGAGTTAATACAGGCTAGAACTTGGGACGAGCCGTTAACTGGGCTATGTACAATGACCAAGTTAGCATACATTTCCCCTGAGCGATGATGGAGCAATGACCTGGTCATCTAGGTATAGGCGTACTTGAAGCATTGAAAACTGCCCGAGACACAAGAAGACCCTTGTCTTCTGTGAGTAACAGAGACGGATAACGGTAGGGCTGCTAGAGTAGTTGCTGCGATTAAAGATGGAAGCTTCATCGTAACGAATACTCTATGACCTTCGTACTTAGCCTGAGGGGAACGGTAAATATTGATTATTCTGCACCGGGTTACCCGAGGAACATCAGTGCCAATGAAAAGGTTTACGTGTCATTATACTAATCCGTGCATAGAAGTGATTTGTGCTTTTATATATACTTAGGTTAGGTAGGTACCTAGATACGTTATGACTGTCCTGTGATATCATCGAATTGTGCACGTCCCTAAAAACCAAAAAGAAACCACCACACATTAGCTTCAGCCTAGACTCAACCTGACAGTTTTTACCAGATGATCGAAGTATCTGGCAGGTGTCACATAGATTCAAACTGTAAAGTGTGGTTAGAATTGGAAGTTAAGTTCATCTAGAAAGGGAGTTAAACTTTCTCTATGCAGCTAGGATGATGCTGGGTATATCGCAATTCCACTAAACCGTATATGTTGTCTACGTCAGCATTTCTTTTGAATTCATTAAGAAGGTCATATAGTGAATGCGGTGATTATATTCAGCTAACAAGATAAGCGTAACGGGATTCAGACGTACTGATCGTTCATAATCGAGTCGGTCCCGACGAATCAGAAGATAACGGACATCCTAATTTGGTATATATTTCTATGGGCGCCACTATACACAGGATAGGGCCGCACCACCACTAGAGAGTCAAACCCCTGGTGTTCTTCTACCTAGGACCGTACCGGTGGCATACCCGCTTCCGAGGGTTCTGAATACGTCATAACTGCAGGTAACCATTGATAAAAATAAGTCTCTTGTAATTGCACCAATCTACCACATACCCTTCATATCATAATATACTCTTTAAATATCAGTTATTCCCTTATTTCGTAAACCTGTTTAGTTGACATTAGTGTTCTCAATTCTCCGACTATGTTTATACTAGAACTAACCGTCCTCTGATTAAGATGGCCAACAAGGACCATCATCTCCAGTTGTTTCCTTCTTCGCCAAGGCCAGATGGTTCGAGCCTATGGTTCGCCCCGTCTCCAGTGGTGCCATGGTTGGAACGGTTGCCACCGTTCTCGCCGTTACCCTCAATCTGGCCTCCATCGTTTTCATCTACTACCCCATTCTCCAACAAGCTTTCGTGAGTTTCGGGGACAACAAAGCCTCTATAGCCAGCTCTGCTGGTGCTTCCTGAATTGCGTAGTCCAATGAACACGAGATGGATCAACTACAACCGGAATTAGTAAAAAGGGGGAGAATAAAAGACAATAGTGATTACCTGGACAATGCCAACGGCCACCACCACACCGAACTCGAACCCGGCACTGCGCTGCACTGAAACGCTAGTTAGTAATTATTCAAGTAAAGCTCAATGAACTATTGACATTGCTTACTCGTAGCACGCCAGGGAACGAGGCAGGAACTGCCTCTATCACCATGGAGATCATGACACATGCCTCTGGGCGAACTACGATCCACCATAGAGCGGAGACCACAGCAATTGAAAGTATCCTGTATACGTTGAATAGCCCTGTCATCATGTGCGCTCCATAGACTTTGCCAGTTCCTCTCTAGACCACATTCTATTACCTGGCCCGACGAGAAACCCTCGGCTGCGAGGGTGGCCAGAACGACTGTCAGTATGGCCTGCAAAACCGGAGGCGCTACAGGCAAGAACCGTAACAGCGTGGACGATGATGCAGCTCTCTGATGAAACAGCCGGCGAAGTTGCGGCGTATATAAGATGTTTGCGGCTGCTATAAAGGGTAAAATAATTGTAAGGGCAGTAGTGCCGGTCGATATGGGGAAAGACAGGTTGCTCGAGGTGACCTGTACATAGCTGCGATGTGTTAGTCGTAGCAACCGGGTGAGTAAATAAGCCAAGCAAAAAATAAAAGATGAAGGCGAATAATTTACATTGCAACCGCCGCCAATACGAGGAGTACCTGTTTTAAAATACACGTTAGCTCAAAATTGATGATAAGGAGAAGGGGGGGAGAAGCTGCTAACAAAAGGGAAGGCAATTGCCAAGTTGGCCATGATGGGGTTGAATGAGGAGAATCAATTGATATCAGCTTTAGATGAGGACGAATCCGACGGAGGAGTTTATTATGTATTATTTGAATTTAAGATCGTCGAAGAATGCACTTGCATTGCGCATTTGCATTTAGGCCCAACCTTGTCATTTTCTCTTTCCTCCGGAAATGACATATGAGGATGCATGTTTCCTTTTCGGACCAATACAATTCAATTGCTTGTCTGTTATTGCAGATATTGTGTAACGTAGAAGTAGCAACCCCTCACGCAGCCTAACAGCCTGCTTCTTCTCTTTGTCCGAGTCCGCGCTTGACATCTGATTTCTGATGTATCACAACATGAATCCAAGTTCCAAGCTTACCTAATAGAGGGGCTAGCTCGGTAGTAGATCTACACCTATTAATGCAATAATGTTAGTCGACATATGATTAAAAAGGTATTATTACTAAGACATACCTATTATTACAATTGTTTATTTACCTATCTTTAACGAAGTTTTAACAAGCAACTCTGGAACGAAGTAATCAACGAGATGGAACCGCACTACATAGAGGTTATGCCACCATATTTCACAAGGATTAGATGTGGCTATGAGGCTTCTTAAAACTCACTGTTACTTGGCTAATGCTTGGTGGATGGTAATAGGGGTGAGTTCGAGTGAGTAGGCATACTCTAGATAGGTACTGAAGCTTGGCTTATACATACCTAAGGTAAGTATGTATGTTACAACGCGGAATAACTAAGTTTAATATATGGGCTTGTCAGTTCGTATAAGCTGAAGTGCTAACCCTTAACTAGGTAGTTCAAATTGTTAGTTGACGATTTTCCTAGCATCTTGCAGCGCCAAGCTCGTACCCCTAAGGCACATCACCAGATTTCTAGAAAGAGTCGTCGATCTTAACTCCCGAAATCCGGTAGAAGTTAATCAACCTTGTCTTGGCAATGTCTTAACCTTCCTATCTAAGTGTCGTTGTAGGTACGACTTCGGGATGTGATGATCCGCCCGCAGCGGATCACTGAGCACGCATACCATTATATAATAGAGCACGGATATTCGTGATAATGTCAACTCTTACTTCCGACAGTGTAGGTTATCGCACGACTAATTACGGGTTCAAAATACTGGGAAGTTATGAGCGTCCAACATAAATTAGCTGCACACTTCGTATCTGCGATCATCATATAGAGCAAACAATCGATCCAAACATGATCCGCTTTATATTCGCTGCGGCTCTAGCCACCGTATCAGTTGCTCTTACTGCTCGCCAGGAAATCAACAACGAGCCGCTATTCACAATCGAGTTGGGGCCTGGTGTGACACAGCAGGTGACTGAAGCTGAGAAGCTAGCCCTCAAGTTTGTGAGTAACACTTACATTAACACTTACATCAACCGAAGTTGAGACTTAAATTGCTGATCGTTTCTCAAAAGGAAGGGAAGTCGTTCATCGATATCACCAACCGAAAGAACTTTGTACAATCCGTATCAACCGAAAACACTGCCAAAACCGCAGCAGTGATATACCCTCGTTTACTAAACCAGAACGACACCGTTCGCGGGCTCATTTCCAAGCTTAGCAAGGATAATGTAAAAGACAAGTTGACGACTCTCACCGAGTTCCACTCTCGATTCTACAATACCACTTGGGCTAAGGATGCTTCCGACTGGTTTCTCTCCGAGGTTCAGGGGATTATTACGGGGAGCGAAGCCAAAGGCGCGACGGTAAAACCATTCGAGCATAAATGGGCACAGAACAGTATCATAGCTACGATTCCCGGCAGGTCCACCGACAAGATCGTAGTTGGTGCGCATATAGATTCCGTTAACCAGGATGGCTGGGACACTCGATCACCTGGTGCTGGTAAGCCACTGTTCATTGCACTTAGTGAGCCTCCCGAAATTGACAAGGCGTGAACTAGATGATGATGGATCAGGTTGCGTGACAAACCTGGAAGCTATGAAAGCTCTCTTAAGCGATCCCATAATTGCAGCTGGGGAGGCGAACAACACGATCGAATTCCATTGGTACTCCGGTGAGGAGCTTGGCCTGCTTGGTAGCGGTGAAATATTCGACTCGTACGCTGCTGATGGAGTTGTTGTCAAGGCGATGCTCCAACAGGACATGACAGGATGGGGTAACAATCCTAGTAAGTACTAATTTATGATCATTCCGCAACCCCCCTTTTCTCGACATAAAAGTCCAACAAATACTACGAGCCCGCTTGGGGGTAGTTGGTGGTGGGTGGAGTGGATGAGCTCTACTGCCAAAAGTCAACTATATACTTATCTATGATTCTACAGTGGGTGTTATAACCGACTATGTCGACCAGGACCTTACGGCTTTCATCCGCCTAGTTACCGAGGTAAGTCCCCTTATCCTATCAAAACTAGCCTGTAACTAACAGTAGGAAATAGTATACTGACATCGGCTACGTCGACACACGCTGTGGTTACGCCTGCTCGGACCACGGATCCGCTACTGCTGCCGGTTACCCAGCTGCTTTTGTCATCGAATCCGACAGGCAGATTTCCAACAATAACATCCACAGTGCGAGCGATACCCTCGACACTATCAACTACGACCACATGCTTGAACACTCCAAGCTTGTCCTCGGTTACGCGTACGAGCTTGCTTTAGCTCCTCTATAATTCGAACTCTTAGGTTATCGGCTATTGTGTGGATGGTTTATATTTGTTGCCTGGCTACCTATATTTAGTATCACTTACTGGCGATACCTTGAAAACTTTTATGCTTTACAAATCATTCACATAGGTAGTCGAAGGGCTTGTGATCTGAATGCTACGAAACTTATCATAAAAAACTATGCTATTCAGTACAGTAGGCGTAAAGCCATCCACCGGATGGGTATCATTCCGCATGAAAAGACCGAAAACCCGTCATAACGATCATCCGTTGACCGTGGTGATATTTGCGAGTGAGAGCTATGTGCAATGAGAAGTAGAAGCCATAGCTGCAATATTATGTGTTATATGTCTGACTAGTTGATGTCGTTCATCAATCATGATACTCAAGTGAAGCATCTTTCATACGAAGGACTCCCCTCCAAGACTCGGAACGCCTAATGATCCGCACTTGAGAATTAAAAAAAACCCCTAAGTGGTGACCCGATAGTAACTCAACGATGAGAACACACTCGAATTGCCATATGGGTGAGAATAGAAACCGCCGAACTACCTAGAAATAATCAGCAAAAAGCTCATAATCCTCGTACAAACGGCATAGACGGACCAATTCCAAGTTAATTAACGTGTTTACCATCCCTCATGAATATGCAATCCCCGCGGGGTTGTAACAGAAGATTTGGCCTCTATTCTAATAACCAAGCCGGTGGAGGGCTATAGAGTCTCTGACTTGTCTTGCCATAGTAGTCATCGTAGAGAGTCGCCCTAGAATGGGATCTGATGGGGATCGGCTGCTGATCTGAATGTACAGCTTGTCGAATCGGTCGAGATAGGAGCGCATGAGATTCGGGACTACATCGCGAACCTGAGGGTCCTGTATGGAATTCTGTTTAGAGTTGTTATGTTTGGAATGAGGCTGGTCACTAACTATGTGTGGGAGTGATGCATGTAGTATACGAATGACTGCTTCCACCCAGTTGATTTTCTCCCGAAGGAGGGGGCCGTCGAGTTGTTCGGCAATGACGGATGCCACAGAGAGTGAAACTAGAGCTGGCAACTCTCGAAGAAACTGAGGATCCAGCTTGACAAGGTATTCGTTGAAGACTTCTGGATGGCGGCCTTGCTGAATCCATCGGACCAATCCAGTCTCGTATTCACCTCTTTCCATGAGAGCTGCGACGTTGGCAATCATGTGTTGAAGCTCGGGATCCCTAGCATTCGGCGGCTCTCTAACGCTAGAGTTGTTCGATGCGAACGGTACCATCGGAAGAGAAGTGTTCGCCGTCGGACTTCCATGCAAAAATGACTGTGACTGCAGAGACTGGGCGTAGTGAGCCTGGGGTGGTTGGTGCTGTGTGTTAGAGCCATGCTCACGGGGGTTCTGCTGCTGCATTTTTAGAAGGCTATCTTGAAACTGCGCCTGTGTAGCGGCCATGGCGGTGACCGTGTCAGAAAGACTAGTTACCAGTGCTGTGAGCTGGTCAATCTTATTACTGTCGGCAATGTGTCGCTGTTCGAGCTGTGCTATCTGCTCTGCAGTTCGATCTTGCACTTCTTGCACGATCGAACGAGAAGCTGTCACTGCTGTATCGTTGATGAGAGGAGTGATAGTAGCCACGAATGACTGGCGGAAGTTCTCTAGATCAAGCGCTACACTGCTGGCGACCTTGTCGGAAATAGATTTGGATAACTCGGGCTTTTGGAGAGACTGATTAACAGCATTCGGAAGAAGCTTTTGCATCTGGTTTTGAATAGAATGCGAAACTCGACCGATCATCTTACCATCAATCTGTTCCGAAATTGTCTTCGTGATCAGAGTACTTAAAACAGGCACCACATCGCTCTCAAACTGATCACTGATAGTTTTAGTAAGCACAGCCTGAACGTTTGCGTTCAGCACATTGGACACTTTCTCAAGTAAGAGGTGCTGATTCTTGGTAAACTTGTCGTCGCGAGCCCGGAATTCGTTGTCAACATTTTCCCGGTGATCTTTGAACTCGCTATTGATAACTCCAGTCAGCTTGTCGCCAAGGCCAGATACTATCTGTTTGACGGTTGACTGAATAGCTTCTTGCGATATAAGAGGTTGGGGTGAAGACATAGTGGACTTCTCTGAGTGCTTCGAGGGAGTCGAGTCAGTTCGTGACTGCGAGCTACCGTTTAGTTGTGTATTCTCTGTAGCCAACTTTTCAGCAACAGCGGCAGCTTTGTCTCGCTTCTTCCGAGCCTTCTTCTCGCTCTTTTCTAGTTGGCTAGCAGGCGTGACTGGAGCCACGCTCTCTTTCTGCTCGGATTGTCTAGTGAGGGACTGGTTATCACTACTCTTTTGAGATAAATCTTGCGCGGAAGAAACTGTTGAATATTGTGGCGGGGGCGTCTCTTTCATAGGCCGAATTCGAAGAGGGATACTATGCTCTTCTGTTGGCTGAGGCTCAGAGACCAAAGCGCTGGGTAACTCTTTCAACTTTGTAATCTTAACCAGGCCGGCTTCGGCAGCATCGAGACCGTCGATAACCTTATTATCCTTAGACCACCCGAGTTCACTCTGCTTTACAACAATTCCAGTGACACCCTTCGAATGCATCGCATATAGCTCAAAGAGACTTTGCTCATCGTTATCGGGAGAAGTGGCAGGATTGGTTAATATGTCGAGGCTGCGAAGCACACCTTTGTTGGCAAATGAATACTCGCGTATGCCACTAATAACAGCGGTCGAATCGGGCTCTGGGATTGACGGATCCTTTGCTACCAACTTCTGAATGTAGTCAACCTGAGACAGACCCTTGATCGTGTATTTTGGTGCTGACAGGTGAAGGAAATAGATCGAGTTACGTGTCGGATGGCCGACTACGATCATGCCTGAGGGAGGGTGATACATAACGCTACATACCGGATCCGACTCTTTGGCATGAGGCAGATTGAATTCCTGCACGGGTTTGCCTAGGGCGAGGTCCCAAAGTTGAAGCGTATGGTTTTGCTTCATGCCCACAATCATGTAGCGCAGTGCCCATCCCTTCTGGTAAGGCCGTTGCTTATCCAGCAGTAACACAGAAGTCGGCCATGCCTTCTCGCCTTCAGGGGTAGTATTCAGGGTCATAAGTGGCTCCTTGACCTCGAGGGAAATATGAGCAGGCATGGGAGACCAAGGGTCGGAATTCTCATCGGCTGTTGTTAAATCTCGCACGTCCCAGAACTTGACACGGCCGGACTTGTCAAGGGATACAATAGTAGTATCGTCTTGACTAAAGGTGAAGTCCTTACCCGCCTTGCCTGTGCTGATTCTGAGGGAGCACTCTCTATAGAGCTTCTCGGTATCAACAACGCGATCATGGCCAGATTTGAAAATACCGTTTGTCATGATATACGATGGCCAGATGACGTTGATCGTCTTTCCACGACCGACAGCGAAGAATTCTGGGTGAGTAGACGAGGTCCTTGCCCTAGTCTTCAGAACACCTCCATTGTCACCACCTCCCTCTTGAGATATGACAAGCGGGGGGAGGATAAACCCGTACTGTTCTGGATGAGCATCCTCTAAATGGTCCTTTTCGCCGTTTTTTATTTCAATGTAATATACGGTTCCACTAATGCCAGTGCCAATAATAGACTCCTTTGGCGCGAAGTGGAGATCAGATGGAGTAGACGACATAGCTACATTGAAGATCCGGTCTTTCGTGTCAGTGAACAGTTTAGCGTCCTTACCGTCATCCTGTCGTATTACACGAAGCCCACCAGCCTTGGACATGCCGTAAACCATGTACGATTCCGTAGCAGTGACAAGGTTCCGATCGATTTGGTCAAATTCCTTCTTTAGACGTGCAATATCAAGAATGACCTCGTCGCGGAATTGAGGACGAGTCTCTTCGGTCTCCTGCATCGTGATTGAAATCCATGGCTTCATGGGGAAATTGTAGACCTTTACGGGATTCGGAGTCTCTTCAATCACGACGATCTCGTCAGCTTCGGCGCTTTCCCAGCTGTCGGCAACCGGGCCGTGAGCAGCATCCTCGACAATATCACGAATCGCTTGCGCAACCCCTAGCGAGTATGCATCCTCAAGCACATGGGAATTCTCTTCCTTGTTAAGTTCTCTCTGGATGTCCTTTGCTGCTGCCTCGGCCAGATCCTGAAATTCAGCATCAGTTTTTGCCCTCATCATGTGTTGAAATTCAGCGGCGATCTTAGCTTGTACCTCTTCGGTTTCAGCCCTCTCTATTGCTTCTTGAGCTTCCTTGTCCACTTGTTCAGCAAGGCCGGTAATTGCTTCCGACACAGTCTCTGTATTTTTCTCCCCAGTAGGTGAGAAGCCAGGATAGGTAGCTTCCCGTTCGGTGATAGAGTGAGGAGAAGTGTCAAGCTTTCGCCTGATACGTTCTGGGCTCGTAATTGGGCTTCGCTGACTGCCAAGTCTCTTATGGTCCTGAACAGCTCCAGAAGAAGAAGCAACACTAGGGGTCTTCTTAGCAGCCTTGAAAGCGGTCGGCGCGGGAAGCTCGGTTGGCATCTGACCGGCGTGAATCGGCGCATTCGGTGTTGAAGACTTGGACGCAGTGTTCTGGTGCGAAAGGGCACCGACCCCCTCAAACGAATTATAATCAAATCTGGAAGACTTGCGACTACCCTCGTGTTGAGATAGCTGAGAAAACTGGGATGCCGGAGAATGATATTCAAATTTAGTTGTAGGGGATTCGGCGTGCTCCTTTGATCCGAATCTAAAAGGCATTGGCGTTGTATCATGAGAGCCAGCATCGGAATACCCCTGCTTGATAGGGGTATACTCCTTAAGGTGGTCGACAGAAGAGCCATTGGCTGATTGGGGGGTCAGTGACGGAGGTTGGGACGATTCGTTTACAGATGGCGGTTGATCATTCTGCGCAGGCTTCGGTCTATGTAGCAAGTTGAGAAGGTACGCCTGAGTGTCCATCGAAGGTGGACCTGCGTTCCAGGTTGGCTGGGAGGGAGCCTGGGGTTCTACTCGCGAAGACTCATTCTGCATGTTTCCCTTCATAAGAGTAGCCAGAAGACCCTGGGGATCAGCAGGCATCGGCACTGGAGCGTGAATAGGCGGTGGGTTGTTGGACTGAGTTATACTTGAGGACATGTCGAACGAGGGCGCTTGCGCTTGTGTGTGACCAGGCGGCGAGGTTTGCGATACTGATTGAGCGTTCTGTCCGCTGAACTTGAGGAGGTTCAAGAGGTGTGAGCTCTGGTCGGCTTTGCTAGGAGCGTTTGAGGGCATGGTGCCAATTGAGCCCAGACCCATTGGCCCAGTAGGATGGTGCGAATGCCCAAAGTTGCTCGAGTTACTGGGGGGTGTCGGAGCAGGCGGAGGAAATTCGTCCAGACCTATCAGAGGAGATTCTGTAGCAGAATGGCTATGACTGTAGTAATCCTGGGAGTCTATGCCTTGATTGTATGACGAAAACCGTGAAAGGAGCTCATTAGCGGCATTGGAAGAATCATCACTTTTCTGCGCGTTGCGCTGAGCTTGCAAACGAAGAAGCATTGCGTGTAAGCCGTTTGCATCGCTGCCACCCGGCGGGTTATAACCCGCCATGATGCGCGAGGGGTGCGAAGTTGTGGAGCTGCCTTAGTACCGATGAGGTATGTGTGTATTGTTAACTAAGATCTGTCTTCCGATGAAAGACAATTCCTAAAGCGCGGTCGAATTATTAAAACTGTCGCTAATGACAAGCGCGAGAGACTGTAAACGAAGAAAACAGTAACGATGTCAGGTGGTGATCAACGTTGAAAAGATGAGGAAAAAAAAGGTTAGAGATCTTCCAGTCCGATACGTATCAAATTCGTACCAGCCTCGCCAAAAAAAAAAAAAAATGGTAAGCTACCCAGCTCAAGCTCCTATCGGCAATCCGGAGATAAGTGCGATAAAAAGGTAAGAAGGTAGAAACCAGAGGCAAATTATTGGATGAAAGAACCTTACTGACCCAGCTACCGAAAAAACAGAAGAATCAGTTCGACAATGTACGTCGAAAGACGAGAACCAGGAAATTTTTTGTGGGTGAGAAGAGGAGATTGACTTAAAAATCTCGTTCAACATGAAAGGAATGAACGTTGAACGATATGTGACGGGTTGAATTGAGTTGGGCGGCGATGCAGCTGTGCGCTAACTGGGAGAGCGCACCTCCAATAATCAAATAGGAGATACCTAGGTACATGCACAACGTAAACCAACCTTAGGTAGGGTTTAGGTACAGGTACAGGTACATGTAGGTAATGTATCGTGTAGGTACTTAGGTAGATACTTAAGCAATTGCTTAAGTGTGTGTACGTGACCTATTTGCATATGTACAACACATCCATACGCCCAATGTACATACATATCCTTGTGGGGAATATTTAGGAAGTGTTACGTAATCGGAGTATTTGATGTCAGCATTTTATAATTTCAAGCCTTTCAGTACCTAAGCCAGCGGGCGCATCGCGAGAATTACCTCCTTAGGTACCTAAACTACACTATTTCGCGAAAACGCAATAGGTTAACCTCGATGACAATCTTTGCTCTACACTCTCGTTACATGTACCTAGTCACAATATATTCTCTAGCCGAGCCGTTTGTTGTAAGATTATCCAAATATTCGCGACGCCCCTAATTATCTATCAGCGCCGACCAAACGACCAAACAGCCAAACGATCAAACAATCAAACAACACCTCAGCCGAACGTCTCACCCGTAGCCCTCCCACTAGCAAACGCTTCCCGACACAGCGCAATGTTCTGTCTCCGAAGGTATTAGGTCTTAGAAACTCCCTTAGAATTATTCAGTACATCTCTTCGCTAACATTCATTCTCGTTATAGTTGGCTCCCTCTCCTCTTCATCCCAACAAATGCCTCTCCTGCCTTCATCTTCCTTTTCTTCGTCTGCACGTACTTTTTAAACCGACCCTGCGTTTACTGTTCCGTCCTTCTCCTTATACTCTTCGTGACCTCGTGTTATTGGTCAGATCGGTGTTTCTTCGATTTCAGCAGCAATTGGTTCGCCCCGCGACTCTCAACATCATCATGTCCGGTCAACGGGACCACGATATCCGAACCTATGGTTGACAGTTTTAACGCCACCGCTGTTGAAATGCTGAATTCTACAGCCAGTGCACTTGCAAGTGCTGCAGCCGACGAGTTAGCCAAGAAGAAAGAAGAATGGACAGGACTCGGCATAGAATGGCTCCGGAGCCTTCTAGGACGCCGGGAGTGGAGGATCGAATGCATGGACCTATACATTCGGCTATAATCGTATGTTACACGTCAAGTATGATATGATATATGATATCAGCTATGGCCTTGAACATCCCAAGCCCTGGGGTTGTACAAACACAATGAGTATAGATATGAATGTATAAATGCATGGCACTGGCGTTAGTTGGACTGCGAATAAGGCCTTGTTTCTTGAACACTCACCTCATAATAGTCGTATGGTCACATCGCATCACATCACATCAGCATCTAGATGAGGGCAGTACGCATTTCGAAGAGCCGAAGAGATACCATAGATGTGGCATAGAATAATAGGCATCGAGCCACGCGAGAATCCTTGACAGAAGTATACGCAAATATTAATACAAAGAAAACACTCTCAAAACAAGGGATATATTTATTTACCTATATTGAAGTTTTAAAATGGTGATTTATTAAGTAACATCACATATCCTACCATACACCTTGCCTAACCGTGCCTAGATACATTATAAAGTATCCAGTTTCCATCTTATCTAGCTCTCGTCGGGTTCATCGCCCTAACCCATGGCTTCCAGTAATTCTCGATTGTATCCGGGTCCTTCCAGGCAGACCATTCTGCGTTAGTCAAGCCCCAGGTATCAACCAAGTTCTGTACACCAGACCGGACGCGATAGCTGCCTGCCAAACTCCACATCATCCAGCCAATGCTATGTTTCTTAGTGAAGTCGCGGATACAGTTCTGCACCGTGCTGTTGTATAGCGTTGCGTCCTGGGCGTTACCGAACTCGGAGAGTATGACGGGCGTAAGTCGCTGCGTTGACTGACAGTCTCCGGTAATGTTACATCCGGATGGTTTGTCGATACCCAGCGCGTTAAAGCCGTTGCGGTATAGGCCCGCCTCTATCACCTCGCAGGTTCCCGTGTCTACGTCCTCGCTCATCGGATATAGGTGCAGCTCCCACACGATCTTGTCCGCCCACGGGTAGCTGTCGAGGTCGAAGTAGACAGGGTCGCGGCGGTATGCGTCACGAATCGCCGTGCACTTGTAACAGGGAGCCGTAAGAATGTTCTCCTTAGTCGTCAAGGCGGATAGGTCCTCGTCGTACTGCATACCCGACCACGTGATGAGCAGATCTGAGTTGGCCTCGTGAATTGCGTCGGCTCCCATGCTCATGTTACCCACGAGTGTCTCCCAGTTGTAGTACAAGCCAGTGCGGTTCCAGGATTCGCGCAGCTCGTTTCGTAGTGACATAGAGACGACGTTGGGATGGTCCTTGGCCCAGGTTGCCACATATGAGAGTCCCCTCCGCCAGTTGGAAGCGTCAAAATTTACATCGTCAAACCAGGCGTTTCCGTCGGTATGGCTGCAACACCATTGCGCTTTGCCAACGTGGACATCGGGGTGGATATATATACCTTTAGATGCGGCGATGCTAGCAATATCAGACCAGATCTCAAAACGAGTTGTCTCACGGGTCCAAGTAGGATTCTTGGAAATGATGTCGTTGGTGACCTTTGTACCATTCTCATAACCTAGAGCCATGATCATAGCAACCTCTAGGGGCACGTCCTCGCCTCCTCGATCGTATATTTCGTCGACCATCTGGATTGCATAGCCCCTTGCATAGAGTTAGTCTTGAATTATTTTAGCTAGTTTACCTAATTCTTCAAATCACTCACATACGGAGGAAATTGAAGCCAATGCTAACAACATCGTCCAGGATAGCCTCAGCGGATCTCCATTCTAACCCTTCCGGTATCATCGTCTCACCTACAGTAGTATTCTAGTATTAGTCAACCATGTTTGCAGGGCGAGGCTTTTATATCTTTGGTAGGCTCGATATTACATACCACTCATTGGCCAATTGACACCGGCCCAAGTGATCACCTCGTCTCGGTTGTTGACGATATCTCTGCCCTTTGTTCTAAAGGGGGCGTGGGGCCATTCCGTAGGAGAGTTCCCTTGACGACGACTTATGCGTTTTTGCCAATGTGGCTCATGGTCTCGAGGTAGCGCTGATGATGTGGGAACCCATGACGCATAGGCTAGGGTCGCGCAGAGTGACCATAGGGTTATTGGAAGCTTCATCTTGACGCGCAAGATTTGTTCACGATAGACGTAATCATAGGCTTACAGAAGCAAAGCAGGAGACTAAGCACTATTCAGAGGTGATTCGAGCTCAATTTATAATGCAGCAAGCGTGTCCATGCCTTCACAAAAAGCAAGCACCTATTGGTGCATCAACTTTAAGGCCAAGGAAATCCTATGTTCTTTGTGATCTTGAACTATAATACATTTAACTATCTTCGACGGAAGTTATACCTTATTAGGCAATCTGATCTCTGTTACTACCGGATAACTTCTAGGACATACTAATATCTATCCCGACATAATGCTAAAATGGTACCTTGCAGGTGACGTTGGTGATGAGGAGATACGAGGGCCTCTGGGGTATATCTCCACGACTATGGGGAGATACTCCACCAACTCGGCGGGGAGCACTAACCCCAACCTCTTCGCGGATAACCCACAGACTGCGAGGGTCGCTTTCTATTAGTCCGAAATTCCCATGGCACGGGCTAGGGCCGGAAATTTTAGATAGCAAAGAGTCATATGGAGCCACAACCTAAGTGAGATCTCGGAGAATAACTTTTAATGTGTTATGTAGGTTTGGATAGGGATGCAGCAATTAGGTTAACAGATAGGTCAGCAAAAGGACCCTTCACAGAGACGAAAGACCTTAGACCTTAGAGGTGGTTTATGTGCGATGGAAATTTTGTGATGTTGAATGCAATTGACCCAAAGGTACCTATATCGATGCAATACCTAATAAGAATGACATACCACTTCTCATAATCCTTGGGCCACTATATATGGACAGTCGGTATGCTCTGCAACCCATTAAACGCCGTACCATGGAATATATCTTGCAGCTCCCACGCTTGTGAAGCCGGCACTATACTTGTACCAGGAATATTTAACTTCGCTAAAGTGGTGTACATTATAAAGGATGAAGTTACATCTCAATAAATTTATAGCCTCGCCTTGATTGCTGCCTGAGGAATGCTCGATGCCTCCTCATTAACGAGCACCGCACCAGTTTTCGGACCATCGCCGAAGAAGATAACCTGCACTGTTAGGTCATCCCTATAGACTATTAGCTTCCGTATAAACATCTTAGTTCAAAGGTTTTAAATTTCTGTGACTGACCTGTATCTTCTCGAAAACGGCGAGACTAACGTAAGTAACGCGCATACCTGCTCCTCGTTTCTGCCGCCGAGGGCATTGCGGATTAAATGCGTAGCGACATTCTTGTCTTTTACGACGAACCGCTCCTTCTCGTCGGGAGAGATGCCCCATTGTCGTAATCGAATTGGGGTCTTCTGGCCGTCAGGTCCTGCCTCCTTACCGGCTTCTACGGGAAGGTCTCGGCCGGGGCCGAAAAGTTTGGCCCACACAGAGCCCAGCTGAGACTTCGAGGACTGCTCTGTCGCTTGCGTCTCGATCCACTTACCGACGAGTCCGACCACCTCGTCGTTAGTAAGCATCTCCCAAAGCCCGTCCGTCGCCATAACTAAGAAGTCGCCCTTTTCGGGTTGAATTTTGGTTGTACTGACCACGGGCTCGGCTGTCACGTAAGGAGGGGTCTTGAGATGAGGCGAGGAGCTGCGACCAAAGAATGATGCTTGGAGGCGCTCAGAAACTTCCTTGCTCCACTTATAGCTAGCATCGCCAAAAGCTCGAGTTGGCTCAAGACCACCAAGGACACGACCGTTGTGAATAACACGATCCTCCCCCGGATGAGCCTTTCGCATCCGCGCTACCTCGTTAGGATTGCTTCCGGTCTGGTCTTCGGACAGAGCCGTTGCCGTCCACTTTCCAGAGGAACTACGACGGCCTAAGACAGCCCGCGAGTCACCCGTACAGGCAACTCGTAGAGTCTTGGTACTACTATCATAAAATGATAAGAGAGCGCAAGATCCGGACAGAGCAGGACCAAGTAGTTCGGCAGCAACTCGCTTCGAGTTAGACTTCAACACCTTCTCTACGCTCTCGTGGACAATTTCATGATCCAAACGCGTAAACCCAAGCTTAATAGCAGCGTCAATAGCCTCTGGCGACGGTACTGCTCCAAGAGTTCCAGCGGCCTTGTATGTAGTATTCAGCTCTCGTGCGACAAAACTGATCAAAGTTTGTCGTAGCTTCGCCGAAGTTGTCCAACCACTACTGAAGGTTAGTATGCTATATATTGTTACGAGGTTCCAAAGTCGGTAGCACATACGCATGGCCATCAAAAACACCCCAAAACATCCAGTCATCAATGTGTTTATCAGTGTTCTCGCCTTGCCGTGAAGCCACTTCCACGATCTTCTCTGCATGATCATCCTCGATCGGGTTATTGCTCGCAACCTGTACGACGTCATATCGTAGCACACCTTGTCCGCGGTTGACCAGAAACGAGGCCTCGTTCTGGCGTAGTTTCTCGGTGGCTTGGTCCGGAGTAAGCATCTCTAGCACGTTTCTTCCACTACCGTCAACGTTCTTCGCTATCGGACCTTCGCCGACGAAAGTTCCGGTGTGCAATTCATCGGCACCAACTACAAGGACATTCCGCGTTGTGGCAGCGCTATTCGTTAACTGCGTTGGTGCCGTCGCGTATGATTTAGCCCCAACCTGCTCTAGGGTATTTCCTCCCTTGTATGTATACCAGGCGCCGTAGCCAACTAGGCTAGAGACAATGGCGAAGGAAAATCGGCGGATGTACATGGAGGATCGTAAGGGCTCGCTTACCGCATAGTTGGGGCGTGTATAGGACGATGAAGTAGATGCAGCCGACGTTGCAGCTGAGGACGAAGCAGCGGATCGAACACCAAGACTAGCATTAAAATGGCTTGAATGGTGGGAAAATACGGTACGCCGCAGGCGACTAGTACGAGCAAGGCCCCGGACGGTGCATTGAAATGTCGTCCGAAGGGCTCTGACAGGTACGCGACGCATTTGGGAGAGGGTTGCCGTCGAGGTGAAATTAAATCTGAGAGGAAGTTTCGTCGTCGCTAAGTCGCTAAACGAGCCACAGAATATCGGAATATGGCTGGCCTCTAGAGTGGAGCTCGTAGGTAGCCCGTAGCCCATAGCCGAGAACAGAATGGGTAAGTGAATTATTATGTAGGTAAGCCTTACAAGGATATGTACACTAGGTACCTATGTACATATGTACCTCTTAAGATACATAATGGGGAGAGGGAGGAGGTCCATCGTCCATCGTTCGTGACCAATTTCTGTTTTCGGCGAAATGCGGGAGTTCGTTTGGGTAGAACGGTAAGATGCGGGAGGTGTGGGGCCGTAGTTAGTCAGTCCCGCCATTATGTATGCACTGTACCTAAATACGTAGGTACGAAGTACATACACGTATGTAGTGTTTGCCTCCTATATAAACCTTGTTATCGATAGACGCAAGCACAACCTCGGCATCTCGCAACGGTCATTAAACATTTTATTCTCACTACATACATGTACTTGGGTTAAATACCTGCAAGTTGGTATTATCTAAGAGGCACACAAACTACTAAATAATAATAAGATGGCCGCGTCGGAAGCAGATATAGCTGGCGTTCAACGTCGTGCTGCTGAGAATCCCGATGCCTTATACCAAGCCTTTGATTCTTATCCATGGATTAAAGATCGGGTATTCACTGTGAGTCCCCTATACCATCACCTGTATATAATATCACAATAAACAAACGCTAAGAAACAAGGAACAACTCTCAAATGTTTTGAATAACTCTCAACCTGGCGACCTCAGTCTTTCCGAGATTGCTCTCCAGACTCGAATACAAAGGTTTGAGCAACAAACGAAGATCAAAGTTGACGGGGATGCATATAACCAATGGCTTTCCCAAAGCAGCCTCCAATCCCCAAGTGTTGTATCCGAGCAGGCGGTTGCAGTAGAGGCAATGACTATAGTACGTCTTAGTCCCATCCTCGTATATGCATTAAGATGATGCAGTGATAGGCTACTGACCAACCAACAGCCAAATCCCGCGGACAGAAAACTAGCACATCTTTTGGTTGAACTAGGTAATCCATTAGGCCAACTCGCCCTTCAACAAATTACTCCTGGTTCAGTCAATGTTGAAGTGCCTAGTTGGCAAAGCGCCGCACCGACGGCAGAACTCTTCGTTGAGAAGGACCCCTCCTCGGCAAACCCTGATAAGGAGCCATATCCTAAGAAATTCGAGGAAATAGTGGCATTCTTACAGACGGGGCAGCCTATTCCTGGAATAAGACAGATACCCGATACGGTTATCGAGGACCCGGCGTTTACAACTCATGGCCGCCTTGCAGCACCACCAAAGCCTTGGGAGACTGGACGAACCCCTTCTGCCGATGATACAGGGATATCGACTACGGAAGGCAGAATATGAAGTTGAGCAGTATTTATTCTTCGCCAGGGGCATTGGTACCCGAGGCAAGGGCAGCTTTTGTATATACATGCTGCCAGTCAGCGTTAATTCGTATCCATAATATCTGCAGGCGCAATTTCCGTAGAACTTTGACCCTCCAAGACTAACTCATTTTCGAGCTCCTTGATCTTTGCTTCCTTTACATTCTTGACATGTTGGGCGAACCCCTCCAAGTTCTGAACACCATGCTTCACTAAGTTCATTAACATCTTCTCAGCTGACTTACGTGGCGGTTCTTCAGGTCTTCCGGCCTCATGCAAGCATTGAGCGTGCGTAAAATCAGGAGGTACCTCGTAATCGCCTCGACTCGGCTGGGAGGTGGATGGTCTAATATGTAAGATCTCGTCTATCTCCATTCCGCTCGAAGGAAGCGAGCGCTCCTGGCTTTCCGTTAAGCCTGGTACTGCTCTAGGATGTGGAGGGAATTTCTCTTCTCTCCATTTACATTCTTGACGGATTCTTGTCTTTTCGCGGTTAAGCATGTAGTATATGTTGTCCTGTACGGCAGCTGCATGCTCATCAATCTGAGAGAGTATTTCGTCACGTCGTTTACTTGGTTCTGATGGCAGTTCCGGTGGTGGTTTTGTGAAATCAATGTGCGTGGGCACGAAGATGCTCGGTGCACTATTTTGATACGCAGGGATATCCTCTTGTTGCAATTGTGTCTCCGGCACTCTCTTTGCGCCGTCGTTAATCGCCATCCTTAATGTTTCTGTTTATGAGATGCACCGATGCAGCTGATTCGGAAGCACCTTGATCTGGTGATAGGTTAGGTACCTAAGGTATGTACATAACGTACAGCAGCGAGTTCGATGAGCCAAGTTAGGTCAAATAACCGTACAGACTTAACCGCCTGCAAGTCAGGTCAGGTATGTTGATTTCGGAGGCTTACCTGGTCATATGTATAAGGTTCTCGACTTGGCCTGGGAGCCCTTATAAAGCCACAGCTCTAGCCATATCCGCCACAGACAATGCGCCAATCACCTTACGTGGATGATACACCAAAAATATATACGTATCCCCTTAAGGTACGTATTTGTTACATAAATAATAAAAAATATTATCGTTTATGTAATTGATCACCTTACCGTCTGATCCTAGGTTCCGATATGCATTTAACCATCACATGAGTAATTATATAAATGGCACGCAATGATGTTAATTCTCCTTGATAAAAAGGTTAGATACATATATGAGATAATTATCTATCGTCTACTTAACAACTAAATTTCTATGGAGAATCTAACTAAACGACAAGAAGTAAATCGGACGGCTACCTGCAGATGTAATCTCTCTTATCCTAAGCAACCTGGACGGTTTAAGTGGTTTATTCACTTAAGCGTTGTTCGTGTTTAACATCTCTCTGTAAAACTGAATTTCGGAGCATATTAACTATTCTATCCCATCCCACGCCTATGAAACCCCGCAGAGGTAGTATTCTAGTGCCCGGAGAGCATTGATGGCGTGCTTCAGCTGTGGATATTCGGGCGTCGTGTATGTCTTCGGGTTGACTAGTCTCGGCCTACCGAAGATAGATGTTACGGTGGACGACTGGAAGACTTGGAGTTCATGTGGGAAGTATCTCAACATGGAATAGTAGAAATATTCGATATCCCTACTTGAAGTTATTCCAAAAAGATCGCCTATAATGATGGCCGCTACAGCTATCACAGCGTCCAGTTGACTATCACCAGGCCTTCTAAAGAGAAGCGCAACTTCCCTGACCTGAATCATAAGCCTTGACATATCGCCTTCAGAAAGGGTTGATACTGGAGTGAATGCATTTGGGATACTTCTTAAGCATGCTCCCATAGATGTGAGGTATAGACCTACGCGTGTGATATCTAGATATTTAACGCAATGATATGCAGGACCAGTAATCGGGCCGTACACTAGATATTCGTGGTCATAAAGCCCAGAAGCCAAGCCAGCGTCAAACAGAGCCTTAACGTGATATATCTTCACATAATCCATAAGAATCTTGGTATCAATAATCGCTATATATCCCGACTGGTCCCTTAAAAATCGAATCGCGATGTGGAGATCTGCTGCCCACGAACTAAAGGCGGATCGAACACGAAATCCACATAGATGGCCATCGATCATCTGCTTCAAATTATAGATATCATATATCGTTGTTGGTGTCTCGCCATTAAGAAAACTATGTGGGATGATGCCTGTAGTAGTATTAAGATAAGAATATCCACCTCCAGAACTAGAGCAAAAGCTTCGGAATAGAAATCGCGGAAGCCTTTCCCAAGATTCTATTTACCAGTTAGCCATCATGTTGTGGTTTCTCGAAATGTTGATTCTCCCGAATTAGCTTACTTTCTAGTATCTGGCGTTGTTTGTTGGTTACTTACCTACGATATTCGTATGGATATAACATTAAATAATGAGCCTACGATGCATCAATCTTTCAAGCATCATAACTATGTTTACCGCTCTTTATATATGTCTGCAGACTATCTGCTTGCTTTACCATTGCTGATTCGAGGCTGGCAGCATCTCCTCCTAGCAACTAGAATAATACCATTGTGCGATTCTAGAACAAGACACCACCTTGAACTGAGGAAGTTGTTTGAGATAAATAAGCAATAGGTAAGACATGTCTGGAAATCAATGGCTCATAAAGAATGTCCTAGACGAAGGTACCTACCGTGAAAAATATCTACAAGGTAACTAATTTTTAAACGACGATTGAGAAACATACAACTACACAGGGATATAAGAGTGGTGAGATCCTAGTAGACTTTGAATTAATAATTGCTCATCCTTTTAAAAAGGAGGACTGTTTACCGATATCAGGGTATAAGTGGGTAGGGGTATCTACAGGGGTCTATCTACTATATAAGGGGCGCACAGCGCCCTCGTAAGAGGATAGAAGGCCAGGCGTTCCTAGATCAATACAATATATCACTTGGTCTACCCACCTACCCTAGACACTCACTCTGTGTATGACCTCACTCAACGGGTATCTCTAACAACCGACCTCTCTTAAGATATTAGGTATCTGGCCTGGCATAGCATACCCACACTCGGTCACTATAAATGTGGAAAATTCATAGCCGACCTGGTATGTAATATGCGCCGCGAGGAAGGAGAGTTTCATACGTTTTGTGGTCCAGAAACCACAATGCTGACCGAGTAGGTAAGATTCTCCTAAGGTTAGCCCTTTAGCTTATAACATAAGCGTGGCAGTTAACAGCAGAGCCACGCTAAAATTTGCGGTTAGGAGACGTCTAAGTGGTATGCTCCAACACAAGGCCGACTTAGACTTGCAGTGTGTTGCCGGTTTGTCGGTGACCGGTAATCAGCTGCCGGCAATGGTGGCGGAGTCGCAATTCGTTAATGTAAAGAAGGGCTCGCATTTGGACAATGCCCACAATGAAAAAGTCCTATGAAGGTAATCTAGACTACAAAGTATAAGATCGAGCTTGACGGCGTGCCCAAAGACGTAGAGTTCTAGAAATGTTCGGTGCATAGCCTCAACGAGGTTCTGGGGAGGATTTTGCTCTATCACTTGACGATATTACTTGACGATATTCGTGCATCGTGGGTTTTAAAATAACAATCGATTTGATCGCAGTCGCAGTCGGACTACATGCTTAATATGCCTCCTACGTAAAACTCATAATAATTGGGCGTTGATTGAGGCAGTGCTGGGTCACGCTCGCTAACCCGCATTCCCCAGACGTGTGCCTACAGATAATACATACTATGTTAGGTGGATAATACTGTAAGGCGGACTGGGCGTTTGCGGTACGTTTCTCGTGGGACGAATGCCGAGATACGTCAACGAGTATGCTAAGAGTTGACAAATTCCAAATCTTGCTTTAGGTATTCCGTGCCCAGTACACTAATCCAAATAAAGACGTACTTATACGGAATACGGAATACGGAAGGCTTGCTGACTGCTCAGCTGCTGTGCTGTAGGATTAGCTCGCCAAGAAACTACATGGCTTCGCCTCAGAGTCGATCTTACGATATTAGGTTGCTGGCTTCGATAGACATGGTTTCGATTTGACCTTAGCAGAGACATTTCTTCGTCTTTGACTTTGGCTTTGACTTAGGTACTTGGATATATGAGTTGGAGGTGTTGCACACTTAAGGATTAGGTTATTTTGTTTACTCCTTCAATCAACCTTATCTATATGTACCTGCTTCCCCCCAGCTTTCCGCTTTCCGCTTTCCCGCACGGACAAAACCTTAGATACCATTTTAAGTCTTCGATTACCACCATAAAACAGCCCGGGACGCAGCTTCATCAGCTCTCAGATAAATGTACGTCGCACAGCATCTCCCAAGGTGACATCATACTTCTTTCCCCATCCCCTTCCCCATTCTCTTCCCCATCCTCTTCCCCAACACACGATTAAATGAATGGGACGACGAGGTAGGTAGTATTTAAAGAAATAGGTACATCTTAAAACCACCTTGTCTGACATTTCATCCCCCACCACCTGATCTCTTTCTCCAAGTCTTCAACCTTTTTACTCTTTCATCTAGCATATACGACCCTTTTTACCCAATTGAGGGTTAACTGGATCTAATCTCTTCAATAGACAAGTAGAAGCACGAAAGAACTACAACTATAACATGGCCGACTCTAGGAACAAGGGTGTCGAGCGGACTAATGGAGCTAGCTCAAGCCAAGCTGGCTTCCAACCGCAGGTCAACATGACAGTCGAGCGCCCTAGACAGGAGGACCTGCAACAGAGTTATGCGTCCATCGTCGGTACTGATGCCAACCCCAAGGGCTGGTATGGATCGATGAGTATGATTTCATCTTAGTTAGCTTGAATGATTGATATTGGCCCTAACTTCTCTTCAAGTTAATGCTATCGGCTCTTGTGTGGGTTCTCTCGGAGCTATTCCCTGCATCATCTGCTGCCCTAATCCCTATAAGCAAGTCAGTCAAGGCAACGTGGGACTTGTCACCAAGTTCGGGAAATTCTATAAAGCTGTCGACCCTGGTCTTGTAAAGATCAATCCTCTCAGCGAGAAACTGATCCAGGTTGACGTCAAGATCCAAATCGTTGGTAGGTCAAGCCTCCCACCTTTCCCCCTTGACTGTTTCTAATTAGGATTGCGAAAATTATAGAGGTCCCCAAGCAAGTTTGCATGACCAAAGACAATGTCAATGTCGAACTGACGTCGGTCATCTATTACCACGTCACTTCGCCGCATAAGGCTGCATTCGGAATTACCAATCTACGACAGGCCCTTGTCGAGCGGACACAGACAACCCTGCGACACGTCGTCGGTGCGCGCGTCCTGCAAGACATTATCGAGCGCCGCGAGGAGATCGCGACGAGCATTAGCGAAATAGTTGAGGATCTGGCGAGGAGCTGGGGGTGTGAAATTTCCGCCATCCTCATCAAAGATATTTACTTTTCTACTGATCTCCAGAATGTAAGTGTAGAATCATTGATGATGTTTTTTATTGCCTTTCATGTTATAAACTTGACGAATTTCACCAAGGGGATATTGCTAATATAATATCAGTCCTTATCTATGGCAGCGCAGAGCAAGCGTATTGGAGAGAGCAAGATTATAGCGGCGAAAGCTGAAGTAGAATCGGCCCGGCTTATGCGTCAAGCAGCAGATATCTTGTCGTCCGCGCCGGCGATGCAAATCAGATACCTAGAGGCAATGCAAGCCATGGCAAAAACAGCGAACGCGAAGGTCATTTTCCTCCCGGCCGCGAACCAGACGATGCCAAATATCAACAACGCTATGGCTCAGGCAGCCAAACAATATGAAATCGGCGAGTCGAGTGGGACTCACGATGACGACGGGTTCTCACAGGCGGTCAACGCTCACATCATTGAGAACATCTAATGCGAATTGCGAATATTCCTCCCCGATTTCGAGTTTATGTCGAAATTCTGTATTCTGTATTTTAATTCGCTAATTTATGATCAACAACGAGGCTGTAATGATGGGGAATTACGTGTTATTGGGTTGGACATACCTCACGAAAGAGCCGAGCCTGACTGGTTGCAGACCAGGCGAAGGATATATATACCTAAAAAATGATCAACTATGTGAGAAGATGCCGAATGGAACTGGTTGGGCTGAGGGAAAGGCGGTTACCGATACCCATTATGGATACCCATCGTTCGATTGAGATATGGTTATTATTGCGCCTCTATTTATGTAGTTTCTATTTTTTGTAGTTTTTTTTTCCTTGCTGGAGGTTCTGTTGCTTGGGCCTAGTAGGACAGTATCAAAATTAGTATGTATCGATTCACTTTTTTTGTCTGTGCCTGGTGTAGTTTATATCGTGTGATCACGCCTCGACTTTGATAATCCATTTGATATTTCAGGGGGTATTTACATCTACTTTCATATTTAGTCAAAGCCCTCAAATTCATCATTATCGCTATTCCCAATACCAACGGCGCCCCCTTGTGTCGTAGTACCACCACTCTCAGCAGCCAACTTCTCCTTATTCCGTCTCCGCACCTCCTCAAGCAAGCGCTTGAGATCCATCTCCTTTGTTATTTCCTCCTCGGTAAGCGTCTGCCGCCGCTCTGCCTCGCGTTTGCGTCTTTTCTTATCGCGACGCTCCGCCCGTTCGTCCTCCTTCTCGTGTTTTCCGCTCCATGCCTCGGCATTGCGCTTGCGCCGCTCTTTCTGCCCCTCAGCCGACTTCCCTACGTTACCTTTGGCCGCTTCCTCGGTCATCTTTTGTAATATTTCCAGGCGCTGTTTCTCGCGATCCTTTTTGGCATATGCATACGCATTCCAGTCCATTGTTACCCCCAGAAATTTGTCACCTTCGAACTTCCGTAGTTCTGGCATTTTCGGCAGTCGCAACAGCCCCCATGCGTGTCCTAGGTCTGTCCAGTCCAGGTCCGCAATGCGGAAGATAGAACTTGCAGTATGTTTTCTATAACTACGAAGCCAGCTAACAAATGCCTTCTGTGCCTTATCGTGTAGAGCGCGATCGCGTTTTACTGTTTCGCGAATCCGCGAGGTAGTCGTGTCGACATCAACATCATTTACCGAGATTACTGGATAGGCAAGTGGCATAATAGGCGTCTTCCGTACTTCTAGGAATGGCACGTAGTCCAACTCTGCCGGCTGCAGGAGAATGACACTGAGACCCCGGCGCCCCGCACGGCCAGCACGACCGCACCGATGTAGAAATGATTTTGGGTCTGAGGGCGGGTCGATCTGCACGACGAGGTCGACTTGCGGGAAGTCAAGGCCTCGGGCGGCTACGTCGGTGGTGAGTAGGACCGAAGGTTGTGCCGCGTTGAGAAACTTGGCGAAATTCTTCTCGCGCACTTTGGCTTCATATTTTCCATGTAGAGAAACCAAATCGAAGTCCTCGGGAAGAAGGGTAGGGAGAATGTGCGTAAAGTAGTCGACGGCGGCGCATGTAGAGAGAAATACGATACTCTTCTGTGGTCGGGGGTCTAGTTTTTCTAAGAGCTGGACGAGACTTGGCAACTTGTGGCTGGCGGGCGTAGTTAGGTAGCTCATCTGAAGACTCGCAGGTGTTCGTCGCTCCTCAATAATTCCACCCGTCTTTAGACTCTTCACTTTAACTGCAACCTTGACAGGATTTCTCAGACCAACTCTGATTATTTCGCCCACTGCCTCACTGACGCTGGCGCTGAAGAGACCCGTCCTCCTTTGTTTCGGTAGTCGCGAAAGGATCTTCTGTAAATCTGCCTTAAACCCTAGATCAAGAAGTCTGTCCGCCTCGTCTAGGATTAGAAGTTCGAAGGAGGACTGCGGGCAGTGCACGTGCGGGGAGGAGAGAAGTTCTACCAGTCGGCCGGGCGTTGATATCAAGACGTTTGGTGACGCGCGGAGAAAAAAGCTAAGATCTTGAGCGGGAGTCGTGATGCTGCCGCCGGAGAGGAGTTGCGGGATGATAACAGGCGAACTTGTATCCAGCCGCTTTTCCTCACCAGCGAGCTGAGCTAGGAGTTCGGAAGATTGAGGGTGGAAGGCGACGAGCGAGGTTAGAGTGCCATGGATCTGACCTGCAAGCTCTTTGGTAGGTGCGACAATAATGGCGGCTACATGATGTCGTTTCGTAGGTTCGTCCTGTCGTAAGATCCTGTGAACGAGAGGGAGGAGGAACGAAAGAGTTTTTCCGCTACCGGTAACTGCCTATTGATTATCAGTAAACGTATATGGTAATAGTGGAGGAAGAAGCCTTTTAAACTTACCTCTACAACTACATCTTTATTTCCCCCTCCAAAAAGAGGCCATACACTGGCCTGAACGGGAGTAGCCCGGGCAAAGCCCATGCTTGAAACGGCATCTAATATCCATTCCGCCAAGGGAGGTGTCAAAGCATCCCAGGCCCGGGGGTCTTTTTTTGTCGTCTTTGCTTCCGGCGCCATTATTCAATGGGCGAGCGTGGGCACATGTTGTTTAGGAAATTTTTGGAGTTGAACTAGGAATTATTATCTTATCGAGGGTCTTATCTTATCTACCTATCTAAGCACCAAACCATCAATTCAGGATCATTTACCTGTCTTATCGCTTCTAGAAGGGACGGGCTGGGACCTGGTAGATCGGACCGTTATGCCAATGTTGGATATGACGTCGCGTCAGGAACAAAAATTGGATAAGAGCCGTCATCAATCGGCATATCGCTCGTCTCTTCCATTTCATGACTCCATTCCTCATCTAGTCTGTGCTTTCTCTTACACCAAATACACCGAGGACGCGCCTCCTTAGGCACAAACGCGCCACAAGTGCAGTAAAATAGAAGATTAAATTGATGGTCCATCATGACTTTTGTCGCATCATGATCCTTGAGGTAACGGTCGTAATCGTGTACTTCTTCAGCAGTATGTTTCTTATAGTATTCTCCCGTCTTCCTGTCCTCTTCTTTCTTACATCTCAAGCAGATTCAACGCTTAGATCTGTCGCAATCACACAGCTCGTTGAGGAATTGCCCGCTAAGCTGCTCTTCGAGTCTAGCGTCGCAGATATCGCAGAGACACATGAGGTTCTCGTTTTGCCACGACTTGTTGAGATGAGGACAGCGGGTACCAATCCTTGAGGGCACTCGTAGACACTTTCTGTACTCTTCGCAGATGTTGATACCACACTTGATGCAGGGGAGTGCGCCGGCTTCATCGCATCTAGTTGCAAAGAGCTTTACCTCGATTTCCTCATCCTGGTGGATTTTTCTACCGGTTGGTCCCCATATATATGAGTATCGACCGTAATTCCACACATTCTGCCGGCGAAGTAATCCGTGTCCGTCGCAAAGACAGTTACGTCGAAGAACTTCGGAGACTTTAGCTGAGGATAGGATATAAGCATGAGAATGGCGACAACTTAAGCCAAGCTGAAATAGGTCAATTGTGGAGAGATATTTCGAAATAGTTGTTAGAACAGGATATTGACCGATAAGGTCTGATAATACAGGTGCCATCCTAACTTTGGAGGTAAGTAGGAGAATATGAAGTCTTGAGAGATTACGGTGCGTATTGCGAAACATGAGATGATATTTTATCCAATCTAGCTACGAGTCAAATCTGTTGCTTACATGAGAATGCATGAAAACATGATAGATTTGTGTTCTAAGCGGCAATTGGATGGTTGGCTTAGTTTAGGTAGCTAAGAGAACAACGCGTCAAGAGCCAAGTCTCTGCTACAGTATCTTGATTTAATTGCACCTAACTACACAATGAAAGCCATACGAAAACTTATTGCAAATTTATCCATCTAAATTATTGGGATACCGACCTCCAAGGACTTTGGGTACTAAAACGTAGGTAACTTCCAACGCAACTCTGCTCACCACGTAAAGAAATACTCATCAAGCCCCTGCATAAATGGCAACACTAATAGTATTAGCTACCATAGTTAAAGCTATGAATAATTATTATTTTCTCAAGGTAATAAATTGGCAATGCCAGTCTCCGTGGGAAGTTGGATGTCTGTCCCGCCTGTACCCTGTCCACATGAAGATCAGAGCAAAGCATCAGCCTCTTTAAGTACGCCTGTAAGCGATCAATATAGTGCGACTAGTAATCAATATACCCATAGTAAATAAACCTCCACACATTTCGCTTCCAAGAATGAGCAAAGCTATTATAGTAAAGAATAGCCACCCGCGGCCGAAGATATCCCCTATTCGAGCGTAAAGGAGTAGAATGGCAACAAAGGAGAGTAAGAAAAGCATTCGGTATCTATCTGTATAGGTCCCCACCCATGGTCAGTAATGCACTAGTAATAATGGTTTCTTCGAGAGACAACATAAGCCCAGTAATAGTCAAAGATCCCATGATATCCCAGAAGCGTGGAAGGCGCTTTACACCCTCGTTGAAAATGGCGTTGGCATCTTCGCCTCCGCGTTTATTAATTTCTATTTCGTTTCGTTTAAATTTGCTCGTCGTCGTAAGTAATCAAACTATTAAATGTAGGGCTGAAGGGAGGCGACGACATCTTGTAAATAAGCATGTGACACATAGAGTATTACAAAGGCACGTATAGATATTTCTCGACATCAAAGAGCCTTTCGTAAGCCTGTTCATATGAATCATATTTAGGTAGCTATGAGGGCATAATTGCCTACCTATTATATGACTACCATTCGCGCGAAACATGATATCAATATGTTCAAGCACATGTTCGCACAAGATTAGGGCATGCTAATATTTCTAGTTTTTCTTGGGTTAGGTAGCTAAAATGATCTTGCGTACTTTCCGTCTAGGGACCGGAAGAAAGAGACGGAAGACGTCGGGAAAGGAGCCGTAGTTGCTGCTGACCTAATGCGGTTCAGGTAAAAGTTACGATGGGGAAAGTGGCGAGGACTTCTAAAGGGACAGAAACAATTTCCTGAATACTTAATATGCAATGGATATATTACAACTATCTAAAGAACGTTTTCAGAACATCTTTTAATTATAGGTACCCTTACCAAAACTTGGAAATTCTATCTGGTGCGCTATTGAGACGTATAGTATTCTAGCCGACTTTCGACTGTACGTTACGGTACTTCAATTGCTCTGCTCGTTCCAGAGGCTTGATAAAGTAACAGGTAATAGGGGGAAAAAGAGATCTTGCGTTTTTCATAATTTCTTATTCACTACTGCCCAAGTGTTTAAATTTATCATGATTTATGTAGTCCTTAACATCACCTAGGCCAAGCCTATTGAATTTACGCCAGTTTAACCTGCACTCAGCATTACATACGTTGATTTTGGATATCTATAAGCAGCACCCCGAGGATGAAACCATATGGCCGGCCTAAATACTAGAAAATGCTCGGGAATCAGAAATAAGCCAGTTTATCATCTATGCAGAGGCCAAAAACTTCGTTACATATGGGATACTAAAGTACCGAAGTGTCGTAGGTACACAAGATCGGACGCAGTACGCACTGTGGCACCACACATACCCTCTATCGACTGCCGGGAGGTCTTCACAAATCCTGGCCTCTAACTGGATCGGCCTTTTGTACCGGCAATTCAACTCAGGGGCGTAACGGAACAGGTAATATATCTTGCGGTAGAAGGAATTTCACGTCGAATACTTGGGATGGTGTTATAATTCAGCCTGCCCTTGGATTCTTTAGTAGACTCCGTTATGTATATACACGAGCTATTCGTATTCATCGTGGGGTGTAAGGCAGAGATCGGAAGTTCGACGATTTATATTAAGTCATATCCGTATTTTCTATTGATAGGTTTGATGAGAAGTATTATTCCTTCGTAGTGCAAATCGGTGTACCTTCAAAATAGCAGAAACCGAACATAGAAATTAGCCAGCAATTATATGCGCGAATGGATAAGGTATTTCGTCAGGCCCTTCTTTGATCCAGTATCCAGATTCAACCCCCTCTTCGTTTTCAGATTCTCGCAGAGGTGCGAGTGGCCGCCAGACACGATCAGACACATTCCCAGGCCCAGATTCAAACTTGTACCCTTGTCTAATACCATGCTCTCGCTGAGGCCAGAATATATTAGCGGGTACCGCAATGCTGCATTCCTGCAACTGCGGACCAAGATTCCTTACCATTTCATCCATAACTTCTAGAACACTGGTCTCCAACTCCCCTATACAATTATCAGGACTAATTGCTGGTGGCTTCCAAGAACCACCAAGACAAATATAGAGCTTCCTCAACCCAGAAAAAGAATTTGGAACCGCACGCACTAAAGCGGTAAGATGATCCCAGCCTGACGCCGCGTTTGCATGTAAGTTGAGTTGCCACATCATCTCTACTGAGGTAATCATGGCCCGGTGTTCAGCTCTAATTAAACCAGGGAAGGCATGAATCATATCGCCGTTAGAGATATGAAAGTTGTTGGTAGAGTAGAGGATTTCAATGCCCTCTGTATATCTAAACCCAAAATAGAGTGTAAGCTACCTTGCCAGGTTTGAAACAAACTCCGAATGGGTATCGAACAGCGCATGAAGATTAAAGACTTACGCTTGTCTACAAGCTAGAAGCCATCCCATAACGCCTATAAAGCATTTATACGGGAATTCTCCGCGCCATCCACGACAAGATGCAGCGGTACCGCCAAGGCAGATGTCAGTATATGGCTCTGAACTGCTGCCCATCCCACGTACGCGAAGTTCAGTATCGCGATGACATACGCAGCTGAACCACCTCCAGGCCTTAGGACGTGTTGTATCTCGCTTTGAGCGGCGGGCCTGTCCGGGATCGGTACCACAATGACTACGTTGCTTCTGCGCTTCCTCGTCGGATAAATAAACCACAGGGTGGTCGAAACAAAGATCTAGATGCACAGTACGATTCCCAAAAGCCTCGATGAGAATCATCCGGCGCACCTCAGCTGGTATGCGCTGAAAAAAAGAGCTAATAGCCATAGATGCCATGACACATTCGTAAGAAGGAGACGGCGTTAATATAAAGGCCCGCTTGCTTGGAAGTACTGGTATTATAGTCGGGTCTTCTAATGGATTCTGTTACGTTTTCCTGTAATGTGGAGTTCCTTTACTCCATCGGAACCGCCCACTGGGTTTGTTGACCACCATTATCGTTCTTTATGCAACCCGCTTTGTGTTACCTTGGGATTCGAAATTCGAAAAATATTGAAATGACGCGACAATATGTCATCTTCCTTTTATTGCATAGCAACGTTAAACTAACCCCATGGATCTATATTAATATATACCGTAGTAGCTTGGGGATGTTTATAGGTTATCATTATGTTAATCAGAACCTCCCCTTAAGGCATTGCCGCTTATAAGATAGTACTTAGATAAGGTACGACTGTGGCACGTAACTTTAAGGATGAAGTATTTATCGACTTCAGGTCTTCAATCATTAACGTATTATATAATCCAAGCTAGACTGATGAATCCTTTCTCACTAGGTACCTACGTAATCATATAACTAACACTTTGAAGGTTAGCAAGTATAAGTATAAAGCATTTACGAAAGGGTTAAATGTTCATTTTTTTAATATACAATTGAAAACACTTATATTAAAACAGTTAAATAAAGGAGCATTTTAATTTTTCATAACTAATCGTGAAAACCAAACTTGTAGAAAACAATAGAATTTTGTAAATATTTCAGCAAAGTTTTACATTTATTTTTCGTTTACATCCGTACGTTTAAGAAGGTTTAATTCTTGTATCTCCCATTTTTTACAAGTATTACAATCTTCAAGCTACTCCCATCATATTAACACCAAAGTTTCATATGGATCTATGACCGACAACATTCCTAGCTACTTGAAAGCACTGCTTGCTCGATGTTTATCTCGACGGAATAATGTTACATGATGTCTCGAATGTTTTAGCCAATCAAAGCCGATTATCCTCAATTTTGAATGGATACTAACTACTATGAAGCTATTTATACCCTTGCAAAAACCCCTTTTAATGAAATTCCTAGTGTTAAGCCCTTAAATATCAACTTAACCCTTTGATGGCTTACCAAGGCTATCAAACCGCACTGATATATCCGGTAGCCCGAAACCCTATTAAGAGCTTCTCAAGTCTTTATCAACGCTTATTATCACATGCTGATCACACAGGAGCGATTCAGGGGTTGGGGAAGCTTCAGGGCGTCGGCAGTCAATCTAGACCTTGTGTTGGTGGGTGACCAATTCAAGCAAAACTGTAAAAGTCACCAGTAGTAACATCGGTCCAATTCTCGACTTTCTCTGGATTAATGTAACGTTTGTTTTTCTTGGTAGTAACGCTGATGACAGATAGGAGAAGTGTCTGAGGATTATTATTTGCCCGAAAAATTGATGAAGCTTCTATTTACAATTATGGAGTAGTAAATGTTCCAACCATCTCTATGGATCTTGTTATAGCCATTGAATACTTGGTTGGAATTGTGTACTCAGAATTGCTTGAGCTCCATCCAAGTCAAGTCTGAACAACTTTTTAGCATTTCCAAACGCAAACATGTCCAATTCTTCGTTCGAGAGCGAACTCTCTTCTGCTAGCTTCTGGAGATACTTTCACCCCTCAATACTCTTACCGAATGGTGTGTTGATATTATATAAGATTCGGTCCTTCCTTGTTGTCTTCAAGACCATTTCCAGAGTTCTAATGCTGAATATCCCGCTCGAAGTTACCCATATATTCCTGTCCCAGACGTCACGGAATGGTTCCAACCCGTTCTTTTCATAGAAACCGATCGAATCCACCCTTTCGATCATTATGGGGAGCAACTCGCCCATATGCCCGATTATAATCTTTAACCGGGAAAATCGGGCGAATAGACCTGCGAAGTAGAGTTTGAGAACGTGGATCCCGACGTCCTGATGCCAACCCCATCTGCCCGTTACCAGCCCTTGCGCAATGACAGGGGAGTAGTTGCCGTTATAAAGCCCTTTCTGCACAAACTCTGGGGGTAGTGCTGGATGAATATAGATGGGCACATTGAGACGTTCAGCTGTCTCAAAAACAGGCCAGAATCTCTCATTGTCATGGCGAGTCATGTCCCCTAGATGGCCATCAATCATGGCACCGAAAAATCCCAACTCCTTCACTGTTCGTTCTAGCTCTGCAGCTGCAGCTCGCGGGTGCGCCATAGGAAAGGCAGCGAAGCCACCCAAGCGACTGGAGTTCTTCCTAATAGCTTCGGCCATCTCATCATTTGCCTTTCGAGTGCCCTCTGGGCGTTCTTGGTCGTCCCTTCACGTCCACATTTGGATCAACATATCTGTTTGGAGATTATTCAATGACGGGACGGAGATACGATAATGTCTGGAACACGAGGGGCCGACCTACCCAGTTTGCGCTTCCCCTTTTCCACATGACCATTACGGTTTGTATGCCCATGAACGAACACACCACACCTGAAATCTGCCTATTCCCACCCTATTGGCGAGATACAACCTGGGTCCAACATCGTTGTAGCTTGAAGCTGTGGAAATCCTTATCACCGAATCCCTTACCCCAATTCCGATCCAGCATATTTATATCAAGGTAAAGCGACTATGATTCGTAATCACGGGCGGAAATCCGTGTTTTAAAAACCGCCAATTATAAGCTAAATACCGGGACCGTAGGCTTATTCGACCGAGATTTCTAATACAATATCTGTCCAAACTCATAGCAGTTATGATTGACCTATATAGCTGTGTTGAAATACACACCCCCACTGGCTGGGTAAAATGGAAGGCTCTCAATAAACCAAAGTTGACTATATAAAATAGTGTTAGGATCCTAGATGAGACATCTAGAATAAACGATACTTTTAATATGCATAGCTGTAGGCTCCTGTCACTAGCTTAGAGTTCCTCGCGGAGTAACGAAGTCGTTTCCATACTTCTTGGTTCGCCTAGCGCTACGCTTCCAATGATATCACCTGGTAATGATAGAAATATAGCTGACTATAAGTTCGCAACAGGATATTAGCATTATAGAGACCTCATTATAAGTGCTAGGATTTCAGTCCAAATGATAATTATTAGATCTTCAGATTAGAATATTAGAGACACGGAGCCTGAAGCAGTATCAGTAATTGAGCGTTAAATATGATGATACTTTTGGTCTAACATTTTCCTTTTTTGAGTTTTTTCTTCTGAGTAAGTTTAATACCCCTTTAAATGGTTCTTAATTTAATTTGAACTGTTAATAATATTAGTTAATAGTAACCACCTCGTAATAACCTATCGGTATTTAAATTTAATCTATAGTCACTTACCCATATAGGATTTAACAACAAGGAACTAGAGTTGGAAACCAAAATTGAGTTGGAAAAAAATTCAATACATTCGGTGGCCTGCATGACTTTAGTACTCTTAAAGCACTGAGGACGTATGCGAATATCGGCAGCCTTGTGTACAGTCAGACTAGCGATGCAAAGTGGTGACACTTGACGCGCGTATCGACCTAGACAGTGTGATCTAGCATGGGAAATTTCTCCAGATTGCCTCAGGAGATATTGAATCTACGGGTATGTAAATTGATTGGTTGGCTAGAGTTTGACCCAAGGCTTTGGTGCTTGTTTGCATATGCCGATGAGTCTGAGAAGAATGTAAGAGTCATGACAGAACTGATAGCTCCTTCATACTAATCGGATTTGTAGACTTTTTGAGGTATGAACTTATTTGGGTGTTAATATGGGCACGAGAGGTGTCGTTGAGGAAGATGAGGTTTTGGTGTGTATATTAATACTTAAAATCATAGAGGCCAGTCGAGGAGTTGGAAAAGGAGATTAGATGTACCTAAGTACCTACATTGAAGCTATCGGCCGAAAAAGTAATCCGTCCACGAGATATGTATAGGGAAGGAAAGCACGAGCCACGTGGGGGTTAAGAACCTTAACAGCCGAGGGACAAAACGCCAAGACTTTTGTATGACGGCCTTTTCGTTTTCTTCGGCCGTGAAAAATTGAAACCCGGTCAATTTTCAAACACATGACACGAGCCTATCATTTATAGCATTCCTACTTACTGCGCCGACCGAATGCTTATCGCTACATATACATATACCATAGGTACATATATGATATATCCATACATCGATCAGTTTTAAACTGTACGGTCATCGTTGTTCCATGTTTGCGACATCCGCCCAAGTTCGGTTTATTCGGTTTACAAGGCTAGAGCCACGACCCGAATCGAAGCAACGAGAAAAATTACAATGCGGCGGAGCACAGCTCTGTTGCATCAAGACATTTCAATCTGGATTCGGTAGCGCTTCTCACTTCCTTCATCACCACCATCCCATCCTCCACTACCCGTGAATCTAGAAGGGACAAGCAACTCCATTCCTTCTTTTGGCCTTTGCGATTCTACGACTTGCGACAGATCTTTACTGGTATCATCTCCTCCCCACCTCTTCCTGACTTTCCATATAACATGTCTTTTCGCGGCAAACCTATCATCCCTGCAACACCCCGTGTTATATCACCAAGCCCTACACCATCCGAAACTCGAGATACTTCTCAAGATTCCTACCTCGGCCCGGTTACGCGCTCGGCTGCTAGGCGTCGACAGGCCGGTGGTGCTGCGCTACAACAGCAACCCCTCCGCGAAGATGTCGACGAAGATTCAGATCCGGAGCTCCGGAGGGCCCGGACAAGATCTCGAAGCCCCATAAAACCTCGCAAAGTGGGTAGTCTCACATCAACGAAGACTCCTCGCGCTACTAGATCGAAACAGAAACAGAAACAGAAACAGAAAGAAGAAGAAGAGGTAGAGGACGTCAAATTTAAAGAAGAGGTTAAGGGAGAAGTCAAGGAGGAAACCTCTAATGGTCATCTAGCACTACCAACACCCACCATATCCGGATGGGATTGGCGAGACTTCAGCCGGAGTCCAAGTCCTCTAGGCCTCATTCCGATACATCGGCATTTCAAAATATTCATTCATAAGCATGAGGTACCGAGGAAAGCGCTGCATGTATCCATCGGGTTTCTCGTCTACTGGCTATATGTCAGTGGCACGCAGACCTCGGCAGTCACACCCTTTTTGATGGGGGCTCTGGTCCCTATTGCGGCCACGGATTATCTACGTCATAAAAATGCTTCTTTGAACCGCTTCTATGTTAAGTGCCTTGGTGCCTTGATGCGCGAAACTGAATATTCCGGCTGGAACGGCGTCGTCTTTTATTTGCTCGGTGCATGGACGGTTCTTCACTTCTTTCCTAAAGATGTCGCCGTGGTAGCTGTTATGCTCTTAAGCTGGTGCGACGCTGCTGCCAGTACCTTTGGCCGGCTTTACGGGAGGTACACGCCGAGAATCCGGCGGGGCAAGTCCTTGGCCGGGTCTTCAGCTGCATTTCTGGTTGGAGTGGCTACGGCTGGCTGGTTCTGGGGTTGGCTTGCACCAAGAACTGGCCCCTTTCCCGGGGACGAACAGTATCCTTTTATGTTCAAAGGCATATTGCAACTCCCTACGTTTATCTCGAACGCGCTCAGTCTTCCCAACTCTCAGAGCGTTGTTGGTGGTCCAGTTGCTGTTGTATTGCTGAGTTTGTGGTCGGGTCTGACTGCGGCATGTAGTGAAGTGGTAGACCTTTTTGGTTTGGATGATAATCTTACAATTCCCGTGCTCAGCGGCATCGGGATCTGGGGTTTCCTCAAGGTTTTTGGGTAAACAAAAAATTGATAAGACAGAGGCTCTTTTTACAAGACTCAGGGCGCGTAATGGATTCGGCGTTAGGGGAAGGGGAGGGGAATCGGCAGGTACAGGTTTGAGGTTAGCTTGGGTAGACGGGTTATGACTAGATATTACGGGCAATGGGTATGGGAAGGCTTACTCACCTCACATTGCTTTAACACTTCTCTGGCTCGCCTATATAATCTCTTAGTCCGGGAACATCGAAGCCTGGAAAAATCGTATAATCCCTGATACACATAGTTATGTAAAGTTTTCCAGGTGCGGGTTTCTAATTACAACAAAATAAAAACAAAGACAAGAGAGTTTGACATCGGCGCAAGGGGTAGCTATTACGGCTGAAGACACAGGCGTATCCTGCAAGTTTGCCATGGGCGTTGACTAGATCTGTAGTGGCCGGGTTACGGGATGTTGTGCATGTCTTGGGTTTGGTATAAAAAAGGACAATGGAGAAGAGTAACGCAGGCCCTACGAACGTGGTCGCTGATTCTATTTACCTCCGACTTACACCGCATGAACCTCTGACGAACTGATACTCAAGGTGTCAAAAGGTTATCGTTAATTTTCATGGTCTTAGTAACTTACCATGTACGAGAAACATGGACTAGGGAGGGCTCTCTGTACTGTATGAGTCTGACTGGCTCATTTCAACATGGGGGGCTATCAAGTACGCGAAGAAACTCATAGTAATGAAATCCGCCACTTTAAGACGCAATCGTCCTCCAAAGCTGCCGTCAAGGCATACTCGGCTTCATCTTCTGCCCTATGAGAGAATGCCCCATCATCATCGGAGCGCAAGTCCTGCTTGACTGCACACTAATCTAGCTAGGTAGGGTACATTCGCGGGCCAAACAATCAATATAATCCACATAATCTGTGCCGCCCCTCCACATGTGTCTTCCTTCTGTCTTGTCCCACAACCATCGCTGCTCATGGATTTTGATGATACCTTCTCATATGTATCCCGATCACTGATCGGATCACTGATCGGTCCGTTGGTAACTCGGATTCGTGTAGGCCTTGGGTCCGTGATGAGTTGTCTCATGGTTGAGGTAGTATCTTATCCCCGACCCTGCATAGTTAGAACTTGTGATACGCCATTGCGCCTCACATCTTGTACAACCAGCTACTTTTCTTTCTACGGTTATTTTGCTGAAGGGAATGCCATCATTTCTTGAAATAGCTAGTCCTACTTCGAATGCGTAGAAGCTAACAAAAGACAACCAAAAATCACTTTCACCGTTCGACTAGGACCCATCTACCGGACTCAACGGAGCTACAAGGTAACTAATTAGTGGAACTAGTTTAATATTGGATGGACCCAACGTCTTGGGATGCTCCCTGCAACTAGTCTGATGTTGATAATCCCGAAGGCATTCGCATGCCGTGAAAGTCACGCCTCCCCACACCCTCACAAGTCGGTGCACCTGTCATTATAGACTAGATCATCTAGATTCCAGCCTATGATACGATTAGCTTCTTCGCCAAAGCCGCTCTATCATGAATCTAGAAAGATTGGCCCTTGTCTGACCCTGTTTTGCTTCTTATTATAATTGAGGCCGATTCTCGTCTTATAAGGTACCCAGTCTATGCCCGAGAGATGTATGAGCGCTAAAACGCACGTGTACTGATATGCATAAGTACACCGGATTCGACTTGTGGTCTTGGACGCGTATTTATGTTTTCCTTGAAATCATCTTGCTGGTAAAGTACTTTTCCGGTCATCATGTAATACATAGCATACGGCTTGTTAACCCCGATTTTACACATCACAATAAACATAGTCCCTGCTGCATACACCTTTGACACTTACTCGTTAAAAAAAAAACCACCCAAGAATTAAACCGTCGGGCAACTCCAGTTTGTTTCGTAAGACGATATCGATCAACGGAATCTAACCCAAAGAGGCGAATTGCTGTTTTCTTTCGCATCAGGATATCAGTGCCAACGCATCATGCCTCATTGTGCATGTATGTACACTCCGCCCCAGCTCATAGCTACTGCAACCAACCACTTACACCGAAGCTTACCTATACCTTCCGCCGTACTATATTATGTTCTAGAAGAAGAAGAAGAAAAACTTCGGCGAGATGAGTATAAGTGATATATCCTGCATCCATTTGCATTTAATCAGCCTCTGTCTCAAATCAAACAGCCGACTTCCGAGACCACGAGTTTCTTCAACACACCATCTATGAATACATGTTGTTGCGGACACGTTATGTACGCCAAGACTCTTCTTGAAAGCCAAGGGTGGTGGGGCAGAACGTTTTTCTCTATTTTCTTCCCACCTCCAATGGCTTATGATGGCTGTAATGGAGGGGCAAGTCCAGGGCCAGCGGAGTCTTCCCCCTTTCACTACCAAGGAAAACGTAATTCCTATCCATGGACCCGTTACTATTCCCCTTACCCTTCTAGGTCTTTCCCATTGCAGAACATCCTGAATTTCTGACCAATGAGAAATTCAAATTTGCATTTTTCATAAATTCTTTTCTCAAAAAGACGAACGAGCCATACAAAACCACGCAGGACGTTCCCAATACAGAACGACAGGGTTGCTTCAGAACGTATTTCTTGCATGCTCGCCCCTGGTTCCGGGGAACAGGTATGTATATACCTATGAAGACAAGCGCGTCCATACTTGTAAATGTATAAACGAATGAGTAAAAAAAAGAACGAAGGGGGCTAGAAAGTATAAATAAATGAATTGAACAAAATAAAAATTAAATAGATAGGTTTCCCCAAAATGACGCTCTCAATTCATTCGGCTGGCTCCAGGCTTGACAACACATCATCACACAAAATGCCCGATCTTGCTGCACTTCTGCCTGACTGACCAGTAGCGAGCAACGTTGACATTATTCCAACGTCTGCTTTTCTGACGGCACCACTCTTGCTTCCCTCCTTTACTATGTTCTTGTCCTGATACTTAGGTTTTCTTTTTCCCTCCTTAATTCCCACCCCAGGATAAAAAAACTAGCAATAAACTTTGACCAACGATCCGTCAGCCTAAAGCTGCAACATCTCCCAAGGTGCAGATGCAATCCGCTTCCTACTACTACCACCACCCCCTACCTAGGTACCTAACATAACCAGTCTCCTCCCGGCCAGTCTACTCTTTCGAATCACAGATGGGCTCGGCGATAAAATCTGTCGCTGCTTTTGTGGACAAGTACTACGCGTTAGCGTTAGTGCGTTTGTTCGCGAGGGCCGTCCGTCTCTCCTAATAGGGCTTAGGGGGGCAGGGCACCACCCGGCTGAGCGGTCTGCGTATCTACATTTATCTATATAGACCAAGAACATCACCAGAAAAAAAAATCATCCCATTGCTCTAACGGCTACCCGTTTATCTATATGTTGCCACCTAATGGATACGACGGTAGATACTTTGGCTTGTATATGCTATGTCTAATCCTGAAGGGTAACATATACGCTTGCCCCCCTCCGGGGTCTTTAAGAGCCTTCTCGGTATATAGAGTCCTAATGTCCCGATTCCCTTCTGTACCGCGCATTCGATAGTCTATCTCCCGGAAGCATCATTTTCGTTATACTTACTAGTCCGTTGGCTTACTTGAGGCTAAAGAAAAAAAAGAGAAAAAAAAGAAACTACTAATTACATACGTATAGTACATAAGCATGTTACTTACATGTAGGTATGTAGAGGACTATCATCGGGTCTAGGCCCCTCGTCGTTCCCGTTAGACCTGGAAGATAACTTGACCGATATATCTCGTTTTCTTACGTCTGTCTACCATGATGATATCCTTAATCATCCTTTCGTCTCCCGTCTCCATCCTATCCCCCATCCGCAGGAAGCCGGTTGGTCCCGTCTATCATCCTGCAACCGCTTCCCCGATCTTCCCTCTTCCTGTCTGCCTCCACATTGCATGTACTGTACCCACGCCTGCATACGTGCGTTTATTTCTCTGCTTACATATATTGGACGACGACCATCGTACATATCAGACATAGGCGCCGAAGCTCTGTACTGCCCGAGCTATCGGCTAGTCAGCCTAACTCCCCCCTGCCTGCAGCAAGTGGCGTGTCTTCCAGATACTCCTGCATCTGATATCTCCACTCCCCTCCAGCAAGCTACCTGTTCAAGCTTTGCTGTCCCATCCGAGGAAGGCCTTCCCTGTCGTATCCTGTGCCCCCACAGTATCTCGTTCCTGACTGGAAGTGATAATCGCCCCTTCTCGGCACATGCCAGAAGGAAAAAAGTGAAAGCTCCAAACATCGTTCCTTTTCGAACGAATTTTATACTATAAACGGTGACCGAGAGCACAGTTGTGCCAAATTGATATCAAATTCCTAGGTACCTAAGTTATATATTATTGCCTCCGTCTAAGCTATTTGAAATATGCACACACCCCGTGGAGACCTACCCACATACAACATGAACATGGCCAGATTAACTATCTCGTCATGCATGTATGCCTTTTTTTGTATCGTCTCGCTATTTTATCGTATTACCTATCTTACCTAGCCAGTCCCCCACAAGCTTTCTTCAATCCATCCTATGTGAGTGGCCTACTCACCTAGGATGGTGTTAAGGTAATCCGCTACGTCGGTAAGCGAAGGCATATAGACAAGCAGAGGGAAGTATGTACGTATATATCTCATTACCGGTAAGGATCAGGGCTCGGCAAAAGGGGGGTACGAATACTAGACTCCAATACTATAGTTCGTTTATGCCAATGGATCGTAGTACCTTACGTACACTCTTAGTCTTGTGTGTACTTGTCTGCTCTCTGTATCTGTCTGACATTTGGGGAGCTAACGCCCTTGCCTCTCCGTTCCCTGTCCTCTCTTGGTCCAACGATATATCCTATATTGAGCGGGGTCACGGAGAACTATTCTCGATCGACGAATTGAGTCATCGAGACTTATCCCTATAGACGGGACTATAGATGGCCCGTTCTCGTTATGCCATCGAGCTGGGCAAGTCCTTCTAAAGGTGAGGAGAAAAAAGTATAAAAGGGGGTGTTGTTGACGGGTTGAGCTTGTCTTCTTCTTCTTCCTTCTTCCTTTCTTTCAAACCACCTCAAACTTCAAAGTTCTATCTATTTTGATTGCTTGCCTATTCAGAAGCTTCCTTCTACCACTGTCCTTGTTGGTTAAGACCTTACTCTGTTCTTGACTCACCCCATACACCCACACACCCACACACCCACATACCCACATACACCTCATACAAACAAAGGACTCCTAGGAGTCTCGCACAGGGTCACATACTCACACCCTGTCTCGCAACCCCATTACAATCAATTCGTTCCCGTATTCCTTCTAAGAGGTTCCATTGCTATCACCAATTGGCACTTAGCTACCATGGCATCCTACAGCACGCAATACTACACCGCCGCGGCGGTACCCATTCCCAGCAAAGCAGACCAGTACCATCAGTACCAGAGCGGTGGTAGCAACTACTCTGTATCTCCGTCTGAGGATGACCAGCGCGAGCGTGACGCCTCCGTCACCTCTGGTGTACCTTCCTACGGCAACAGCAGCAACGCCGCGAGTTATGCTACCAGCTACACTAGTGGCGACTACGGCGATGGAACACAGAGCGGCGGCTCTGTCAACGGCGTTGACTTCAACGAGTACATGCAAAACCGCTTTGACGAGTCCTTCGACCCCATCCCGCTAGATCGCAGCTTGGCTCGCCAGGCCCAGACGTAAGTTCTAGATCCTAACGTATTCTACTCTTTCAATTTCTGCAACTTCGGTCTAGAGCACAGAACGAGCGAGTCTTGGAACCCGAGAAAAGAAATCACACAGAAGAAAATTAGCTGACGGTGACATTCCAATTTAGTTCCGGTCAACTCAACAACAAGCACCGCGAACTTTTAGAAATGCAAGCAAAAGCGCAAGCTCGTCTAGCCAGGTCGCGCGCTCGCTTCCAGCAAGGTCTAAACGACGCGCGGGAAGTCCACGCTGATCTAGAATGGACATCTAAGAAAGTATCGTAAGTAGAAGCCTATTGGATCCACTACTTCCTAGAATCGAGAAGAGAATATTCTGGCTAACAAAACGGTGATACGCAGGTCGCTGAAAAAGAAGGCAGAGAAGCACCACCCCAAGGAGTACCAGAAGGCGCTTGAAATATATCCCTCACCTAACTAGGCATTAAGAAGTAGTCTTTTCTTTTTTTTCTATTCCTGCGTAATCCGCCCGGGAACGTGTTTTTATACCTATACCATGGTTTTCTACACATGTCGTTTACTTTAGCTTTTTAGCGGCTGAATTACGGAATGGGGGTGGGCGGGCTTGCTGTTACCACGCGAGATCTGGGGGTTGGGCATGCAAGATCTGTCGGGATCGTTTCTATCTGCGATCTCCTTATGCACACTCCCCCCCCCCCTAAAAAGATGGCGGAGGAGACGGAAGCTGGTTTGACGCTTGGGCGAGTAGGGCAGCAAAAATAGACGCCTGTCTATCTCTGCTCCTCAAGCTCCGCATGCGCTGACGCACAGCGAGCGGGCCGGCCGGCTTTAGCTGGGAAGGGCTGTTTCACGAGGGTACGAGTTATGATTGGACAACACCGGACGATCTTGGGGGCGTTATGAGCTAAAAGTACATCAACTTTGTCTCTAGCAGGGTAGGGGCTCGTGTGAGCTACGGGATGATGCGCATCTGACCGGTCAAGTAACGCCCGAACTTCGCACAGCTGCAAACTAAGTTTATCTTGAGCTAGGGGCTTAGGGCTAGTGGGCGACAGTACACCGAATTTTCTAGGGACACACTCGGGGGCGTAGCAAAAGAATGTATTCCTAGATAGATCACATAGTCTCTCCAGTCCCCAGCATAGGGATGACACTTGTCCGCTTCGGGACATGGATATTGCCCTTTTTGTAATAAGTCGGTAAGGTCATGGGGGGTGACTGACCTATTTCGGACGGGGGTTTCCTTAAGGCGTCGTATTGGGTTGGTATCGTACTTCTCTTAGACATAGTAATACAGCAATCCACCGTTCGGTGACCTAACTCAGTGCCGTGTATGTACGTCTCAAACACAATGAGCCTTATATCACCCGTCCCATCTTAAGCCAATGAAGGCTGAGGGGCCACAGTAGTTCTTCGACCTGTCATGTAAGATACCGGGTTGAATCCACCACGAAGAGTAACTTGTCGTATGTCGATTATTGTCACGTGATATGGTGACGCCCAAGGATTGCGGACATGCTCAGAATGTATTCCACCTGTGGGGCATTAATATTTTCTAGACTAGAAGTCATGAGAGAGCATGCCATACTATTTCCTCTTCACTTGCCTTTGGTTTAAATAAATATGGTTACTTGGTCGAATTACCCAGACCAAAGCTCAACAAAATTTTCACTTGACCAGTGGTGATGATGCCAACTCATCGTTTAGCTGCCTCCCAGGACATCCAGCTGCCCCTCAGTCCCAAAACCTTGATATGCTCAAGCCGTTCCCAAGGGTTGGTGTTCGAACTCGGGTCATAGTAATCATCCCACCATTTCTTCCCTGGCTCATGCCCCTGACTCTGCCTGGCTTGATAACCGCCACGACCACTATCTCGACTGGTAAAACCTCCGCTGGTACTCGCTGCCGATGGTTTGGCCCCTACAATATGTCCCGGATACTCCCCGGGTGTGGCGTCAATTGTAGTGTCAGATACAGCATCACCCGTTGGACCAACCAAGGCTATATCAGGCGGGCGTGAAGTATCCAAATACTGAGGCCCCGGCTCATCATCACCCGGGTCATTAAGAGGTGAATGTATTCTGCTGTCCGTAATGCTAGCCGCCTTGTCATCTTCAAGGGTGATTTCGTCTTTATTCTTCGATCTAACTCCTAAGGGGATCGCATTGGAACCCGACTTCGCTTCACTGATGTGAAGAGGAATAGAAGCAGAGGTCGACGCAACTACCGCGTCTGCACGAGGGTTGAACTTGCGTCGCTTCGGGTTGGGTTGAGCCCCAAAGCTTGAGAAGCCCATAGCCTGTGCCATAGCTGCGGTAGTGTCCTCGGTTTCTTCCATGATAGACTAATGAATCAAGCTTGCGGTGCGGAGGCTTAGCACGGCTTAGATGCGGTTAGAATGAGGATGGCAGAAGTGATGTAATTGGTGAAATTCGATCAAAATGGGGGAGCCAAAGGAAGGGTATTATTGACAAAATTGTATGAGTTCAGTAGTTTTAGGATTTTCTCTCATAAATCCATAAATCCATAAATCCATAAATCCATAAATCCATAAATCCATAAATAGCTTAGATTGAATAGGGCTTAATAAGACTGGATAATATGAAGTTGTGAATTTTAGAAGCTGGTAAATTTAGCTCCGAGACAAAAGAGACAATAAACCGAGCCTTGGCAGCCACTTACTTGTGCAGCCTTATTTAAGCCGGAAGGACCGTTACCCGTCAAGATTTTAAACATCCGACCTTTACCCGGGGCGTTGCCCTTAAGGTCAAGGGCTTACTTTTAGATGGAAAAATACGTTTCCATGGAAATTTTTGTAGATTAGATACTTAGAGTTAGGTGTTCTCTGCATACAAAATGTAAGTACTCTTGATATCTTATAATTCTTTCCTTATTTTGATAGGCGTATTGAAATTTTATAAAATATAGGGTCTTTACAATATCAATTAATCAAATTATCATTCCTTTTCAATTTCTTTTCTAATAACGTTGGTGTTGTAAGTGGAATTGTTATATGTGGTCAAAGATTAATACCGGTTATTACATAATATGAATTTAAAAGGTACGAGAGATTGCAAAGTCGAGTGTATGTATGTATGCATATGGAAGTTGTTATATATTACATAAGTAGTACATATGCTTGATTCCATAGTAAAGATATGACGTTGGGCGTTGTAGGAGTTTTATGAAAGTCGCAACCTGGTATATTGATTTTGTTACAACTTGAAAGTTTTTTATTTTTATTTTTCCACCTGGATCAGATAGTTTAGGTAAGGTACTTACCTAAGGTAGGTATGTAGGTACCTAGGTAGGTACCAACTATAAAATCAGAACATCCCATAAAGAAGTATATATACCTGTTATATTGTCAATACGTCATCGGTCCACACCTACAGGAAACACAGTGCGACGATAATAGATATACCATGACACTTTGCGTCTTCAAATGGCTAATATTAAGCATTCCTTTCTTCCACTTTACTTAGCAGTCATAGTCCCATAGGTGTAAATATCGCCTACTTCATATCCGGTATGCCTCTGTGAGTACCTCCCCTACAGCCGATATTGAGTCAATCAAATTTGGTCTCCCTTATTAATAAGTAGCCTTACAGGCATCTTCTAGGCAAGAAATCGTGGAATGTCTACAACCCCAAAAATATTGAGCGCGTGAGGCGCGACGAAGCAGCTGCCAAAGCCCGCGACGAGGCCGAAGAGCAACGCCAGCAAGAAGTCGATGCCGAACGTCGTCTAGCCATCCTACGAGGCGAGACCCCGCCTATACCTCCTCCCCCTCAGTTGAGCGTTGAAGATGAGGCTCGTAGCCAGAAACGAAGTCGCGATGAGGATCCGGGAGCACCGATCCGGGGTAGGGATCGTAGGAAGCGAAAGCGTGCAGGTGAAGATGATACAGATTTCGAATTGCGCCTTGCGCGCGAGCAGTCGAGTGCTGCACAGACGACAAGCGATGCGCTTGTAAAGAGCACTAGTAATGCCCCGCTCGTGGACCACACCGGTCATATAGACTTGTTCCCTGAAGAGCGATCGCGTGTGCCTATACAGAAAAATGAAGAGGCTGAACGAGAAGCTGCCAAGAAGAAGCGAGAATATGAAGACCAGTACACTATGCGCTTCTCTAACGCCGCTGGCAAGGAGGGATTTGTTGGCCCTTGGTATGCAAAAGGTGGTGACATTAAGGACGTTGTAGATGGTAATCTGGATGCACCGAGCAAAGACGTATGGGGTAACGAGGACCCGCGGCGGAAGATACGGGAGGCTGTACGCGTTGTAGCAAACGATCCTCTTGCAATGATGAAGAGAGGTGTCGCGAAGATTAGGGAGGTTGAGAAAGAAAGACGAAAGCTGAACGAGGAGAGAGAGCGAGAGCTGAGGCAGCTTCGAAAAGTAGAGAAGAGACGAGAGAGGAGGAGGCGACGAGAGGGAAGAAAGGACTACGATGGCCTTGAGGGGCTCACTCTAGATGGTACGGCCTCCAGTAAAACCCCAGCCCACTCCAAGGATGACGACGATCATTATCAATATCGACGATATCATCACTCCCGGGACGAGAGCGATCGATCTCGGCGCCACTCCGAAAATAGAGAACACATAGAGCACGAGTATGACCAGAAACAAAGTTCCCGATCAGACCATCAGGAGCAAGGTCAGGGATTATCAAAACATGACAGACGGCGAGAAGGGAGGGCAGATAACTACTAGCATTGCATCGGTATACCGGACCAGGCGTTAGTTTTTCGAGTATTAGATACCCCTCCTGCCTTGTAGAGGCACTAATATCATTTGCGTATTCGTGATTAGACGGATATCGTACTCCACCTCGTCCTAACACGTCCTATTCCATGGGTATCATCAATAATATACAACCCACAAACCACCATCTAGACTTCCAACCTTTATACTTTAGCTGATTATTTATTTCTATCTTTCCACGGTAAACTAATTTCAACCTCCTGCATGTGTTTCTCGACCAGCTCGATAACCTTTGGCGCATCGTTGAGTTCCTTTAACGCCTTGATGATATCTTCCACTGTCTCTTTGCTTAGGCCCTCCTTTCGGTCACTGTAAATATCCACGCCCTCCTGCGTGAAGAAAGTCGGTGCGAACCAGGTCACAGCCCAGCGCTCAATGGCTTCTCCCGTATCATCTGCACCACCGACTAGTGGGCGCTCGCCCCAGCCTAAAATCTCCCAATGGCTGCTAGCTATAACGAGCAAGCCCTTGCCCCGCCAGGTCCAGGCGCCAGGGATGGTCGAGTCAGGCTTCTCGATGCCTACGACACGCTTCACGCCTCCCTTACCATTGCTCTTCTCATATTCGACTAGGTTGTCGTTTGCAACGGGCTTAGACTCGGGTTTATACGGTTTGTAGGTTATGCGCACGTTCCGAGCTGAGCGCCACATCGACAACGTCGAGTGCGTGACGGCCCAGGTGCGCCAGAGCCATTCGAGCGGCGGGGAGACGAATGGGTCGCCAGTGGTAGTTGATGGCTTGGACGGGTCTGCGAGGTACTTGGACGGGGCGCGGAGGCTAATATTGCTTGATAGATTTGTGCTAGTTGGTGTAGGTTCTGTCATTATGAGTAGGTATATGTAAGCTCTGACTATGTTTCTTCGTAATTAAAGAGTTTTGAAGAAGTTGTACAAACGCGGACTATTAGAGCTTCCAGGTTGATGCACAATGTTGTCATATCCATGCGCACAAGCTCGGGAAGTCCTTATCCGGAATTCATCGTGGGTTTCAGGGGTAAGAAAAAGAACAGTAATTGAGTGAGCACCTACCTATTATTTAATATTAAATTTACGTACTTATAATTAGTGGATAAAAAAACTGCACGCCCCATTAAAATCATTAACATTTATAATATTACCTATTTATTTATTTTATTTATAACTTAATAATAACATATTTAAATTGATTGAAATTTTATATATAAATAATTAAATAGTAATAATGTATAAATATATTTTTTTAATATTTTATATATTAACCTTTAACCTTAATAATAGCTTTAATTTAGTTAAGTATTAAATTTATTAAATTATTTATTATATTTTAAGAAATGTTAGCTTAATATTTTTAATAACCTTAATTAATTTAATTAAGGTTTTATTAGTTTTTAAAAAGGTTTTTAATTTAAAATATTATTTATTAATTTTTTATTTTAATTAAGTTTATAAATTTTCGATAAGATTTAAATTAAAGTTATAAAAAAACTATTTTAAAACGAGGAACTTAAAGTTTTTAAATTAATCTTTTAATAATTGTAAAGTATAAATAAGTATATTATTATGTATAAAAATAATATTAAGTTTTAATAGTGAACAAGACTTAGACGTCTTGGCCTTAGATTAAGCCCTATTAGACCTGATATCAAGGACTTTTAAATGGTGGTACTGATGGTTGTGTGACACTGATATAAAGGTACCTTACTAATGATAAGGTGCCCTTATTGTAGATAAGGAAAGAAGAGATAAGATACCTGATTTTATTGGATAAAAGGGTTGGGTATCTATTATTATTGGAATATAAGAATATGCTATATTTAGTTAGTCTTAGATAGATTTTTCTTTTTTTAGATATTTATTATATATTAGTTTTAATATTATTGTTTATTGTTATTTTGTTTATTGTTTTTATTATATGTATGTATTTATTAATATTGATTAGTGTTGTTAGATAGTAGTAATATAGATTAGTAAGGTTAGAAGAGTTATTGTTGTTTTAATTTAAAGATTTTTATTGTAATAATATAAGCGATATTAATATCTTTTTTTATATTATTTCTGTAGTTTATAATAGATTATAACTTTACTTTTTTATATAATCTGTTTGTATTTTTAATAAATTATTGCGACTTAAATTTTTTATTTATAGAGTTATTATTATTTGTATTATTAATTTTTTTTATTATATCCTAAGAAATATAGGTAGAAAGTTTAGCGTAGGTGTAGATTTATGTTATGTATAATTTTATTAAGTAAAAGAATATAGACGAGTTGTATAAGTTTTTAAATTATTTTTTTGGTTAAATATTTATGTTTAATATAATGTTTGATTATATGGTAGTATGATGGGAAAGAATTGATTTCTAGATAGTTATGTTTAAATAAAAAATAATATAGGTATTTTTTGTATTGGTAGATTTTAAAATTATTAATAATAAGGTATTATATATATGTTTAATTAAGGAAGTAATGGTTGAATATTAAAAATAATTTAAAGGATTTATGGTAAATAATTTTAAAATATTGTTAAGATAATTATAATTAATATTACGAAGTGTACTAATATAAAAAAGTATTTATATAGGAAGATATAACGTTAATTATGTAGAAGTATTTGTTAATTTTATATTATTACGTAATTTATTTATATAAAATATTATTAAATTAGAGGTAGTAAAAGTAAGATGGTTTAACGTATTAATATGGAGAGTTTTAATTTATGAAATCGAAAAAGAATTGGTATATTCTGTTATATGCGTGTTTATATAGTTATAAACGTTAATATAATAATATTAGGCGATTTTTAACCCATAAACGTTAATATATATAATTGTATCTATAGGGTAAGTCTTAATATAAAATATTATACCTTAAGCCTTACCTTTTTTTAACCTATAATATGTATTATTTATTCTATAATTAAAATAAATATTATTTTTTATTTTTAATTAATCATTGTTGATTTTTAACGTTTTGTTATTAATCTAATAATTAGGATTTATTTTTTAATTCCTTAACCAACCACCGCTCCTAATATATTTTCTTTTCCTCCTTCCCCATGCACTTAATCTTAACTTATTATTATAAAATATATTAAATTATCTATAACAATTAGTATAATTTTAATAAGGTAACCAAAACGGTATTTAGGCATTACCTAACCTTTCTTTCTTTTTCTTATTAGCCTAATAAAGATTACTTGTATCTTTTGTAAAATAATAAGGGTATAATTTAGGGTATAATCCTGGATATAAAATTGGTTAGATATAGTCCTTTCTTTTAATTATAGGAAATGCGTTTGAATTTTCTAAACCGCCATTGGATAATTTATATATAATATTGGCAATTCTATTAAATGTTGGATTAAATAAAAAAAATTAATTTATTAAAGGTTATAATTTCTTTTCCTAAATAATTTTACCGCCTTTATAAATATCTAATTTTTCCGTTTAAATTTTAATATTTGTTAGTAATTAATAAGTTTAAATCTATTATAATATTTTCTTGGTATAAATCCTTAATAAAATATGTTTTTTAATAATTGTAAGTTATTTTAAGAAGGTTTAGAATAATAAGAACAATTATATAAAAGAAATATATAATATTCTTAAAAATAAATTTCGATTTTTTCTAAACGTATATTATATAATAAAAATTTAATAAATATAATTTTATACTGTATTTTCTATTATTTTTATTAGAAAAATAGTAATTTATTTTTTTTATAATATATTTAAACATTAGTATTTTGTAAATATATATATAATCATAAAATAATATTTTAATACGGAATAAAATAAAATATAATACTATTAAAATTAAATAGTTATTATTTTTTATAGTATGAAGGTTAAAAAGAAAAATAAGGATAAATTTAATATAGAAATACTATAAATTATACTTGATAAATTATTATTATATTAACGTATTTTCGGATTTAATTTTAGGGAAAAATAGTAATTTATCGTAGTTGTATATAAAGCATATTGTAATATACCACAATTATAGCATATATTATTTATTTTGTTGTATTATTTTAAAGAATTAGCTAATAAATTCTAAATATTTATTGAAACGTTTAAAAATTTTAAAAAAATACGTTAGTTTATAGTAAATACCAATAGCAAAAATAGTAATAATAATAAATATAATATTGGTTAATATTATATTAATTATAAATATTATTGTAACGATAAAAACGGTAAATATAATATTTGTTAAAAAATGTTAAAATATTGGAAACGCTGTTATTGGGTATATAAAAAAGAAAAATATTGGTTAATTAAGTATTTGGAAAAAAAACATAAAAAGGTTAAAGCTTAATGGAAGGCTAAGAGAAATTAGGTAAAAGAAAATTATATAATTTTTTTAACCAAATATAAAAATATTAAAGATTTTAATGTAGAAGAATTTGAGGAGTTTATTAAAAAAGAAGAAGAGTTAAAAAATTAATATATAATTATAACTTATTTTTTAAATAAATCTTTCTAGTATTAATTTAATTTATAAATATTAAATCCTAAAAAATCTATTAATAAATCCAATATTAATACCATATTTATTTTTAATTAATACGCAAAAAATGTATTTTAAGGTATTATACCAAATATAGGAATAACATAAATATTAATTACAAATAAAAACTAATACTAAATCTTTATTAATAAAAACCTAAAGTATTATAACGATTTAAATATTAATCGCGCTAGTAAAACCAATATATATTTTAAAGATAGTTTATTTATTAAATTATTAAAGATTGTGATAATTAATATCTTATTTAATAAGGTAGATTTTTATGTAATAGAAATAGATATTCCATTTTTCTTTTCTATTAAAAATATAAACCGTTTAAAAATATATTTTAATAATGTTATTAATTAATTAATTGGTAAAAACGGTATAATAATTAAGGTTATATAAAAATAAAAATATTTATAGTTTTAGCTTAATAATATTACCTATTTTATAAAAGTAAAATTACACTATTTGTATATATGTTTTAGTTATTTATTTATTAGTAAATTTTACGATTTATTTAATAAAACAGGATATAAAGTAAATATTAAAAACTTTAAAAAAATTAATAAGTTTTATTATTATTATTAAGTTAAGGATAAAATATTTTAATATTTTAAGTTTAATTTTAAAGATTTTAATATAGATTTTAATTACAAAATAATTATTAATATTATATATTTAAATAAGAAACCAATTCTTTATGTAATTAATATAGTAATAGGGTTTTAAGTAACCTGATTTATGAAGAATATTTTTATTAAAGAAATTTAGGAAATGTTTAAATAATGTTAAATCGATATATATTTAAAATTATTGGATGTTTTTAATTATAATATAGGTATTAATTTTAATAATGTTAAATTTTGTAATAAGGTTTATTTTATAAAAATTATTTATAATTAAATATTTATTAAGGTATATTAGTTAATTAATAAGGTGGAGAAATATTATGGCCTAATTTGGAAAGTGTATAAGATCATTTCTGAAGAAGTATAGGGGTTAAAAAAGGCTTACTTATAAATAATAATTAAGGCTATAAATAATATAGTAAATTTAAATAGTTTTATTTTTATTTTATTAATCTTTGGCGTTTATCTAAGGATTAATATAGATTTTTTTCTTACGTAATTGTAATTGGAAAGAATTTAAATAGTATAAAAGGCTATAATTAAAATTAAGAAGGTTAAGGTATAAAGAACCATTTGTAACGTTATAAATATAAGAAATGGATTAGATATTTTAAAAATGTTATTTATGTTATTATTTATTAATAATAGTATATTAGTCTATTGTGAAAAAGGTGGATGGGAAGGATTATATAAGATTATTATTATTATAGATAAAGATATAATTATTATATTAAGTATATTAAGAAGTATCTTGATTTTCTGGAGTATATATGTTAAGTTATATAAATAGTTAAAAAGAAATTTTAAAATTTATTTATCGTTATTACCATCTTAATTTAATTTTAATAAGTATAAGGTTATATTTAATAAGGATTTGGATATATTTATTATGAGTATAGTATATATTAATATAAAGGAAAAGAATAATTATATTTTTATTTTAAAATTACGATTAGATGGAAAGATAGTTGCATTAGGAAGGCTGTATGAGGCCTTCGATATAAAAAAATTTAATACCTTCTTTACGAATAATATTTTATAACCTAAGATATATGATAAGATATTTTATTAAGGCGTAATTATATTTAAATCTTATATAATTTGCAAAATTAAGGGGAAGAATATATTAGTATTATATAAAAAATTATAATTTATAATATAAGACTATAGAAATCCCGAAAAAAATTTTATTATAATATATACTCCAATAATTTAACGCGTTAATCAATGCCTAATATTGGTTTTAATATTTATATTATAATAATAAAATATAAAAATAATAATCTAAAATATTATTATAACGTATATATAATTTAAAATCTTTATATAAAAGATAATATATATATATTTATTTTTAGAATTAAAAAATAAATATTTTAAAGGAATATTATTATAAATGGTTAAATTTTTATATAGATTTATAAAATTAGATATATATTGGTTTAAAATTTATTCCAAATATTATTAAAAAGAATTAGATATAATTCTATTAGTATTTAATTTATGTTTATTAATTGTAAAACTAAATTAATTATTTAAAATTATAAGTTTATAAATAAATAATATATTAAATATTGGTATAATAGAATTTTTAACTAAAGAGGATAAGGTTTTTATAAAAGTAGGTATTAAAGTAAAATTTTAAAAAATTTTAAAATTAAACGTAATTAAAAATTTTAATAAATTATAGATTGTAGTTTATAAAAAAATAATTTTTATTATTTAAAAAGGATAAATAAAAAAGTTAAAAAAATTAGATTTAAAAATATTTGATATAATTAAAAGATTTATAGAATAACGTATAAAAGGTACTTATATTATATTTATTTATTAGTTTAAAATAGTTTTTAATTATTTTACGGTAATGTAATATACGAAATTTAAATTAAAAGAAGTTAAAACCTTTAACGTAAGGATTAAATGGTAGGTAAATTATAAAGATTAAGGTTTTAGGTATATGGAGTTAAATTCTTAAGATTTATGTTTATATATTTTTATAAATAGTTTATTTATTAATAATAAGGATATAAATTCTTAGATTGGTTATATTATGGTATTTGGTAACGAAAGATTTATAAATTATAATAATAAAATATAATTTATTAATAATATTATTTATTGGTTATTTATTAAATGTAAATGTATTATGCGTAATGTATTTATTAATAAGATTTATAAAATAGTATAAGATTTTAATATGGGTTATATTATCCATAATATTATTAATATTATCCTAAACTGATTAAGTTTCTTAATAATCTTTTTTATTTTATATATAGATTTTTTTTTGCTATATTAATATTTTATTTAAATAGGCAATATTAACGAAAAGAAATTAATAATTAATCTTATGGTTTTAAGATAATTATATAAAAATAAAGAAATTAATAATATTTAATAGATATATAATAATTATAATTTAATAAATATAATAATAAAAACGTTTTTAAATAAGGTTATAAAGATATTAATAAAAAATAATTAAATTGATTTATATTTAGAAGGGTAGGTAAAACGTAAAAAAATTAAAAGTAATATTAAACTAATATAATAATAGATTATTAAAACCAATTATTGATATTAATTTAGACGTAGGCTATTATAAGAAATAAGGAGGGATATACTAGGAATAAAATAGTATAATATATATTAGCGTAATCTTATTTATAAGATAATTTTTAATTTAAATTATTATGGTTTTATTTTCTAATTGTCATAAATATATATAATTATAAATACGTAAGATTATAAATGTGTGATAGTATATATCCAAATTAATATAAGTATGCGTTAGTATAAATTTTAAGGTTTTATTTATTTAAATCATATTTTATAATTAATTAATTGTAAAAAGAAAATAAAGTAAATAATAGTTGTATGATATTAATATAAAAGTATTTTATTAATAATAAAGTGTCCTTATTGTAAATAAGGAAGAAAAAGATAAAATACCTAACTTTATTAGATAAAAAGGTTAAGTATCCACTATTATTGGAATATAAGAATATATTATATTTAACTAACCTTAGATAAATTCTTCTTTCTTTAGATATTTATTATATACTAATTTTAATATTATTATTTATTATTATCTTGTTTATTGCTTTTACCATACGTACGTACCTACCAACAGGTACTGATGATGAAAAGGAATGACTTATATTAAAAGTGGATGATACTATGTAAAATGGGTGTGTGCGACCATAAATGGTACTTATATTAAGAATATGATCACATGATCAGGGTCAAGGTCACCTGATACACCAGCACCAGTTCAATAGTTATAGTAAGTTATTTTTGAAAATATTTCGATAAATAACAAACGAAACGCCATTTTTAAATACTTTAAGGTTTTTGTTAAAAATCATAATATTATTTTTTATTTTATAGTAAATTATACCTTAAAATATTTTAAAATATTAGATTTTTTTATAATAAATTTATATATATTTTAAATTTATAACTAATAAATTTAATTTAAAAAAAACGGTTAAAAATTAATTATATAATTAATTATTAAAATTATAAAATATTTAAAAAAATTAATTTATTTTTAAGTTTAAAAATTTACTTTTAACGTAAACTTTAATTACATTTAATTATAATTTTATTTATAAAAAAAATTTATTATTAATAATTAAATAATTTTTATAATTTTTATAAACTTATTTATATTTAATTTTAACGTATTTTTTTAATAAATACAATTTTATTACGATAAAAATATATAATATACCTTTATTAATTAAAAATTAATTAATAATTTTTAATAAATAAATTAAATAATGTTTTTTTTAATAAACTAAATAATATAAAAGGATTTTTAATAATATTAATTAATAATTGTTTTTTATTATATTTATTTATTATTTTTAAACAATCACGGTTAAACGGAAAAACATTTTAATTTTAATAAAAAAAGTGTTTTTTAATTATATAATAAGTAAATATAAAAAATCCTTTGATTCTTACTATTTCCGTAAATTTTTAACCTATTTAAAATCGTATTTATACTTTATTCCTCGTACAAAATATTATATATTTTTTATAAATTTTTTAACTGCGTTTTAAAGTATAAACTATCGTTTAAAAATGAGGCTATTTTAAATGATAAAGTTAAATTTTTCGAAAAAGGTTAAAAATGGGGCTGGGTGTGCGGTTTTTTTGTCTATTGATTGTAACTTACAATCTAGAACCCAATTTAATGATTTGATTGAAATTGGATACAAGATTCTTAAGACGTTTTTTTACCTAAATACTATTAATAACGATCTTTAAATTTTATAAAAGTACAACTGAAATTATTTTATTGTCACGTGGTAACGTATTAAAAATAAATAACGCCAATGAAAATATAAAAACATTCTTCATAGAGGTATATAATAATTAAATAAGACCCCGGGTATCTCAACCAGCTAAATAATTCCTCGTGGCCAGCTGTCAGCCACAGTGTTCGTGCCTTATTCCTAACCCATCGCCAACATTACCTTCTTCTTGTCCAGCGGAATTTGCCCTTGGTCTCGTTCTACCTACAACGCGAGTCTGCGTTGCCCTAAATAATCGCGAAATATTCTGCCTCATGCCTAATATTTGGCCGTCTCCCGGGTTTTGAGCGATGTTCAACAATGGCCTGTTTGCTAGCTTGAGCTTTTGCCTAAATGTGTTCTCCATGTCGAGTCCATCATCAGAGGCATTATCGACACGTTCTGGTTTACTATCATAGCCTCGAGGATATTGAACTTCGGGGATCCAAACAAACGTAACAAAAGCGCCCAGTAGCATTGCGGGACAGAATCCTAGTAACATTGCTGCGAACTTGCGGTTATATAAATCACCACCATAGACGGCAAGGTTAGTAATTAGGAGGATTGTTATTGCACCAAGTTTCCCCGAAGCTGCTGCAAGACCGTAGAATGTGCCTCGATACTTTGTTGCAAAGAGCTCCGCCGGAAGCATGAATGTGATAGTATTCGGCCCAAGGTTGAAGATAACCTGTGCAAGTACGTACAAGGTCACCGTGAGCGCATGTTTATCCGTCTCGAAAGTGACGAAGAACGTTCCACCGTTGATGGCAAAAAGCCCGGCTAATGCGACAAACATCCAGCCCATCCATGTAGTCCTAGGGATGTAGTCGATAGCAAGTAAAATGATAATACTTCCGGGCAGTGCTCCGCTCGAGATGGTTACAATATCCCGTATGCTGTCTTGTCGAAGCATTTCATATATCGTAATATTTGGTTGGGACGGGTCTGCTCGCCATGCCGCATTGTTGCATACAATTTCTTCCGGGGATGTAGAAACGTTCGACCGCAGCGGCGGCTTCGAAAGCCAGATCGTAGAAATCGTTTTAGGATTATCAAGGCCAAGCCCATCTGCATCAATGAATTATTAGCAGGTAATCGCTTATGTGAGGAATTCCAACGGTATCGGTCATTCCTTTATGATGATGATTGCTTTACCACCCCATTTAGACGTTCCAACCCTCGCAGAAGTTATGAAAAAAGAAATGAAAAAAAGGAAGGGGGGGTTATGAACAATTCTAAAAAGTACATACAATAGGCTAAGTCTAAGAGATACCAAGTTATCATGACTCCTAGAAGCGCACGCCAGCGCTCTTTCTCGGCAAGGTGCTCTCTGACTTCGTAGCTATATTTTACCACTGATGTTCGCCAACTAGTGCGTCGGTTTCCAAAATCAGGTATAGGGGTATCTATCGAGCGTCGAGGGGCCGCAAGCCCGGTTTGATCCATGGGCTGGAGAGTTGGGTTTACCTGAATAACGTGGCGAACAGCTTTGAAGGCTCCTACAAGCTCTTCCTTGGCTACTAAATATTGAGGTGTTTCAGGAATTATTCGCCTCAGTACGAGCGAGACAAGAGCTGGGAACGCCCCAACCCCAATTGTTGTTCTCCATACGATATCGATGACTGGCGATGCGACCTCGTAGTTAGTTTCAGTTGGGGATAAACCGCGATAGTCACTCAGCCCCTTGAGGATAGCTAAGCCAAAGGCATAAGCAGATAGTTGTCCTAGAGACTGCATGAGGAATACCGCCGCTATCATTTTGCCTCGAGATCTAGTAGAGGACCACTCCGACGCAATTATAGCTGAGAGCGGGTACTATTCACTGTTAGTAATGACGTATGGAAAGAAATCTGGACTCGGTGGTTGTTTCTGACCTCTGCGCCGAGCCCTATACCCAACATAGTACGCCAGAAACCAATCCAACCATACACATTCATCGAGTGTCTATGGCCTGAAGATGCTGTTGTCATCCCCACTGTAGCAATTACCACGATGCTTAACTCTAAGCCATAGACAGCCTTTCGGCCATATCTATCAGCTAAGCATCCGAATAGAAGCATGCCGACCATCGTCCCAGTCAACGTAGTCAGGTTGATTACCAATGAGTTGGTCGACATGCCGGTAGTACATCCTGGGTAAACATAACTTAAGGATGGGCTGATAACGTTCACAGCAAAGAGGCTGTAAGATGCCGTGAAAAATCCCGACGCAGCAACCCACCACACTTTCCACTGGAACTTATCCAGGCCTGGGTAGTCAATCACAGATTGTACCGTTCTTTCGGGATCGTCGAGATCCTGTATAGCCACAATGAGTTTAAAAAAGTAAAATAAAGGCCTGGGTTATGGCTTGGGGGGGTCTATTACATACACAATCTATCTCGTGGGCAATCTGGCGCGTGCCAGCTTTAAGACTGGAAAAATACCCGCCCATCATATATGATTTAGAGGCCGCTCTGTTAATCTAGAAAAGACAATGGTCCATTTTAGAAGGTGATGGGCTGCATCTTATCAGTTATATAACTGTCGAGCTACGGATGTTCGTGCTTTGGAAAACGCCCAGGTAATAACTGGCGTGTCACATCATGACGCCGCCGTCATTAGTAGCAATGCCCGATCAGTAGGAAAAGAATGCCTTATGGGCCCCAAGAAATCCCTTGCGACTTCGCTGAAGAGGTGAAAGTAGGTTCTAGTATATCCAAGCCGTGTCATCTATTTGTTTGAAAGTGATTTCGGTGACGCTTTAAGCCGCCGACTGTCGACTAGGAGCTGGCAGTGCCACTCTTGCGACTTAACAATATCCGTATTTTTACTTTGTGAATGGGAATTTCTAACCTAGTCCAATGGTAAGTTATGATGCAGGCCACGAAAGATGCCTCGATCACGCAAAGAGCTGTCAATGCACTCTACATTTCGGGTCCGTAAACGGTTACAACTAGGTACCTTCTAAAAGCCCTGCTAAGCTGATGGAAAACTTGCAGCGCGACATAAATGGCACGGGATCTGAGACATGCTGGCTATCTCCAGATACTGTTTCTCGACGAGTTAAGCTGATCCAGGGGTAGCACGGTTATATCGATATAAATACCTACAATACCTGTCAGTCTCGTCAGGAACGTGGCCTAAATAAGACTTCTTATTGGGCGTTCTTAACATATCCCTGTCCGATCTCCAATTCACTAAATTGTAGCATCCAATCCTTATTGGAAACATGGTCCGAATCGAGCTGTGATGTTATATACATTACGTTAGTTCATATCTCTAAGGATACCTAGTTTTGAGCTGCCCCCCACAGTTCCTTTATGTGAGACCGGGATCCAGTCTAGGAAGGGCTCGCATCGTAGTTCCCTTCCCCTGAATGTAAAATGGAGCCTGGAACGATTTTATCGATCGTCCAACTTTCATTTTCCGCCTTCGAACTTGGCTCTAAGATCGCCTGTGAATTTTTCGGGAAGAATGGTAGGGTTCCGGATAAACTCAGACGTCTCAATGACCGACTTAAAGAATTTCATATAATTGTTGACGGAGTTATAGATGGCGCTCAGGGGCGTAGCGCCTCGTCAGACCTTATCTACCCCGGAGCTAGCGCTATTGTTGAGACTCTGACTGAGTGCAACGATTTCCTCCGCCAATATGAGTTGGCGTTGTTATCAGATCGAACTTTCGGTAGAACTAGTCAACGACTCGCCCTCGTCGTTGGTCCAGATAATTCTAAGATCCAGGATCTTGATAGAAGAATATTAGATCACTACCCAGCACTTCAACTATGGAAAACGACTGGCCTGGAAAGGGCGGTTATGCAGCTCGGAGAATCGTAAGTTCTCTATTAGGGTTACCGCCGGAGCCCTGCTAAACAGGTGTTAAAACAGAATGATCGCGAAGCACCAAAGCAGTAGCCAGTTAAGCCGAGCGCCTACTACGATAGCTGAATCGTCACCGCAGCCCGAGCCATTTGGGAGGTCCGTTGAAGAAGCACCTATCAGCTTTCCTACTACCCAAGTAGCAACCCCTACGCTGAGAGCAGTTTCTCGGAATCCCTCCCTCCCTTCGATAAACGAGCTTCCATCACCACAGGTAGGAGAATATTCATTCTCTGACGCAGGATCATATAGACAGCGTCTATCAGGATCAGAGGCCGGTCCTGTTCTGGCACATCTTAGAGGCTATGGCCGCGATAATGTCACAAATCCACTAACGCGCGCCGGTACTACGAACAATACAGGATCATTATCTCCGATATTACTATCAACTTCACCAACGTCGAAATTCCGTAGCCCAGGATATTCGGTATTATTGTTTGTAGCCCCATACCAATGCTTCTCCGATTCGCTAACACGAAAACGCTAGACGCATCGGCTCCCAGTCGTACTAATTAAGTACTAGCGACTGTAGAGTTCTTGAAATCGCTGGGATGAGAGTGATAGAATGGATCAATACTAGCTCCCGACTTACAATTCAACATTTCGGTTAGACGACGAAACCGTAAATAACTGAGAACCTATAGTACTAACTTGGCCTAGTTCCTGATACACGTGTTATTCCATACACAATACCTGGGGACTCAGGACCCTACAAAGTGCGATTTCTCCCAATAAACGCCAGGCACCAGTTCAAAATCATGACGATAGATAATGGAACCGAGAATCTCCAAGAAAAACCAGAGTACCGATTTCACCGCAAGGCTGACAGAGAGAATTTCCAGCAAGCCGTCCGAGGATGCGACCGCTTAGAGATAGTAAGGGCCGTGAAGGTACATAGTGCTAGAGGAAAGGATATTGCCATGAAATTCCATTTGAAAGTTTGGCGACACACCCCCCAAGATGACAGACCAACTTTTTCCTTCGTGGCAAATGAGATTGCCCACATGGAGTTCCATATTCGATGGTTTAAAAGGAACCCGGAACTGAGAGGAGAGACCAAGCTGGTGCTAAGGTTATACTCGAAGGGTGATGACTTGGTGGATGAGCCCGAACCCGTCGAGCCGCGAAGGCTATCTTTCACGTTTGGAATGAAGAAATTATCTGGGAGTTCGACGCAGACGAATACTTCAGATTCACATTCGACTTCACGGTCACGGTCCTCTTCAACTAAACCCCTGCCTCTTATGCTATATGAAGGCCAAGGAATAGAGCCGCCGGATGATGTTCGAAATCTAGAATATCTGGAAATAGAATTCTTGAACTCAGAGGGTAAGTTTTTTTTGGGTTTCTCTTCCTCTCATCTCTCCCCTCTAGATTCTCTACGCTGATTAGCTCGCTGCTAGTTCGGAAATCCTTCGTACAGGCGTGTCTTGAGGCACATCGCCCAGCATCGGAGGCTTCGAGGAGAAATAGTACGTCGAGCCCCTCTTCGCAACAATCGTACCAGGGTCCGCACGAACTAGAAGACTCGGGTAAATACGAACTACCAGTGGACTGTGGAGTCTACGAGATGATGGGAGACTCGGGGTTTCAGATACCTCCTCCAAGCTTGACAATGCCATATTCCCCCGGCGAGACTCGATTCAATACCCGTTCACTATTCGCACCATCACGGGCAACCGATTACGAGAAAATTCAAGAGGCGGATGAATATTACGGATAGGGAGGACGATGCTCGCGAACTAGGACAGACATTGGGTATATCATTTTGGCTATTGTAAACGATGCATATAATGGTTAGGTGTCTGGGGGCGGGGGGGCTGATCTTTGAGGTAAAGAGATAGAATGTAAATCATGCATAGCGTGAGGATGAATTATATTGTTTTTATTCTATTAAAAATTGAGCCAAGTAATAACCAAGTAATAAGGTATATTTCTATTCTTTATAAGAATATTGACTGCCTCTCCCGCGCCGTGATAATGGTAGATGTAGTATTGTAGATGTCTTATCGCGTGATAGTCACGGGTTATTTCTAAGCACAAGGTTCTTCTGGTAGCCAATTAATAGCTAAAACCTTACCCCGCCACCACCTAAGCCACATCAAGGCTAGTGCGCCATCATTAGTTTCAAAGCATCACCAGCTTAAGCTGCGACGTAACCGACGTCAGCTCACATTTCATATGTAGCTAAGCCTCATCTCTAACAAACTCAAACTGCAACCTGGCTTTTTGACTCCTTAGTCTACAAGTTTGAGTTTGCAACTTTTGAATCTACAAACGAAGAAAATGCCATAGGAACCATAGGGACTAGGAATTCTTATAAACCAACCACTACATCTTCAAGACTTGTCCGTGCGTATTGCCCTCCAGTTATAGGTGCGCCCCTATGCTAAGATAATGCAGTTTGGCATTGGTTTCTTTTCACGAACTGACACCTATCTACTCAACAGCAGTGCATCACCTCCAAAAAAAAACTTCCTTTTCCTAACAGCAACACCGTAATTATGGATATGCGAAACAACCTCTTCGGTAGAGGGCCTCGTGGCGGCGGTGGAGGTCTACCTGGACGACCGGGTCCTGAACAAGGTAGTTACAATCAAGTTCCCCAGAGCCGACCGCCGAGAGATTATAATGGCCCTCCCGAATATGACCCAAGAGGTGCTCCGTCGCCGGGATACGGTGGAAACAATATGGCGCCCCAACAAAGGAATACACGGCCCAACGCTCCTCAGGGTCGTCCCGTCCAGCTTAGATTAGCGAAATTAGATAAGGGCGATATATCTCAGCAATATATATTTGGCAACCTCGTTGCCGTCTCGCCTCAGGATTTCCCTCCCGACCAATACGGCAAAGACCTGCATATCCTACTGAATGGAAACTTCGTCGTGACCGCTCGTCCGACCGAGTATATCGCACCAGGATGCATTAGCTTGTCCGACCCCCAACGAACGTGGTGCGGTATTAGTATGACGGACACAATTATTGCTGAAAGATATGACCATAAGGTACCTCTGTCGGCTTTGGACGTCGAGGTTGGATTTGCGTCTCAGAGGAAGATAACAGATGTCCCATATGACCAGGATGAGCTTGCAGACTATTTCGTCAAAATGTTTCAAGGCCAAATCTTTGCCCCTGGCCAACGATTATTGATGGACTACAAGGGAATACCGTTAATGTTTGTGGTTAAAACGGTTCAGCTTCTCGACCTACTTGGAAACGAAAAGGGCAACGCTTCAGATTCGTCTTCGAGGCCCGATATCAGGGGTCTACTGGTGGCTGGCCAGGGTCAAACCGAGATCAATTTTTTCAAAGATGCTAAAAATCCCATCAAGCTCAAAGGCTCGACAAAACGACCCGCCACAAATGCTATTCTAAGGCCGGATTTCAAGTTTGCCGATATGGGTATTGGAGGTCTAGACGAGGAGTTCAGTACGATTTTTAGACGTGCTTTTGCTTCTCGAGTTTTTCCTCCGGGTTTAGTCGAGCAGATGGGCATTTCTCACGTAAAGGGTGTTCTGCTCTATGGCCCGCCGGGAACGGGTAAAACGTTGATCGCAAGACAGATCGGCAAGATGTTAAATGCCCGCGAACCTAAAATCATCAACGGTCCGGAAATCCTTAATAAATACGTCGGCCAATCCGAGGAAAATGTGCGAAAGATGTTCGCGGATGCAGAGAAGGAGTACAAGGAGAAAGGAGAAGAGAGCGGTTTACATATCATTATCTTCGACGAACTCGACGCTGTTTGCAAGCAGAGAGGTAGCGGGACTGGAGGGACTGGCGTTGGCGACAGCGTAGTCAACCAGCTTCTTTCTAAGCTTGACGGTGTTGATCAACTCAATAACATTTTGCTTATTGGTATGACTAACCGGAAGGACATGATTGATGATGCGCTATTGCGACCGGGACGTCTTGAAGTGCACGTGGAGATTTCGTTACCCGATGAACATGGCCGGATACAAATCCTTAACGTAAGTCGCATCTGAAATTACTATCTCCCCTCGATTTACCTCAGAGGAAATGGCCTCAGCCAGCTCTCCGAGTACTGATCCTTTCGGGACACCCCAACCGACATTACATCTCGGGAGAATAGTTACTAACTCGCTACAGATCCACACTTCCAAGATCAGGGCTATCAACAAACTAGCCGATGATGTTAGCTTAGAGGAGCTTGCTCACCTAACCAAGAATTATTCGGGTGCGGAGATTTCCGGTCTAGTGAAAGCTGCTTTATCCTATGCCTTTACTAGGCATACGAAACTCGGAGATGTCACTGGCGTCCAGGGCAATCCCCAGGATGTGATGCTGACACGGGCCGATTTCATGAGAGCATTAGAAGATGTCAAGCCGGCCTTTGGAGTTTCCGAGGAAGAACTTAGTGGTGCTGCCCCGTACGGCGTTATTGACTATAGTCCACACATCCAATCAATACTTTCCACAGGCCTCAGCTTTGTCCAAGCGGTTCGGACCTCCGAGAAGTCTCCTCTGTTCTCTGTCTTGGTCCACGGTCCTCACGGTGCCGGAAAGACAGCCTTAGCCGCAGAGATTGGACTGAAGTCAGAATTCCCATTTGTCAAACTTATCAAGCCGATTGATGTCGGGACAAATGAAGGAGCTAAACTCGAATATCTGCGTCGTGCCTTTTCTGATGCGTATAAATCAACTCTCTCTATCGTCATTCTAGACAGCGTCGAGAAAATCATCGACTGGAACCCCATTGGACCGAGGTTCTCTAATGCCGTTGTGCAGTATCTAGGTGCTGTACTAGAAACCCGTCCGCCTAAGGTATGTCGTTTCTAAATGTGGTTGATTTTCTAGTATGCTTACAGCTTGTGCAGAATCGTAGACTCCTCATCATAGCCACGACGAGCCAACGATCCATGTTAGATCAACATGGGGTGTTCGCGTGGGACAGAGAGATTGCCGTACCTGCTGTCAAGGACCATCGTGAGCTTCAGGCTCTCCTGGCCGCCTCGGGCAAATTTGATGGGCCAGCCGACATCAACGAGGCTCTGAACGAACTACAGACTCTGACAGGGGGTCAAGAAGTTGGCATAGGTGTCAAGGCGGTATTTTCGGCGCTAGAGACGGCCTCGGTGAGAGACCCACTGCCTACGAGCCTAGCGGAGGACATCAGCGCTATTATGGCAGCAAGGAATCCGCAAGGGTATTAATGGCAGCGCCCGTAGCGGGGTGCTAGGTTCAACGAGTTACTATGTCACGCTAGAATACCTATAGAGGACCTAGAATAGAGACGATCGACAATGATATTGGTGTCACAATGCTTAGAAGGGGGTGTTGACTCTCGTTATATTAGTGCATATCAGTGCTACAATATACCTAACGATGTACCTAACGGATCTATCCGCGCGGTCCGAGCCGATGCCTCATGTTACACACCCGGAGTAGGACGTGCAGTTCTTGCACATTCTCGAATGTCATTGATAAGGTACCCAATTAACCTAGGTTAGTCTAATCCTACCTAATTTATAAATCATAGAATAATCCAACATATGTAATAACCCCCTTAAAACCCGGACAATCATGGCATCTTTGTCAGAATTACCTCTTCGTGCGTATACTTCTTCACCGCGCCGTCGTCTTCATCGCCGGACGCGCCGAATCTCTCCTTCAAACCTTCTACCGCCTTCTCACCTAGTGCCTTCATGCTGCCCGCTCCTAGCATCTCCAAAACGCTAATATGGAAGCCGAAAGTCGATTTCCACCAACTCCTCATCTCCACTGCCACGAGGCTATCGAATTCCATTTCCTGCAGAGTCCTGTCGATGTTAATCTCGGTATCGCTTTCTACGGGCTTCATAAGTAGACTAAGTAGCTGCTTCGAAATCTGAATCGCGACGAAGATAACCGCATCTGGCGTGGAAAGAACCGCTGGGTTGCCGACGGCTGATGATATGAATGACAGTAGCTCGCTTGATGTCGCGGCGGAGATCGACGACGAAGAGCCGGAACTGCTGTTTAGATATACGCCCACGCGGCGGTCGCCTTTCCAAGGCACACGGTTGGATACATCAGTAAGAGATGTAGTGCTACGCATACCTATGAGCAGCTCGCTACGACTGACAAACGGCTTGGAGCGTACACTTTTGGCATCTTGAATGGCTGGGCGTGGGGCGACGATAACAGCGGTAAGGGCGTCAAGCATCTCGGCAATGCGAATGCCGAAGATGCCCTGCGATAGGAGGCGCTCACGAACCACGGGGTTGTCGGCTACATAGCCATGGTCAAGCATAACACCGATGTCGACAGCAGAGGCATTGAGACCGAGGCTATGACGGTACTGAACGAAGCTATCGAGGAACGTATTGGCGCCGGAATAATTGGCTTGACCTCTCTGGCCTACGATCCCTGAAATATAACTGAAGAGGACGAACAAGTCGAGATTGAGCCCGCGCCCGACAGTTGCGTTATGTAGATTCCACGTCCCTAATACCTTAGGGTCCGCGCATTGTATCCAGTCGTCGTACGTCATATTAATGAAGCTCTGGTCCCGTAAGACCATAGAGACGTTCAATATTCCTTTGAGAGTGATGCCGCCAACTGTCACGGCGCGCTCTACATCGAAGAGCGAAGCGACACTGCCCCTCACAGCAGTAGCCTTACACCCCTGGCTTTTCAGTTCCCCAAAGAAGGCTTGATCCTCTGCGGTCTCGCCAGCGCGACGTGAGAGGAATATCAGATGGCGAGCGCCGTGCTCAACCATCCAATTAGAGACGGCACGGCCAAGACCACCTAAGCCACCGACAAGCAGGTAAGAGGCGTCGCTTTGGAATTGGATGTTCCGGGTAGGCTGCCGTTTAGTCAAAGCCTTAGCTTCCGGACAGTCTAAGGTAATTGTGATCTTTCCGATGTGCTGGCCCTTTTGCATGTAACGGAAGCAATCTTCGATGGCGTCGGCCGTGAACATCTTGACGGGACTGATAGGTTTAATATGGCCTTGTTCGTAATACTTGGCGATTCTTTTGAGTAGGCTGGTATATCATCA